TCCACAGTAATAAAAAAAATACAAAATAAATTCAATTACTGCCAAAACGAAGTACAATGAAAAAGTAACTGTGATGATGTGTTCTACTGATACAGAACCAGTGCACACATTTAAATCAAGTCCACTTAATGCACGTTTTACTGGAGGTGAGGGAAATCCTCTAAAACCTAGTCAATATCTTTAATATCTCTCATTGTCAAATTGCTGTATGAAAAATATATTCTTTAACTTATTTACTAATGTAGTTTTTCTAGTTTTAAGTCATTTTACCAGTGAAATCTTCAGATTTTGCTGGTAGATGATTCTGCTTGTTTGAAGAAATAATGGAAGAAGGTAAATTCATCGCTAGTGGGGAACCTTCAAGGTCTTCAGAGAAGGTCTAATGATTTCTGGGGGAAAAAAGTCTGTAATTTATTTTTGTTTAATATACTCATCATAGTTGCTGGATTTAAACTCTAATTATTGTAGTAATACTCCCGTTTCATTGTTAAGTTTGCTTGGGCATAAAATGGGTAAATTCTTAAAATGTCCAACAGAAAACTGTCCAGTCAGGATTGTTTTCTCTGTAGTATCTAGGTACATACAGCCAAGCACACCCTCTCATTGGTTAGGAGTTCAGGAGCTGGACTAAAGGCCTCATACATAAGTTTAACTGCTATCAGGAACTGACAAAGCAACCAACCAATCATACTTTGATCTACAATAGGAAAAACCTCACTGTAGACCTCTGACTGCTGGTATGACTGGTAGCCTGACCACTGTGTTTTAGTCAGAAGGGAAACAGTGGCAGCTCTATGCCAGAGCTCAGTCACTGTGAAGCTTCAGAGAAAACATATTCAATGTTTTACAAGACAAAATATGTTCATGTGAATTACTGTTAGCTTAACTGTAATATGCTACTAGAATCCCACAGGGGCGCTAGCAGAAACTAGTGCCCCTTGTAGATGTGTTTTTTTTTTCCTTATTTTTTTACAGAGTTGTGACATTTATAACCTGACGAACTGGCTCTAACTGTCACGATCATCATGTTAAAAGTATCACTGGACAGATTTAAGATTATTTCACTTGCCAAGATCATATTTTTGCAGTGAAGCATTTAATGACCCATTAGCTCATTAATACATCAGCTAACTGGCACCTGATGTAAAGCTCCACTGTGCTATGTGCTTTATTTTATTACTAACATTGTACAAAATGGTAACACTTCAGTATAAAAGGGCATTATTTTGCTCTTATGAAGCCTCATCAAGCCAGTAGTCGCAAAGTAACTGCCTGTTTGTGCAAATGAAGCATTTTCCAGAACACTTTTACACATATATTATACATCATAATCCTTTACACATCATTCACTAACAGGAAGACATCCAACTAGAGCGTAACCAAGACAGTCTGATAATAAGACTCAGTCTAACAGGTCAGATATTGACTAAAAGCTATTTATAGGCACTTTTCATGCAGACCTCATGTTCAGGTGCCATAAGTAAACCATAAGTAGGAGTAAATATTAACTGTAAATCTCTTTAGAATAGAGGATCAGTTTGTCTTTAGAGCCAACTGGTGATTTATAACCAAGATACTGATATGAATCAAAAGACAGTAAAGCACTTTAGACCTGATTCTCTGGAAAATGCTTCCTACATTCTAGTTACTGTTTAATAAAGTAGTAATGAGCAGCCTGTGGGCTTGATAAAGCTTAAATAAGAGCATTACAAGGGTATTATAATGCCATCTCTAAAATGAAATGTTAGAGATTTAAATCTTTAAATAATTTTAAAATCTAGCCAATTTATCAAATATTTCTTGTTACTTATTTTAAAGCTGCACTATGTAAGATTTTTTTGTATTAAGGGTGAAAGTAGCAGCGTTATTGAGTGAGGAGAAAATAAACAGGCTAAAATATGGTGAGCATGTGCTGCTGTGAGTCGCCCTGTAAAGGGTCGGGAGTTTTTCATACCACATCATACGTCTCTGTGTTAACTACACACGCATATTCTCAAAAGCAACTTCTCACACAATGTTTGGGTCTCAAATGCAAAATCAACATTATACTGACGAAGATATGATAATAGTTATAATAATGATTCCCTGCTCAGGGAAGGGGTTCAAAATGTGCTGCGTGTAATTACTCTCTCCACCAGAGAGGTCTCCAAATCCCCAAAACATTTTATTGGCAGATCATTTTGTTTTAAGAAATAATGCCTGAAGGAAGTAAAATTATCAGCTGATGGAACATAAAACAAAAAAAGCTTAGAAGTATGTTGAACTGAATATTCTTATAACAATATCATAATGAGAAAAAATAGATATATTGATAAGATTCAAGTTAATATTTTATTTTCACAAAGTTATCATTTTTTGCGGTGTACAGTGGAAAGCATTCATTGTTGAGCGCTGATGTGGACCATGTGCAGCAACACCTGCCCGTTTGACATCATTAAACCTGACAAGCCCTTCACACTTCCCCGGAGGATTCTGATCAAATCTGACATGCGAAATCTCTGCCGATTCGTTTGACCTTCTCTAGTTTTCATTTCAATTCTTCACGATTTAATCTGGTCACAGGCGCTAAAGTCTCCACTGCTGTGAGATCAGATAAAAAGCCTCAGCGCTGTGCTGTTCAATCAGCTGGACGGGAAACAAATGTCACAGTCCATCTGGGTGTTCAGTTCTGTAGGAGTGAATGTATTATGTCAGGAAAGTGAGGCCTGTCTCCAGCCATACTGCACCATTTCTGCGTTACTCAATACTTCATTTGCATTCATTTGCATATTGCATTCATTTGCACATGCACGGTACAGGTGATGTCCAAGTTAAAAGTTACTAAAAGCACAGCTTTCTTGCCCTACTTGGATCCTAAGTGCACTGTTCTGTGAGGTATTTCTTTCTCATGCTCTTAGGGAGTTTTTCCTGCCACTGTTGCCCTTGGAGACGCTTGTTACGGAGCTGGATGCATTTCAGGAAAACCACTGTAGGACAAAAAAAAAAACAATATAAATAAAATTGAATAGCTATTAGTCTTCAGGAGCCATGCACGAATAAATGTATTGATGTTTAAGTGCCCAAAGATGAAGAGTGGGAGGGTGAAATCCATCACAGCTCAACAATCAAGCAGACATATCAAGCACTTATAAGAAAAACTATGAATTTCATCAAAATTCTGTAATATTTTTGAGTGAAAAAAAACAAGCGCACAGTGATTTACTGTGTAGTTACAGCACAGACTTCAGTGTTGATCTGCTACTGTAGGATGCACATTTACTACTGGAGATGGAACTGAAGTACATCTACTCATCCATTCATTTACATTTCTCCTCAAAGATCATCCATCCATACACACACCCTTCCTTCCACCCAGCCACACAAACTTCCTCTCCGGATCACCCATCCATTCTTCTACACACACATTTGTCCTTGGGGATCCTCTATTCATCCACTGATCTATCCGTATTTCTCCCTGAAGATCATCCATCCATCCACCCACCCACCCAAATTTTTCTCCAGGAATTGATCCATCCATCTATTCAACCACACAAATTTCTCCTCAGGGACCATCCGTCCATCTAGCCACACAAACTTCATCTCTGGATCACCCATCCATTCCTCTACACACACATTTCTTTCCTGGGGATCATCCATCTATCCACCCAGATTTTCCCTCAGGAATTGATCCATCCCTCCACACAAATTTCTCCTCAGGGATTATACATCTCTCTTTCACGTCAGGAACTGATCATCGATCCATCCGTTCATCCACCCACCCATCTGCCAAATTTTCCCTTGGAGATCAATTACTCCATCCGTCCACCCTTGCATTCACACAAATTTCTTCTTGGGAATTATCCATCCATCCATATTTCTCATCAGGAATTATCCATCCATCTTTTCCCTCTGAGATCAATCATACAACTGTCCATCCATCCACATATATTTTCCATGAAGGATCATGCATCCATCCGTCCACATTTAACCTCAAGGATCATCCCTTCATTCTCTCAAACTAATTAGTCCTCGGAGATCACCCATCCCTCCATCTTTCTTTTCAGGGATCATTTATCCATCCACCTAAATTTCCCCTCAAGGATAATTTATCCATCCACCCACCCAAATGTCTCCTAAAGGACCTTTCACCCATCTATCCATTCATCCATCCATCCATCCATCCATCCACCTAAATTTCCCTTCAGAGATCATCCATCCATCCATCCATCCATCTAAAATTCCCCTCAAGGATCATTCACCCACCCACCCACCCAATCAATCTGTCGACCCAAAGTTCCCCTCAGGGATGATCCATCCATCCATCCTTCCATCCATCTGTCCGTCCATCCATATTTAACCTCAAGGATCATCCCTTCATTTGCTCAAACAAATTACTCCTTGGAAATCACCCATCCCTCCATCTTTCTCTTCAGGGATCATTCATCCTTCCACCTAACTTTCCCCTCAAGAATCGTTTATCCATCCATCCACCCAAATGTCTCCTAAAGGATCTTTCACCCATCCATCCATCCATCCATCCATCCATCCATCTAAAAGTTCCCCTCAAGGATCATTCAGCCACCCACCCAATCAATCTGTCCACCCAAAGTCCACCCTCTGGGATGATCCATCCATCCATCTATCCACCGCCCCCCCCCCCACATTATTTGAAAACAGTTATAACGTTATAAACGGGGACAAAACAATAATTTGTTGATTTTCTGTCATGTTAAGCATCTAAATCTGAAGATAAGAGACTGATATCACTTCCTCACAGACTAATGAAGTACAGCTCTCCCACTGCGCGTAACATGCAAGCAGTAAGCGATTCTCTCTCTCTCTCTCACTCTCTCTCTCTCACACAGTATAAATCTCTGCATTCTGCTCCTCCCTCTCTCTGTCTCTCTCTCTCTCTCGCTCTCTCTCCATATAAAGCTCTGTTCTCAGCCTCTCCCTCCAGTTCTGCCGTAACACATGCGCTGCTCCATGCACGCCTCCACAGTCTTTCCGTGCGCTGACTGCGGTGCGTAACCGGTGCCAAACGGCCGGACAGCAGCGCAGCCATCATGCAGTCCTCCCTGCTCGCCCTGGGACACAGCTTTGGGATGCCCACCCTGGCCTCTTCTGCCTGGAAGCCTGGAGAATCACAGCTGTCCAACTGGTCGGTGCAGGAGAGGGTCAATGGGACGGCCCCTGGAGAGCTAGACGCTCTGGACAGTCGGCGGGCACAGTATGGTCAGTTCTCTCAGGCCGCCTCTGTGTTCCTGGCTGTGCTAATGACCCTACTGGTGTTTGCCACCGTGCTGGGCAATGCACTGGTCATCCTGGCTTTTGTTGTGGAGAAGAGTTTGCGCACGCAGGGCAACTTTTTCTTCCTAAATCTGGCCATAGCGGACTTTCTGGTTGGTAAGTGGTCATCGCGAGCTGCTCTCAGAAACTGAGGCTGTTTCACTGCAGAAAATGATATCTTAACCAGTTAAACGTTGTATTATGTCTAATATTTCTCACTGTCAGATTGTTGTAAGAATATTATAAGACTATTCAATCTATTTGCAGACATTTTACCTTTTATAAATCAATATTCTGACGTGATATGATCTTATAGGCAGATCATTTTTAAAACAAGTGAAATGATCTGCCAAAGCAGTGAGATAATTTATTTTATAGTGACTTATAACAAGGAAAATGTCTAGAAATGGGGTAAACAATCTTATTACATTGTTACAACAACCCATAATGAGAGATATTTGATACATTACCTACACTTCAGTTATTTTTGCTTTACATGTGATTTGTTTCAGGGTTGAGGATAGCAGTGTTTCTCATCTCCAGTTCTGCAGAGCCACATATTTCCTGCCCCAAAATACCGATTCCAGCCTAATTGGAGTCAGAATCAGATTTTTTTTTTTCTTGCCCAAATACAAGATACACAAGGCACTCATCACTATCGCAGGTGTCAATATAAATTCCAATAAAAAACATCTGAATTTTTCCTTTTGGCTCTAATTTGGCTCCCATTATACCTGTACTAGGTATTCAGTGATCTGAATAGCAGAATTTCTGGTCAGTGAGTGGTCGAGTGGTCACTCAAAGCATTTCAAATGTAGTTAATATATTGCTTGAAAAAATCTTGTTTGTTTTTTAATTGTTTTTTTTTTTATCGTTTTTATTTTTGTGCATCATTTGAATACAGCAGCTTTCTATTGTGTGAAGATGGCATGATGAATCTAAAAGAACTGCTCCAAAATGATTTAGAACAAAATCTCTTTAAACTAACTTACATTAACAGATAAAAGTGTTTTTGTCTGCTCCTTTTAAGTTAAAATTTTGGAAATTTCCTTTTTTTGTTCGGACAGTAACGACATAAATGTTTATTCTTTTGTATGAGACTGCAGTGAGAATATTGAAGAATATTGTGAAGATTGTAATAAGTAAGATTCCTCAAACTGTTTCCAGACATTTAACTTATACGATATTGATCTGGCAGATTATCCTACTTTTTTGATAAAATCAATCCACACTTTAACTCCTCACTCTCATAACTACAGACCTTATATTTCCATACTAGCTGCCAAATAATTCATGGCTATTAAGTCTATTAGGTGAAAAATAAGGCCAGGACATAATGGGTTAATGCCTTGTGGCTGTGCTGAGAAACGCTGTGCTGAAGTACCTGTGCGTAATGACTGCAGGTGGGTTCTGCATCCCTGTGTACATCCCCTATGTGCTGACCGGTGAATGGAGGCTGGGCAGGGGGCTCTGTAAGCTCTGGCTGGTGGTGGACTACATGCTCTGCACTGCCTCGGTCTTCAACATCGTGCTGATCAGCTTTGACCGTTTCCTGTCCGTCACCAGAGCGGTGAGTGGAGCACAGTCTGCAGTCACCAGCTGCTTGGATTCCTCTTATTCAAAGCACAAAATGAATGATACATGTCCAGTAAAATCCACACTTAAGGGTCAGCATCAGTAGAACTGTTTGTTCTACAGCAGCACTGATATGGAATTCCCGGTTGATAACGATTTACAGCACTTTGTTCTGGTTGATTTAATACAATTTTTATTAATAGCTAATAAATTAAATACATTACAGCACATTTGCACTATAATCGACATATAAATTGTAAGTTAAAACTTCAAACATGCTGCTGCTATGGGTGTAACAAATGCACATACTTTCAGATTTGATCTTTATGCATTAAAAATCTTGGTTCTACAGAACTTCCACAAAGTACTATACAGAACTGTTTGGTTCTCCAAGTCCTCCAACAGAACTATGACAAAATAAACCCCAAAAAACACAACCCCAGTCATTTGAGTGTGGGTGTGTCCATAACACAACCCCCGCCCACCGTGTTCTTAAGCCAGACCCACTTTACGCTTACAGGTTGCACCCAGGTGCCTAATTTTGATCACTGACCCTGGTTTCCATGAAAGAGGGAAGCGAGACGCTCAGAAGAGCCATAGAGTTTTATATTTACACACAATTTCAAAATGTTCAGTTTTTCATTTCGTTACACCTTTTCTAGCTGCCCAGTATTCTTTAGTCCAGAGGTGTCCAGTCTCATCTGCAGGACAGCCGGTGTGGCTGCAGGTTTTCATTCCAATACTGGAGCCCACAAGATCAGCTGATGAGGACTGAGACCAAGTGATTAAACGAGTAGAATCGGGTGTGTTTCAGCTTCCTTGGAGAGGAAACCTGCAGCTACACTAGCCCTTTGTGGATAAGATTGGACACCCATGCTTTAGGCTGTAGATCACTAGAATAATAAGGTTTCTAACTAGATGAATAATTAGATGAATGGTAGTGAAAGTCTTCAGTGTGTTCATCACACCTCTGCGATTAGCTGTGAACTGCGATTCTATTATCTTCTGCAGAAAACAAACTTTGACATGTTCACTCATCAGCATTAGCGCATAACTCTGTGCATGAGCTACGCATATTGCCTGTAATTATTGCCCATAACTTCAATATATGAGCAATAATAATTACATTTTTCCACTTATCTGCGAATGTGCAGTCCAGTGCAAATGTCTTAGACAGGAAAACGGTTTAAAACTGTATCAGCAATAAGTTTGGCTTTATGCCGGGAACCACTGGCGAAGGTTGTATTACACACTTCTAAAACTAAAGAATAGCTCTGGACGTTTGCATTGATGTCCACAGATGCTGAATAATAAGCTTTAGGATGTAATAAAGCTGGATTTTAAGGAGTTAAAAAGTGATTACGTTGAGTAGAAGAGCATAGGTTTGTTAAGTGACTCCTCTCTGCACTCCAGCCATCACATGGATTTGTTATAATCCATCAGCAGCACCAGACTGAGTTTAATGAAGGAGATAAATTAAATAAGATAAAATTAATATATTAAATAAATTAGATGATAACTGTAAATAATTCAGGCAGATGTTTCAGTTGGGAGCCAATAAAATGACAGCACTCAGCCAATGGCTGTGCTCGTGGGTGGAGTTCTGAGTGCACTGCACCTCCTTCTGACCAAACTTTATAGTGTTAAAATTACAACGAATGCAAAGAATTAAATGTAAAATAGTTGTTTTTTTAAGACTGTAATTGCAACATTTATTTATATGTGCAGGCAAAATAAGTACATATTATTAGTATTACATATGATATTGATACTAGTACATTAGTTAACTGTAAATCACACATTTTTTCTGGTTGCTAAACATTTTTTGTTACTTGTATTTATTCTAAAGTTTTTTTGTTTTTTTTTTAAAAACAAAAATGCTCACTGACCAGACGAATAGCATTACACATTTTATAAGAGGCTTAATTTGCACAGTACTGCATCGTAAAATTACAGTGGCTAATATTGTGCATCTCTTGTGCCTTTTAAACTTGCCTTTTTAAACTAATATAATGTGTACATTGGTTTTATTTTGCTCTGGAGACCCAGGATTCTTAGCCTTGTCCCTGACCACCCCTCTCTGTTCCAGGTGAGTTACCGCAGCCAGAAGGGCGTAACCCGTGAGGCTGTTATGAAGATGCTCTGCGTCTGGCTGGCCGCCTTCTTGCTCTACGGTCCGGCCATCATCAGCTGGGAGCACATTGCGGGGAGGAGCGTGGTGCCCCGCGGGGAGTGCTACGCCGAGTTCTACTTCAACTGGTACTTCCTGATCACGGCCTCTACGGTCGAGTTCTTCACGCCTTTCATCAGCGTCACCTACTTCAACCTCAGCATCTACATCAACATCCGCAACCGCTGCGCTCTCAGGGAGGATCAGACGACCTGCCTGCGGCTCAGGAGCTGCGAGGCCAAGCCGTTCGTGGGTGCTGACCTGCAGCGGGTGTTCTTCGTCCGGCCGGCCGAGGCTAGCAGCATCGCAGAGGTACCCTTGAGGTCTCGCTGCTGTCGGCTTTCAAACGCCAGAGTCTCGGCCACTGAGTCCGAAAACCCAAGCCGGAAGCGAAGGGTCAGCACAATCCCTGACTTTCCGCCTCTCCAGGTTGGTGACATGGTGCAGTCAAATGAGAAGCGCTGTCACTGCATGGATCACTGGCGAAAGCGTCCAGATGCATCGTCCAGCCTGGCCAGTCGCTTCCGCCTTTCCAGGGACAAAAAGGTGGCCAAGTCTCTGGCCGTCATAGTGTGCGTGTTTGGCCTGTGCTGGGCCCCCTACACGCTCCTCATGATCATCCGTGCCGCGTGCCAAGGCCAGTGCGTGCAGCACTACCTGTACGAGATATCGTTCTGGCTCCTGTGGATTAACTCCTCCATCAATCCTGTCCTCTATCCGCTCTGCCACACCAGCTTCAGACGAGCTTTCAGCAAGTTGTTGTGTCCGAGCAAAATAAAAATCCAGCCCCAATACATGGACCAAAAGTACTAAGACTTGGACTGAACTTGTTAATCTGATCTGTGCAGAGGGTATTTGTGTCAGGATGTTTAGCAGTCTCAAGGTGCCAGACGTGATCTCGTAACAAAAAAATCATCTGGAAACAACTTGTTAGGCTTTTGGTGCCAAAATCTGCCACAAACAAGGGTACGTACCCTCCAAAACTTGCCCCAGATTCCTATAGTCTGTGCTCTTTTAACGTTTGAAATACAATCAATAGCACAAGTGAAACAAACTTGCTAGCAAAACACTCCTGCAGTCTAACGAAGCTGTTTTACTCTGGCAAGTATTTTTACTATATATATATATGTGGGAACTTTGCAGCCATGCTAACTTATGGTACATCCAAGGGCTAACGACAGGCTTGTTGCCCATCGGACAACGATGATGAGCGCAACATCGCCCCCTACTTTCGGCTACATTTTCACCAACACCCAAAATTTCTCGTCTCCAGACGTTCTCTTTACGAGATAACATCTGGACTAGATGTTTAGTAATCTATCAGTATTTGTGCAAAAGCTTTAGTGAGAAAGTTATTTGTCTGTACCATTGTTCCTTCCTTCTTTTGTCCCTGCATCCTTCTGTCTTGATTGATGTTTGCACAGTTTCAAAGTCTTTTCAACTGACTCAGAATGTAATTTAATAAACTACATTGTTGACATGGTGAAACCCTCTTTAGGATCATGCACGTCTAACCTTTATTTTCCCAGGGAAAGTGCACTGAGAGCACACTCCCATTCATTAGCGCAACGTGTGAAGCGAGGACTTGGGTGAAAAAGGCTACGCCACGGGAGCCAACGGGGGTTAAGAGCTTTTACTGAAGAGCACAACAGCAGTGCTCAGCAGGGACTTTAGAAAGTGAAGCTTTGGAAACGTATTGTACAAAAAATCCATGAGCGATCCTGGTTCTAAAGAGACCCGGCACAATTTAGAAACACAACATCTAAGATGACATTTGGGTCCAAACAGTCTGTCTGACTGTAAAAGAAGTGGATCAAATAATGAAGCAAGAAAAAGGACTCACAAACAAGCCTAAAATTAGGGTTGTGACCCATCGAAATATCAATTATATTTAATCATATTTAAATACACCCAACGCAAAGTGAGAGGCTGACAAATACGTTAATGATAATATGACCAAAAACTAAAAAGTTTATGAAATAGCTGGAATATATGGGTCGTTCTCCATGTGGAGGGGAAACCGTGTCACAAAGTCTGCAGGGCTTAAAAAGATGCTTAAAATATGAGGCACAGCTCCAAAAGTCAGTATGTACATTTACACAGTTGATCTAAGATTAAATAACACTTTTCCCTCACGATTCTCTGATTTTTCGTTTCATAGTCACTCTGCATCTGTAAAAACAGCTCAACACAAAACCAATTTTCAACATTTGAGAAACCATTTTTAATATAAAACAATATTTTTAAGAGGTTTAACTCAGGAATTTGTATACAAGATTCATGTTTACTTTTATATTATTAACGTTATACTACATTTTAAAAATGTGTTTTATTTTAAAAAATCATTTGTCACTGAGATTTTTGTCACTGGTGTTATTAGGACTCTTATTTTACATTTGAACACAGTATTTTCAGCTCTATTAAACTGATTCTTTGGGTCGAGCCTCATCAGAGAGGAAGCATCTCAAGGCATGAGAAGGTGAGTCACACTCCCTCACTATATTTAATGAATTTATTAATAATTTTGTTTATCAGGCAGTGCATAACTTCTATGTGTCACCGGTGTTCTGTGCTTTAATGGCTGGGTGATTAAAATGCCTAAAATCAATTTTATTACTGATTTTAAATAGTTCACAAGGTCACCTGATAAGCCTACGAGTCAGCCAGTTTACAAAATCCTCAGTTCTAACCAGAATGTCACTGGAGTCACCGTCACTGGTGTTACTCCATATTCATTCAACACCAGTGACTGTAAAACATGTTTGGAATCGAGCTCTCATTTTTGAATATATGATAATAGAAGACGTTAATAGACATATTAGGATTCTTTTGGCTTGGGATCAAAGAAATTTTAAAAATGCATCCACCTGAATTCCCACTCCAAATGGAGAATGACCCACAGGATGGACTACTAAAAATTCTATATTCTAACATTCTAAAGTTATTTACCACTTACCACATTTCAATCAAGCAAATGCCATAATCAGGTCTAGTTTTGGGTCAGTAACCCTCAGTAGCTTTTGAAAGCCATCCACTAATCCTTCTCTGTACTTTTCTATACACAGACAAACAGCTGTCTGCCTGTCTTGCTTGTAGATATGGTACATTCTTACAGCTGTCCTGAAAACGCTCCCGCACCATCACTATGTTGAGAGGCGTCTTTGTGTTTTAGTCGCCGCATTGCGCCTTCATGCAGTACAAAAACATTCAGCGTAAATGATGAAGACAATCACACAGGAACTGTTGATTAGTGGAAACAAAACTGAATTAACCATTAACCAAATGGATGAATAATTATTTATCAGTGAATCATATATATTCCTTGGTGTAAACGACTCATATGGGACACAAAGGCCTCAGATAATACAGTGGTCACTGTAATTTTTTAACAGAGAAAATTCTCACATCTGTGTGTTTCTTTGGTCTCTTGTGCTCCATCTCACTGGTTTTTCTTTTTTTCCTCATATCACTCTGTTTGGACCCTACCTCAGATGAGAACGCGCAAAACAGAGGGCTAAGGCCTCAGTGGTAGGGGCGAGGGGTGAAATGGGATGGGGCTTAAGTCAAATCCAGTATTATAGGTAAAGACCATGGGGCTGAAGGCCTCCACTGGCTTTCTACAAAAACAACCAAAGGCTATAGGGGAAAAAAACAAAACAAAAAAAAACAAAAAAAACATTCATCTTCGGGATTTATACTCATTATACCAGCTCAGCCGAAACATTCTGGATTGAAGTTCTTTCAAAGCTTTTGGACACATTTGACCTACACTTTTGGTTGCAACTGGGTCAAGGAGGTCCACATCAGGTTGTCCTTTGAAGCTACATCTGCCCATGTTGCATTACAAACTCAATGCGGAAACAGCTCTGCTTAGACAAATCGAAGTTCAGGCAGCTTTAAACTCAGGATTTACTGACACACATCCCTGTATGCTTGGCTTTTCTTTCGTACTTGTTTGGTTTAACCCTCTGCAAGTGATATAGAGACACCTCCGAATGGCAAAGTCCCAAGCAGTTTCCAAGGCAACGGACAGCCACAGCAGGAGCACCCAGCGATGCATGACTCATATGTTCTCCATGGTCACTTGGTCACATATCCTATAGATTGTTGCACACACACTGTCAATTACTTACAGCTACAACAAAACTCATTCCACTGTGGTCAAATACGCTCCACCAGGTCATCAGAAGAGTCTTCAGCACAGGATTCACCTTACCCACCCCCACAACTACAGAATAGTCGGGACAATTATGAGGCAGCCTGGTAAACAAATGATGCACCAATTGAAGGCTGGTCCAAACCAATCATCACCCTGTTGTGTGGGGAGTGTATAATTCAGGAACAGTTTGGCATAAAATCTAATAATATGCACAGTTTTCCACTTACTCAAGACGTGTTTGGTGTCCAAATATTAGTTTAGAACCGAAGCTGTGAGGCTAAAGTAGCTAATAAACACTGGAAAATAACCTGAATCGTTTTCATGAAAAATTATCTTCAAAACTTCTTTCAACCAGCTTGAACCACATCCTGGTCTTTAAGTTTATGCAGACTGGTTAATGTGGTTCAGTGCACATCAAAATCTAATTTCCACTTTCCAAGATACGTTTGGAGTCCGAATTTCACTTCTTTAGTTTAGCGCTGGAGCTGCGAGGCTAACATTGTTAATAAAAATTCAAACTCAATAGTCATCCAAATCGTTTCCACACAAGTACACCACCAAAACTTCTCTAAACCCACAGAAACCTCTTCGTTAAGGTGGTGCAGCATTGTTGATGTTTAGGGCTATGAACGACAAAAATGAACTAAACTTCACTGTGTAGCTGAACGCTGGGCAGCAACTTTAGATAACAGGGTCTGTATTCATAGACCACCTCAGGAGTGGAGAGTTAATCTAGAATCAGTTTTGTGACGGTCATAAATATGGAGGAATCCGATTCAAGAGCTGCCCTGTGATTTACAATTGCTTTGTGAATACCAGCCCTGATGTTGTCTGAAAAGTATTGTTCATTTTTGTAGTTTGCATTAAGTCATACTGTGTCCCAAAGCATATTGACTAGTCAATAAGGAACTGGAAGTGGTTTGAGAGACATTTCATGGAAACAAACTGGACTGCTTGGGTGACTACTGACTTCTAGTATTTATTAGCAACTTTAGCCTTGCTGCTCTTGTTCTAAACTAGAGAAGCAAAAGCTGGATCCCGAACTGTCTCCGCTCATCACTTCCAGGGCATAAATTTGACTTTTCACTGAATTATTCCTTGAACCCCTCTAATCTACTCACACCCCAGTTGTGGCCACCCTGATTTGGAATAGCAAATATTCGACATACTCGACATCCTGTAGTGTGTGGGGGGCGCTGACAGTCTCATATGAAACACAATATTAAAATGACAGACGGAATACCTTTGACAGTCGAGCTGAAATGTTTTTATTTTGTTCTCACTGGACACTTCATCACACTTACCTTGTATCTACACTCAGTGTCCATTTTAAAACGCCCATTTGCCATTTAGGAGCACTCCACAATAACAGACTGTAGTCCAGACTGTGGACTCCTGTTGATGGACTAGAGCAGAGGAAGGGAACTGAAGCCAGAGTCTGGCACAATTTACTGGCTCTGGCGCATTAATTAAACCTGGTAATTAACTGATGAGTTGAATTCAAGGGTGCTTGAGCAGGAAAATCACAAAACTTTGCAGGAATCTGGCCCTCGAGGACCAGACCTCCCCACCCTGCACTAGAGGATGACTAACTCAAGTTGTACAGCAGATGAGCTACCGTCTCTAAATTTACATCTACAAGGTGGACCGACAAGGTAGGAGTGTCTAATAGAGTGGACAGTGGCTAAAACTCCAGCAGCACTGCTGTGTCAGATTCTGAGAATGATCCACCACACAAATAATGCCTCTTCTGTGGGGGTCCTGACCATTGAAGAACAGGGTAAAGAAGGGCTACTGAATTATATGCAGAGAAACTGACCGCAGTCTCTAACTGTAGAAATACAAAGTGCTTCTATACGGTAAATGGACTCGATAAAATGGACAGTGACTGTAGAAGGTAGGTGTGGCCAGAGAGTAACTAGCACAGCAATCTGTGCCTCTCTGTGGTCCTCCCTGATGGTTTTGACCCAAAGTCACATTCACTTATGAAATTCTGAGAGATTTCAGGTTCTGGATCATTAGTCTGAGCGAATCCTGCAATGTGGGCATGTTGATGACAGAGTGATGAGCAAGAAAAAAAAATCTGTGAAATCAGTTAGAATGTGAGAGGTCACACTTTCAACGTCTGTTGGGATTTTATAGCCCTCTACTGAGGGCCAGGCATTAGTCAGTCATTCAGGAGGGGCCATGTGTTTACGCTCAGCCATTAACTCACAGGCCAGAACCATTATATGCACCTGAAAGTGCGACTGAACACCAAACAGGAAAAAAGACGTACAGAGTGATCATTAACCACAGACTCCCCATTAAGCATTGAGCAAAGAGAATAGCAACCCTGGACCACCGCAGCCATCTGCCTCCCAATCAAATCAGGTATCCCCTAGTGTAGACTTAGACACCCACGGCCCCGCTGACCTTTAAACACAAACACTTAATGCACCGCCCCTTTGTCACCATGCAGCACTGCAATTAGATGGAGGTCATGTTTTTATTTTATTTTTTTTTACCATCCAGATAATCTCATGCTGTGTTCATATGTTGGTGGTATACTGTCTATATCAGTGGTCACCAGTCCACCTCCCAAAGATCTACTTTCCAGCAGAGTTTAGTACCAACCTGCCTCTAACATGCCCCTCCCCCTAACACTAACACATCTGATGCAGCCAATCAAGGACTTCTGAAGACGTGCCTTAGCTGGAATGGGCGTGTCAGTATGTGGTTGGAACTACACTCCGCAGGTGTCCAGTAGCAGGGTTGGTGACCCGAGTTCACCTTCCCAACATCCCAAACTGGATGTTGTTGTTAAAACATGGGCGCTGAATTACTGTCGTTGAAACCCTGTCATACGCTTTCATGTACAACATAACCCAAACATCAATGAGAACACACCATTATAGAGCTGCAGCACAATTTTAAAAATCCAATTCACACTTTATCTTTTTAAGACCTTAATATAATAAAAACAATACTATTTGTGCCACACAACACAAACTCATATGGTACATGTTAATGTGTACTCAGCCTCAGCGTGTTTGACAGTAACGCAGTTTTGTCATTTTCCAGCCCTTCATCAGGGTCAGTTTCTAACCACAGGACTGCTGTAACCTGGGCAGTTTTGGTAACTGACTCTACTTAATTAGTTGAATATATAATATGATCTGTGCTTTAATACAAAGTTTCAGCTGATAATTAGTCTCATCCAACCCAACAGCTGCACAAATTAAAATGCCTTCATTGTTAATATGTTTAATGTGGACTGACGTTTAGATTTTTGGCTTTCTGTTTAATGTGGTCCAGTTTTAGTAACTTTGCTGATGATGTGGCTAACAGTCCCTTTAATATTCAGTACAGCATTGATATGTACAAGGTGGGACAGTGAAATAACCATTTAACAGTGACATGAATTTAACGGCTCCTTTCTTTTGGGTTTTTGTAAGTGCAGTTTCTGTTAACAGCAGTTAAAAATCAGAAGCAGAACATGTCTGTGATAGTTTAGCTTTCAATGCAAGAAAAAAAACATGGCATGAGTGGTTTGTGTGCATGGTTTTGAAGGCGTGTCACTCAACACACGTCTAGTTTGAGACTTCATAAGACTTCTTGAGGATCCGCTGGGACCCTTTATTAGAGATAACAGCGTTTATTCGAAACACTTTTCGGATAAAACAGTGGCTAAACCGTCGCCTTGTTCACAGACAGAAATGACACCATCACCATGGCAATGCTTGTGATGCTGCATACTGCCATCAGCTGTGTACCATCCATAATTCTGCTATGAGGTGCGAATGACGTTATACAGCATATCAATGCAGCTTTACTGGAAGAAATGATAAACTGTATATGCAGGAAAAGAAAACATGCACAGGAATGTGGGGTTAATATTTTGTTTATTTGTGCAAATGTCATGAAATCAATGATACTTATTCTGTTTTAGCTGATTTACAATTAGATTATACATACAATATATGGGGACGGGGGGGGGGGTCATGATTAAAAAAAAAAAGTAAGAAGAGGAACGAGATGCACAGGGTGGCTGAAAAGAGGCCATTTCTTGAGGACTTTTAGGATTGGTTGTCATTCTTCATCCATACATGCTCACATCTGCCTCCACTGCTGGGTTTGAAAAACGCACACCATTTTATCATTTAACACATATCATTTGCCATTTTACTCCAGCATTTCTGCCACAGAAATAAAGAGAGAAAAAGAAAAAAAAGACAAGTGACAAGGAAAGAGGAGGAATGAAAATACAAACAGTCGCACAAACGCAAGTCTCTTAAGCGTACGATCACGCGCCTGTGATGAATGTTGAAAGAACGTGTCACGTCGCAGGCTAAGGATGAGTCTCCACACAGTGATGCACGGCTCAAATGAAGCAAATAAAGCACTGGGTTCTTCTGTATCTTCTCTGGGTTTATCTGCATCTGCTTTGTCTACTCTGCCCCTTTTCTTTCTCTGAGGTAATTCTGTGGGGCCAGATGTGAACTTGTAAGGGGAACGCACATCCGGGGGACAAGTCAAACATTTGGTGCTGGTCTGAACAAGGATACACATCCTCTAAAATCCACCTTAAATTTCTCCAGTTAAAGCTCTTTTAACATACGAAGTACGTCTTATACATAGTGAAAAACAGTGAACCGTGGAGGCAACGTGAAGCTTTTGGAGGCCTTTTCAGCCATGCTAACTTATGTTACATCCACGGGTTAAAAACAGGCTTGTTGTCCGTTGTACAATGTTGATGAGGGCACCATGGTGCCCAACGCTGAGCTCTGCCTTCACAATGCATTGGATCGGTTTAGCAATTCACACTCTGTTTGCTCCCACACTAAAAAATCTACTCTCCCTCACACTTAATCCAAAACTTCTCACAGCTGTCCAAAGATGTTCTCATTACAAGATCACGTCTGGCCTCGCACGACTACCTTAGGCGACAGTAAACGTGCTGAAATGAAGGAAGTAAGTGCAGGGCAAAGTCTACACCATATACTTGCAAGAATATACAAAGCCTCAGAAGCTAAGAGAGAGAAAGAGTGGAGAAAAAAACAGAGAGAGAGAGAGAGAGAGAGAGAGAGAGAGAGAGAGAGAGAGAGAGAGAGAGAAAGAGAGAGAGAGAGAGACGATGGACAGAGAGATGGCAGGTGGGGTTGGCTTTAGTTTCCCCAGGTTAGAAAACCCTGGTGTGCATGTGTGGGTGTGTATATACATACTATATCTCTCTATGTGTGTATACACAAACAAATGTAGATGTATGTATTGGTGTCTGCGTGCACCCTACAGCACGAGGCCCTCGTACGCAGGACCCTCAGACTCCGGCGACTCTCTCTGCAGACGCAGGTGCTCCAGTGTGTTGTGGAAGTGCTTGTTGATCTGCTCCGTCTCCTCACTGGCCTCCAGGTTGGGCAGGTCCTCACGGATCTTCTGGATCAGCTGGTTCAGAACCTGAACGGTGACCTGGTGAACACAAACAAACCAACAGCACAACTTCAAACCATCATCTACTTCTACACCTTCACTGTATGTCCAGACACTGGCTAATCCAGCATTTCTTTGGGGCATTAATACAGAGTTTTCCCCCTGTGCTGCAGCAACAGGCTCTACTCCTCTGGAAGGCTTTACACTAGATGCTGGAACATTGCTGTGAGGATTTCACTGTATTCAGAGTGAGGTCAGGGACTAATGTTGAATGTTCTGGATCACTAACTCGTTCTAAAGGTACTGGATGGAGCTCCTTTATGCAAATTCATGAGAAAGACTGTTGCTTCTTCAACCCAATATGGAAGCCAATTCTTGCAAGATAGAAGAGGAAAAAAAAAAGACTACGGTATTTACAGTATCTGGTAGCTGCTTGTCAAAATGTTGACTTAGTGGCTCAAAATAATAACTTTTTTTTTAATACTACCTTATTATTGTGAAATAATTGCTTATTACTTAATACTACTTAAATTTAAGGACACTACATCGAACCGAGTTATAAATCTTTAAGAAAGTTAGTAATTATGTTTGGATAATAGTAGTAGGTTAGGGTTAGTAAGTTGTTTTTGTTGCTATTTTGGCACAGTAAGTCACTATTACGAGATAATATGTCTAAATAACGACCTAGTAAGACTATTTTAAAAAAAAAATACTGTTTTGACATAGTACATCATTATTATGAGATACCAAGTCATCATTTTGACAGACTATATTTTCAGAAAAATTATTATTTTGACATAGTGAGTCACTATTATGAGATACTAAGTCATTATTTCAACATAGCAGGTCACTATTTTGAGAGTAATCGTTTTGAGATGCTAGGCTACAATTTTGACACGTCATGTGTGATGATTTTTTTCCTCCTCTACCCAACAGGAACCAGCTTTCGTTTGGATTTCAATAAGGAACGTGTTTCCACAGCTCCACAGTGCTGGAGTTTTCTCCCCTCCCCCTGCCACCCCCCGTCCCCTTCCAGCTGACACTTGGCACTGAGCAGCTGATCTCAGGATTGTGTGCCAGAACGTCCCTTTTCACTGCCAGTGCTTTTTGACAGAGATTACACGGCTGTTTTTAAGGCCTTTTTCCAGATTTTAACATCCTGTCAGCAATGGATGCAGCTTAAAACAGCAGAATCTACTAATCTAAATGACACTTCAGGCTGCAAAGACTTGCTTTCGCAGAGCATCAAAATGTACTAAACCAGCGCTGCAATTAAGACCTGAGTCCAACATGTCATTCAATTCTAATCACAGGGAGAAAACATACACAGCTGACAGCACGGCAACAACAGTGATGTCTCAAAAGCCATAAAAGCACTGAGATGACGGAGCACTCGAAACGCGTCTGGGCCGTTCGGGTCCTCTCTTTGAAACCTACACTCTGAGAATGCCTGGTCCTCTTCCCTGAAGGACACAGCAATATGGCTATAATGAGAGTCAGGCTGCAGAAAGGCACACCTGGTGTGTACGAGTGTGAGGATAGGAGGGATACGAGAGACATGAGAGAGCGAGAGAGACTATTTTTCCGCTTCGCCTGCGAGGGTAATCAGAAGTGTGCGACTGTCACTTGCGCTCCTGGTGCGCTCTGGCAAGCACTGACTCAGTCCAGCTCAGAGGGAGGGAGTGCATAAGGGTACAAACAAGTGCACTTCTGATGAAATTAAAGACACACAGTGAAGCACAAACAGCGCCACATGGCTCATATTTATCAGTCACATATAAGTAAGAAAGTGGTTTATGATCAGCTTCTCCAGCCCACCCTGAACACAATGCAGGATTTCTCATTTAGCCAGAAAACCCGAAGGGTGCAAATTCTGCTTATGGCATTTGTGTGGTTTTACATCAAAAATAATGATAATTCATTTTACATGACCATTCTCTAAGCCCTTTATCCCTTAAACTACAGTAAAATACGGTGTTTGTGTTTCTGTGCCTTAAAGACTGATTTATGTAAACAATCTCTGTTCTAATTGACTGCCCTGTATTTTGCCTCAGTCAAAAAACAGTCTAAGCTAAAACTCTGCCCAAAGTGAACAGGCGGGGCTCCACTGCTGTAAGCTAAAACGGGGTATGTGAGTAAGTTTGTTTTTGTGACATCATAAAAAGAACGAATTCAAATCAGCCTCCTCTCTTCGGGGAAGGCTTTCCACAACAGTTTGTGTCCATTCATTCAAAAGAGCAGCTGTGAGGTCAGACACTGATGTTGGACGAGAAGGCAATCATCCCAAAGGTGTTCAGTGGGGTTGAGGTCAGGGCTCTGTGCAGGCCACTGGAGTTCCTCCATACCAAACTGGTGTCTTTATGGAGCTGCTTTGTGCACAGGGGCTCAGTCATGCTGGAACAGGAAAGGCTCTTCCCCAAACTGCTGACACAAAGTGTATGATTGTGTAAAATGTCTTTGTGCTGCGGCATCAACATCACCCTTCACTGGAACTGAGGGGCCCAAACCCTGAAAAACAGCCCCAGCCCATCATCCCTCCTCCACCAAACTTTACTGTTGGCTCTGCATTCCGGTAGGTAACGTTCTCCTGGCATCCACCAAACCCAGATTACATTAAACACTCCAGAGAACATGTGTTCACTGCTTCAGAGTCCAGAGGCGGCGCTTTACATCCCTCCAGCCGACATTTGGTAGCACACATAGCGATCTTAGGCTTGTGTGCAGTTGCTCTGTCAAGGATACACATTTCAAGAAGCTCCTGAAGCACAAACTTTGTGCTGAACCTGCTTCCAGAGGCATCTAGTACACAACAGTGAGTGATGCAAGAGAGCACAGGGATTTAACACATTCCCAGAAACCTGGATGATGTTGACTTTCGTCCTTCAAAGAATAAGCAGTGAAAACCTTCTCCACACTCCACAGAGGAATTTGGTGAGGACGATGAACTTCGGATATTTGGAAAATATCCATCTATTGAGACAGAACTCTTAACTTCTGGGCACAGCCTAGTTAAAGAACACTCCAACTCTGTAAAGTCAGCTAATCTAAATGTATGCATATAGCAAATCAGAAGTCTTATCTCTCTTCTACTAACAAACCTATGTGATCTCAGCATTATTCCACCTTTATAAAGCTACATCACACTCAATAGTTAATTCTCAGCGTGCCACTCCTTTAAATTAGCTGCTGTCTTTTTTTAGTGCGGATTAGAACAAAGTTTCAGCTGATCTCATTAACATACAGGGCAGCTCGCTTGCAAACCACCCACGACCGCCACGTTTCACCGTTTGAAATCAGCGCCGTTTTTGTCTCTGTTCAGGAAACAAAGAAGCGACTTTCTTTCTCCTCTTACACAGTCAGGCTCCCTCTCTCTAGCTCTCTCGGTCATGCGTGCACGCATGCGCTACCCCACCACATGCTAGCTAAACAGCAGTTTAACTCATTAAAAATTTTTTTGGCCAATACTGAGATCAAGATTAACACAATCTCATTGACTTAGGAAATATGGTGCATTTAATGACCTTTAAAAAATCTTTTTAACAGACTGAATTTCAGATGATTAAACAAACTGGTCACATTGCCTTGTGGTGCAGAGTACGCATGCAACAATATGAAAATTTCACGATACAATACTTTTTGCTGTTTTTGAATCATGATACGATACATTTTTGATTTCAATTTATTTTTTGGTGATTCCGAAAATTAATGTTTTTTTTCCAAAAAGACAGCAGTGCATGTTATATATATATATATAAACAGAAGTGCAAAATGAATATTAAATATTCCACATGCACATTTGGCAAACACGTGTTATCATGGCACACAGTCATAAAAGTAAACAAAAACTGTAGACTATAAATAAACAAACTGAGCTTTACGAATTCATTTACAATGAGATTTTGTGTTTTTGTATATAAAGCGAGTTGTCCCAGCCTTCACCCTAACCCCGAACCCCAACACCTAACCCCTAACCCCTACCCCTAACCCCTACCCTACCCCTAACCCCTACCCCTAACCCCACCAAAATGTTTCCAAACATTTGGTTTTACCTTTCTGGTTCACCAAAGGCTCTTTTTCAGCTCGAGCTGAACTAAACATGCCACAGCCTGGCTGAGAGTGAGTTTGGGCTTTTAGGGAGGGGCAAGAGAGCTTTATTAGGAAACGCGGCACAATAATTGTTTTCTCTCCGTTATCTTGTTTTCATAATCGTCGGAAGCTGAAATCATAATTGAAAATAAAATGAATCGCCCTAATTCACTGTAAATATACTGACTGTTGTTGATTCGTTCATTTGTGTCTCAGAGGAGACCACATGTCAATAAACGCCGCCTGTCTTGATTTCATTTAATTTCTGGTTGTTGCCAGTATTTAAATCACATTTATTAAAACCTTCAGATATCAAAACTATGATATTACTACTGTCTTTAGTTAGAAATTAGAGATTGTGATATTTATGCTCTGATAATATATACAGACTGATTAATATTAGATATTGCATATTAATTTTATGTACCTACAAAACCCTACACTTCTAAATCCTGTCTTATGAAATACCACTGAATACATATGGGGCAGCAAGAGTGAAAAGTACAGCTGGAAGGAAACTAACGAGAACCGCAAAGAACAAGCAAGTGAAGAATAAAGAGCTGAAAGCAAGCAGCATGTGAAAAGGGTGAGGAGGAGGGAGGACAGCGTACCGCATCGTTCTCTCGCTCATAGAAACAGACGTATCGGTTGAGGATCTCGATGAACAACTGCACTTGCAGGGATGGGTCCATGCACTGGTTAGCGATCTTCAGGGCCTTCTTCAAACACTCCATCACGCGCTTCCCATCACGGATCTGACAGCACAAAACACACAGAAAAAAAACATCTGAATAACATTCATAAAACCGATTAAAACAGTATTTTATACAAATTATACATCCTTTCCACTCTGAATAAATCTGGAAGTACAGTCTTCAGGACCAAACATCTGCTTTGAGCTGTGGAGCTGAGCGGTCGGCTCCAAGCTCCTAAATCTGTTGTTAGGGGCAACGAGAGCCTCTCTCAGAAAACAGAGTGCTGTGCAGCAAAATGGAGCGGACCACGCATGTTTGCTTCATTAGTGTTATATCACAATGATCTACATTAATAAAAGACATCGCAGACAAACACAGCAAGAGGCTGTGGACGTCATTAAAATTCTGCAAACTCGTTAGCACTTCTGTGTACTACTGAAGAAACGTGTATATCGGCAAGGCGCACACGCTGCGCAACACGGCAAGAGGTAGCAAAAATCTTGGAAAAGAATAAGGAGATATATTTTGCTGTAAGTGCTTATGTTTTATTAATCAGGCGTGAGGGTTAGAAAAGACGAGCACTCCTCAAAGCCTTTATGACTGTTATAAAACTGAACAGACTACATTTACTAGTATTAGACATTTACAGGGTAATACGACGATATTTATCGTGATAAATTACTTCACAACATGGCTAGGCAATATGAGTATTTATCGTTTCTGTGATAAACTGTCAATGTTTTTCTGAGTATATTGTAAATATCATCAGTTCTTGCAAACACTCAAACTATGTTTAATCACAGAGAATTTGTTCTGGTTTTTTGCATTCAGTGCACCTCATGTGAAACATAATTAATACAAATTATTGTGTTCATAGTTTTTAGTGTTCTTTTAAAATGTGGCACTGTTTTGTCTTTTACAACTCAGCAGATATCAGAATAAATACTGTGACGTGTGTATCATGAAAACTTAAAGTAACAATGTTTTGCTTTCCATTTTGTATGTACGCTCTCTGATCTGTTACCTGGAACTCATGTACACATACAGCAGCGAGTTTCCCTGTGCAGCACAACGGTGCATGTGTTTTGTGCTGATTTATAGTTTAATGTGCAGTTATTCTGAGGTCTTTTCACAGCTGCTTTTTTAAAATGGACCTAACGCACTGAAAACTGCGAAGACATTTGAGTCTGTAAAGCTACGTTTACACAGCAGGTGAAAGTGGCCCAAATCCGATCTTTTCCTTCGTGTGACACAGATGTGTGTGTGTGTGTCAGTGTGAAAAGTAAAAATACATTAAATCTGACTTTTTAAATTCTAATTTGGGATGTGGAACTGAAATCTGATACATATCCGATAAGCAGCAGTGCGACTCAGTGTGAACAGCCAGATCGGAATTCATGACTTCTACGTCAATCCAACCCGACATTCATCATAATTTTGCGCTGCTGAGACTCAAACATCTGGGCTGATGTTTCTGTACCAAATAAGAAGAGATTCATCCAAAACCCTCCATGTTTGAAGAGATTTTGAAAGAAATGCCGGAAGGCGGCCGCAGGAGAACGAGGCTGCAGCATCAAAGAACAGTTAAAAGTCTGAAAGCAAAGTTTAAAGAATCCGAGGACGCGAACCGAAGAAGTGACCACGCCCTTTTTACAGCGTGCTGAACACATTCTGGGTGATGAGTCCCAGCTGTCAGTCAGTGAAGCTTCATGATGGCTCCTGTGATGCTGGTGAAGATGAAGCTGATCCTCCGGGAGCGACTGGCGTTCGTTGGCAGTCGTGATTGTTTACCGTGAAGCAGCGTGAAGCTCTATTCTTTTGCCCATGCAGGTCAGTTTAGGAGCGGATCTGTTCAGACTGATGTCGCATACACATCATATTTAAAAGACAGCGTGAACAGACAAACAAAAAAAATGGATTTGGTGAGAAAATCAGATTTGGGCCACTTTTACCTGCCGTATGAACGTAGCCCAAGTCTCTCAGTGAGCCATTTCACATCAAACCATTCTCAAATACTGAGTTATGCAGAAAGTTTGAAAAACTTTGCACAAATGTGCTTAAATACATAAATAATCCAAATCGCTGATCGTCTCAGCCCTAAAACTGTATCGTACCACTATTTCTACACATACATGTTCTTTAGTAGAAAAAACCCTTCCTGAATTTTAGATAATGCAAATAAATGGAGCAACTCTACCAAAGAAAAGCTGATAACACAACACTGTCATGTCGTGACCGAATGATGGATGTACTGAATTAAACTAATACATAAGAGATAAAACTGCCGTCGTGATGTTGATTAATTGACAGTCATGACATTTCTGACAGTTACTGCCCTGTTAACATGCAATGGCCTCCTCTGTGGAGCAGAATGCTGGACTTGCACTTTCTACATCAGAATTCCTTCTACAGGCTGTAACTTCTATATACACACATCACAGAACACAGCGCAATGTGTGGAGTGACACCTCCAGAGGTGCTGCAGTAACCAATGAAACACATACATATAACCGCCATGCATCCTTATATGACCGTGCACTGCAATATAGATCTGTTACAGTGTGAAGATGGTCAATCATACCAACACGTCCAATTCTGCAAAAGAGCGCTCAAACACAGTACTGTGAAAAAGCCAAACCACCATTCATTTATTACATTTACTATCAAAACAGCCAAGCGCAAAACAGAAAATCACACAAAGCACCAACAATTAAATATATCATAGTTCAGTATTTATTGTGTCCACTCTTTTCCTCCTAGTGCAAATGTTTTCTGGTGAGAAATATCTGTAGAGATCCTCTCTCTCAAACATGAACGCTTTAAGTGCTGTTTATCTGATGGGGGCAGTTTTGGGGTCTACCAGCTCTTCCAGGTAGTTGCTAGGATCCACATTTTCTCTGTAGCTTTTTAATCATTGTTTAAACTCCAGTTTTGGAAACTCCTGTTTTTTTTTCCTCCACTTATTTTCCATTGACATTCTCCTTCCTGACGCAAGCGGAATATCTTTTTTCTAATCTCCTGAAAAATGAATAACTTGTACTCAATGGCTGTTTAGACTGGGCACCTGGACACCAAGATATGGATTTTTGTGCTCATATGGTAGCAAATGCCACACATAAACATACACACTATTCTAAGAAAACACCCTGAAATGATAAATGTCACCATATGGCCACAAACACTTCAAGTAAGCATGATAAGAAAGAGTGAGGTGTGCAGGAGGCATTTCATCTTCCTCATCTAAAAATACACCTGACCTATCTGCGAGACTGAATACGCAAGCCTCAGACTGAAGGTATATCCAAGCTACCCTCTATTTCAGAGCATCCTTTTACAGTAAAAATGGTCATTTAATTAGTCTGAGCCTCGATCTGAAGAAGAGCAGGCTTTTTGTAGAACTCCCCCTCTTACTGTCTGCAGAGCCTCCCTATTATTTACAGAGTGTGAGTAACTGGAGAGCAGCAATTTTGGGTTTTTTTGGCTCTGCACCCCAGCACATTGTATTAGATATGAAATAATGGCTCCTGGGTTAAAGTGCAGGATGTCAGCTTTAGATTGAGGGTATTTTGTCTCTACTGGATGAACCATTACAGGAATTACAGCCCTTTATAAATAGTCCTTCCATTTCAGGTGGCCATAAGTAAATGCTGCATTACAGGACAGACAGAGCATCATAAGGAAAACAACACAAAACAGCAACTGGTGATTTCAGTGCATGACACACTTTAGGCAGTTCTTATCTTCCATTTAACTAACACTGACATGAACTTCAGCCAGACAAATATAATGACAAATATAATGCACTAGAGTGCCCAGTCTTAAAAACAGTCCTATTACTTTTGGACAGCACTGTATGCAGGGCAATGTACTATCTACACCAGCAATGATGTGTTTGTGATGTGAATTAGACAACACTGTTAATATTACAGTGATCTTAATGCACAGACACTACATATCCTAAGCCAGTGAAGTTTAAGGGGAGACAATCCTATTCCTTCCATTATATCAAAAATATGACTGCAAAATGCCAGAGGACACCTGCAGAGAGTGAGTCCTTTAAGAATGAGGGTGAACAGAGCTAAAAATCCTAAAATGTTAATTAAATATGACTTACAAAGCAGCGTAATAGCATTGTGGATAAAACCACTGTCCTGCACACAGAAGATCAGGGTTCATCTTCTCATTCTCAGGGAAAAACAGCCAAGACTTCTCGTGCTGCATCAGTCCAGGAGACACGCTTTCAGTTTGTCAAAGTAATCTGTAGAGGTGGACCCCAATATTCGACTATTCGGATATTCATTCGTTGGGTAGGTATTTAGTTTTTAATTCTGGGATTTGGCTACTTCTTGTTTTTTTTGCAGGTAAAAGTGGCCCAAATCAATTTTTTTTCTTCATATGTGACACAGATGTGTGTCTTTGTGTCTCTGCAAAAAACACAAATCTGACATTCTCGATTCCGATCTGGGACACTTTTATATGTGGTACTGAAATCTGATACGTATCCGATCTGCAGCAATGCAACTCAGTGTGAACAGCCAGATCGGAATTCATGCAGCTTTACCATCAATCCAACATGACACTCTTCATAATTTCGTGCTTCTGAGACTAAAACATTTAGGCTGATGTTTCTGTACCAAAAAATTAGAAAGCGCTTACCACAACGCCCCTCACCACCACCCACCGTGTTCAAAAAGATTTTGAAAGAAAAGTCCGAAAGCAAAGTTTAAAGAATCCGAGGACGTGAACCGAAGAAGTGACCACGCCCTTTTTACGGAGCTCGAACACATTCTGGGTGATGAGTCCAGCTGTCAGTCAGTGAAGCTTCATGATGGCTCCTGTGATGCTGGTGAAGATGAAGCTGATCCTCCGGGAGCGACTGGCGTTCGTTGGCAGTCGTGATTGATTACCTCTGGATGAGCCGTGATGCAGCGTGATGCTCTTTTCTTTTGCGCATGCAGGTCAGTTTAGGAGCTGATCTGTTCAGATAATCTGAACAGCCAAACAAAAAAACTCAGATTAGGTGAGAAAATCAGATTTGGGCCACTTTTACCTGCTGTGTGAATGTAGCCTAAGCACTAATAGCTAAAACCACAATCCTATGCTCTGGAAAACCCACCACTCCACCTTTATTCAGGCTCTTCAATATAAAAATCCTTGTACGAATGAACCTAAAACAGCCCAACAGAAACTTTTCTTCTCTTTAAAAAACGGAACTACTTACAATGTGGCATGACGACACCACAACGTGTCGTCATCACATTCTTGCACTGTATTTAATCTTTTTATTTGCACTATTAAAATGTGGAAATATGTACCATCTCAGCTCAGGCCACGATGCTGCCCTTCATACCTCGAGTTAGACCACCTCTGTGAAGCGCTGGTTAACCTGTGCACGCACTGTGCTTTTACCCCCTAGCTCACCGCTAAGAAAGGCTACCGGGCCTGGTAGATGACATGAAGCCGAACTGTGAGCATCACACAACTCTGTGAGGAAAGCAGATTTTACAGCGGATGAAGTCGCAAATGCGCTTTCAACATAACCGTCAGATATTGATTTTCACAGGTCTGGACTCTGGGGTGGTCAGTCCATCGTTCAGCTTCTTTGTTTGATGTGTCCGTCTCCTTTTCTCAGTGAGGTTCTTCTTGAACAGCTACACATCCTTTCAGACCCACAGCGCTGAGTCGTCTTCTCTTAGTGGAAGGATGGACAGAAACACCTGTGGATGTTTTCAGATCTGAAGCAGCTTGATTTTCTCCTCTCTCTCAAAGATGAAAGCTTTAAGTGCTGTTTATCTGATGGGGGCAGTTTTGGGATCTACCAGGTCTTCCAGGTGGTTGTTAGGAGACACATTTTCTCTGGAGCTTTTAATCTAAACTCAGAAATACATCTAGGAAAATAAATAATTTGTACAGTTTTGACAGAAAATATATGAAACAAATGAACAGTGGTCTCTGACCTTTGCACTAAACTGTACCTCCCTTAAAAACAAAGAAAAATAAAAAATGAAAAACTAAAATGATTAGCATGATCACTCCATTTTCAAAAAGCTTGTGAACACTGACGGAAAGAACACAGCATGATTAATGTGGCGCAGGTGCGTGAATCGATAAACTGGAGGAACCTGAAGTAGCGCGGCTTTGTTCAGCGCCGCACAGCAAGTCCCGCTCCTACAAAACCCACTGAGCCACAAAAGCCTGTGTACCAGCGCGTTTAATACCGAAGGCCAAACGACATATTTTAAAATTATTTGCTCTTCAAACGGTTATGTGATAAAGTTCAGTTCAGAGACACAGACCAAAATAAATAAATTAATAAATAAACAAACATACTGCTTCAGAGCAATGCTGTCCCTGAATTCACATTTGATCAGCTGGCCTTGACACATCTCTCTTTAAGCGGCCAGAGTGGAGGGACAGCAACCTTTTATATAAGAACTTGAGCTGTGAACCAGAAAGCAGGATACAAATTCTCTCTTTTCGTAATATAAGTGATCGAAGAACAAATAAGAATTCAATGTAATTAAATACTGTCTTTAGGCCACCAGGTTCCGTATTCTAATTTGCTGCCTTTTGAAGAATTTGCTGATTTTCTATCAAGTGTGACAACACTCTTGAAAAAAGTAATAATTGGAGATTTTAATATCCACTTCGACAAACCACAGAACCCACTAAGTAAGGCATTTATATTTTGAGTGAAACTAACAGAGTAAGACAGATATAAAGGGGCCCACACATTATCGCAAACACACTCGACTTAATTGTGATTTTTTAAACACAGATCATTTTGCTGTTCTCCACTAGATCATTACCTAATCTTGTTTGAAATTCACTTTAGTCATAATATACGTTTATTGTAGAGCTGAGCGATATGGTCAAAAATGTTATGATAAACAAAATTCATATCGTTCGATATCGATACATATCGCAATACATATCGAAGCAAATCATTACTTCTTTCAAGTCTGAGGCTGATTTTTGTTCCTGGGTGGTTAATTGCTGTTTTAAACTATCCTTTATGGTCAGAATATGACAAACACTCGCCAAACAGTGGAACATTTCACAAATCTGTCATGGGACAGTGGGAGAAAGTTTCTGGTGAGCCGTTTTTATCAGTTGGAAAAGCACGGCCGCAATTTTTCTAATAGTCATAATTTCAGAGAGAACAGATTATTTTATCTGTCTGGTGATGAGCGCTCGGCTATCCGGTTACAAATGCTAAACAAGTGGCCAACAACAGAGCTAAACTGTTGAGTTTCTTAACAACGTCAGTTTAGTACGAACAGCAAACATTAGCTGGCTCAGTACATCAGTGATGGATCACACCGCGTTACTGCCATCAGTCCTACCACATCCCTGTCAGAGCACATCACAGCATTCAGACACCAGCTAGCAGACGACTGGGGTTCTCTATAGTAGTTTGAGGGGCGAACCGCAGTATATCTGACGCTCGCTGTGTAAAAGCATTAACTGCAGTGATTCTCTCACACCAGACAAACAGAGCCACTTTTTAGGTGCATTTAAACTGAAATCAACGCTTTTTTGGTCCTGTTCCATCTACAGTAACATCAATTCTCTGTGCTGTGTGAGTGACGGAGCGCTGCTTCAAGTTAGCAAGCTGCTAAAAACAGTTTACTTCCGTTTAAATCAGTGCAGCTCTTTCCTTCACTGTTGTTGCTTGGGAATGCACTAATACTAAAATATGACTGAGCGCTGTAACTGCTGTAGTTGTGAGGAGCAGACGCGATTTAACGCTGTTAAAGCTTGTTAAGTCAGTGTGTAAGGAAAGAGGTTAATTCACTCTAAGCCAGTACAGTTATACCACTTATCTCATCACTCACACTCTGTCACAGGAGAACAGATCCCCAAAAAGTTCCCATTTAACATATAATTACACATATTTAAATCTAAAGCAAAAGAATATTTGAAACAGCGTTAAAAAGACATGTAGAAAACTGTCATCCATGCCAAACATGCTGTTTAATTAGTGCTGCACAGCACGGGACATAGCATGTTGTTATTTGCTAATTAGGCCTCTGCAACACAGTACTGCAAAAGGTCAGAACAGAGCCTAATGAAACACATTCAGGACTAAAACAATCAATAATTAAAGGCAAATAAATAAATAAATAGCTCCTAATTACGCCAGCTTCTGGTAAATAAGTAAACTAACAAGTCTATTTTTATTTCATGCCAAAAGCATGTGAACAGCGCTGAGGGGATACTTACGTTCACAGGGCACAACTATGTTCACCAACGTCAGTGAGTGTGTTTACGTGCACTTAAACCAATCACTGTCAGATTTTGGCTGTTATCTGACTATTCAAGTGGTCATGTAAACAGCACACTCCGATTTCTGAGACAGGATTAAGGCCTAGAAATATGATCACAAAATCTGATAAAGAGAGCAGGATTTTAGCTCAGTAATCAAAATTTTCAGCGCACATGTACCCTCACTTTGAATCCACGTCTTCTTCTGTGAGTTTATTGGCTGGTTGTAAAGCAGAAATCTGATTACTGTCTGACTCATGTAGACACAGAGCTTTCCCATTATCAGAATACACAAGTGCGTGTAAACAAATTAAATGAACTACTGACAAAATCTGATTTTCTGCCGTTTCAGTATCTTTAGCCACTGGCTGGGCAGCAAGAACTTCAGAAACTGCAACCAAAATTCAGAACAGTGGGTAAAAAAACTAAAACCAAAACTGGAAAAAAGCTGATAAAAAAAAGAAGCTGACCTCAAAGAAACTTACTAAAATGACTAGTTTGTGCCATGAAATCCAACGTCCTCAACAATACAGAACGGCTGGTCATCCAAAGCAGTAAATTCTTTTGTTTATTAGTTATGTTTTGAACTGTAGCTGTCGTTACTGGCGTATCAGCAGAAACGTTCCTGTCTGCTTATGTTGTTTGCTGTATTCTGCGTATCAAACAGGATGTTGTGTTTTTAGCGGTATCAAAGCTGCAGTAGTGGAGAGGTTCTACTCCTTTGATACTCAGAATGAACAGAGATCACCTCTTGTCTAACGTCCGTGGTAAAAATCACAAAATTGTTCCACATGGTGAAGGGGATTTAGACAGACCTCTCAAAATATCTGCATAATTGAGTGTGTGAGATGTAAACAGAGTGATTCAGAGTGATTTGGTGTGAAATGGTTCAGATGTCTTTACAGTGGTGGTGATAGGAACCAGGGGTCGCCATGACTACAACACAAATATAGACATTTTATTTACTATCCAAAACCACCAGTGAACGTTTTTATATGTAATGTTGACGATGGTGGTGTTAATTCTGAAAAAATAAGTTTTCTTTGGGGACTATTTTCCCTTATAACGTCCCTTAATGAACCCCTCCTATGTGATTTGATATTCAGAGAATAAAGATATATTTTAGCCTAAAAGCTTCTCAGAACTATCATAAAGTTTCAGTCATCAGGCAGTGAATTCATAACCATTTCATGTAATAACTTTCTGTGAGCGAGCTTTTAGAGGTGGACGTCCGGTTCCTATCACCACCACTGTAAACAATTCTGTTTCTCTAGAACAGAGCGTTTCACACCAAACCACTCTGAACGACTCTGTTTACATCTTAAACATTTAATTATGCAGAAAAAAAATGTCTGTGGAATTCCTCTTTAACTGTTGGAAACTCTGGGCTGATCAGTGCAGGAGAGCAAAGGGAAAAGAACAAACGATTTTTCATCACTTTTCCATTAAAATTATTTGTGAAATCTTTGAAGAAAAGATTAAACAGGCCTATAACAGTCAAAATATTCATCTGTTTTTCTTTGTTGGTCGCCCGAAATTCCAGTGCTTCTCTAATAGAAATGCTGGTATATCACCTGTTATTTGTGAACTGTCCAACACGTCAATTAAACAGAAGCAAAATGTATCTGACCAAAGCAGCATTAAAAGCTCACTGTAAAAATATCTTGATGATGATAAATGATCATGATATCGCAGCTTGAGTCACTACTTAAAAACAAGGCAGAAGATTTGCTGCAAGAAGCCACAGATGCATCCACCCTCACATTAACACCCCCAGACACAAACCTCCTCTCCATTTTTGTCTGTGTTGCGGCCAGACCAGAAGAGGTGTGCGCAGATGCTGACGGCACGGCACTGGTCAGGCTTCTTCAGCAATTTGGAGGCGGCCAGAGCGCACTGAGTGCGAAGGGGCTCGTGGTTCTCCTCACTGAAGCAGCGCATGCGCTCAAACGTGCCGATGATGAGGGTAATAGCAGCCAGCTGGGCTTTGGAGTCACTGATCTCATCCTCATAGAGAGAGAAAGCCTGCGACAAACAAGATTAATAGGGAAGTAAAAGGGATTTTCATGTCTGCTACAATTTTCAATTTGATTTAATATTTGATATTTTGAGTCTTGACTCTACAGCACTCTACTTATACTCAGCGCTTTACTCAGAGAAATACAATTTTTTTTTAAAAACAAAAGTACATCCATGTGTTAAATAATTGTACAAAACAGCTACAAACAATAAGAAAAATCCTAAATTTTCTTTCACATTTCTTTTGACTTTTTAAATCCCAATTCAAATACAGTTTAAGGCTAAACTTGCATTGACAATAAAATAAATATAAAAATACTATTCAGAAGGAACCCATGTCCCCATATCGACAGTAGGGAACCCTCAGGGCCTTCTAGGCCTTTAGGGAAGGTCTAATAATTTCTGTGACTACACTACACACATACATACATACATACATACATACACACGAAACCCACATAGACACAGAGAGAACATGCAAACTCCTCACAACATGACCCTGGTCACCCGGCAGTGCTACACACTGTGCTGCCCATATACCCTTTCGAATGATCATTTATCCAATTTTTCAAAACTGTACTGAAAATATTACATCCTGACTATTAGGCACACCATCCAGGGACAGCGTGTTTGGGCTTGAGGATGACTAACACACCAGGACCTTCTTCCAAGCATGATTTCATTCATTTAATCTTTTGCTCTGTGGGTTTACAGATCGTGAAGGCTAACATTGCAGAAGTGTCCTTAATTTCTCTTCTACTGTCTCTAAGCGTGACTCAGTCTTGCATCACCTCTCCAGCCGTGCCAGTGGCAAACCTAAGGCCGAGAACAGAGGGGCAGATCCGTACCTGAGACATGAACTCATAGGCCACGGTTTCATGGTTCTCGAAGCCGATCTCTCCGGCTGCTAGTGCCCCCTGGAGAAAGAGCCTCAGGGGCAGCTCGGCCAGCTCTGCCTTTATCAGCGCACTGATGGTCTGGTGGGCGAAAGAGAAGATCTTCTGGCACTTCTTCTCCCATTTATCATCCTGCAGGAGCAAAGACAGTGAGGAAAATTTAGCTGACAGCCAACTCCCCTTTCCATTCTTCCTAAATTCACTGGCGAATGACACCTCATGAGTGGGTTCTATGGCATCATAAGTGAAAAACAGAACTCAAGGTTTAAGCTAGTACTATGCAACAAGAGGAGAAAAAGAGTGCCTTGACATTTTTGGATGTTTCTGGGCAAAATGACAGAACGGGCAATAAAAAAGTCAAGAATTTCATTTCAGCAATTTTTTATAAAAATGTGCAAATAGAGCCACAGAGATGGGAGCTTTTTCCATGCAAATAACAGTTCTGAGTTAGTGATGGAGATTTCCTCTCCTTCTGTTTCAAAGACAATCCTCGACTATACTTGTAGTCTTCAAAAGCGGAGGCCAAAGGCAAGAATAGAGGCTCAAAGGCAGAACATTCGCTCACAGCTGTTACGTGTCATTCAATGCAACGGGAAGCGTTTGAAGAGGTGACATGAGTGGGAGTGAGAATGTTAAACAGGCAGTTGGGAGACATACTGAGGAAGAGTTGTCTTTGTAACGGAAGGCCAGCTGATAGGCGGCGAACACGAGCGGCGGCAGCGTGTAGCGGATCCTCTGATTACCCCCAGCTCCGAAATGCTTCCTGGCTGTGTTTAAAATCTGTGGGAGGCACAAATCAAGAAGAGAAATATAGGACACATCTGAATAATTCATAGCTCTGAAACCGCATGATTGCCTCATCTGCAGATTCAAGAGATTCAACATTCATTAGAGACTAATTAGGCCACTTCTGGGTTTGTGTTGTCAAACTGCAGACCTTGAATAATTTTTTACAAACGCTTCATTCAGTGAGAAATGTCAACATACCTAGGCTAATACCACAGACAATTCAGCTAAGCTGGGACAAATCCCATTTAATCTGCAGTGGGACAATGTCAGCCTGCAGCCAAGCCCTCTGAACGGCCCAACAACTGTGCTCAGGCAGAACGGTCAGGAATGGGGACTGTCACTTTGCAGCTACGGAGTCAGAAGATTTTCACTTATGTATGCAAAAGTTTAAGAGGCCCTGGTCAAATGACATTAAGAATTTAACATTATATATATATATAAAACTTATATAACATAATGCACTTTTGCACACAACTATACATTCATTCATATTCAGCAGATGTTCATATAGCCCTGTGGAGAACATTTACATATAAAATAAAGCTTCTACAGCTGTTTAAGGGACATTTACATTATGGAGTTCTTTAAACTTAAAGATTCTTTACAAAAATATTTATCTGAAAAAACACTGATTGAAAGTTTCTTTCTTTTGTGCAAAGAACCCTTTTGACACCTTTGTTTGAGAGTGAAACACAATTAGCATCCAATCTATTAGCTTTCAAAACAAACAAAAGGGCCCCAACAGCATTATTCAAGATACGCTTCTCTTTCTGAAGCCACAGCATTTAAATCCACTTTAAAACGCAGGAGCATGTTTATTCTTCTAACTCAATAACAAGACAAAAATGTTCAGAGTGTTTCCTCCAGCTGCTCAATTCTACACTTTGATCGCTCACCTTGGAATCAGAGGTGAACGCATGTTTTAAGCATGACTTTACATTTAAATAAAATGTATGAAAATATTCTTCTTGTAAAAAATAAATTAATAAATGAAAACTGAAGACGGCGGAGCTGTGGAGTAGAAACGACAGATCTGCACATGGCATCATCAGGATTAGGGACGATGTGTCAGAGTAGAGCATAAAAGCTTGGGGCCGAGTGGAAATAGCTGTGGAACAGAAATGCGCAATCAACTGCGTTTTTATTGAAACAGCCTCCACGTGTAATTGTTCAAAGCTGCAATTAATGCATTCCACTTGATAGCTTGTCTGCTGCATCACAATCAAGAATTTCGAGATGCAAACAGCACCGATCATTAAGGCTCCAACAAAGCGCCAAGGTTTTTATAGCATGTGTTGGAAAAGCACCAAACAGACCCACATATTAATATGTAATATGTAATAATGGTCCTGTGAGTCAACTGAGTCACAGGCTTCGCCACATCAAGCTGACCAAATCTCAGCTTGGTTCAAACAAAGCATCTGAATAAGAGTTAAATTATACAACAAGGCCCAACCCACCCCTCGCCCCTACCACTTAGCCCTTAGCGCTCCGGTATCCGCGTTCACGTCTAGGGGTGGGTGTCCCCATTTTTGTTGAGATAGAGGGGGAGGTTGAAGCGTTGGGGCTACATGACCCTCCTAACGGAATAGAAAATTACAGTAACCACTGTATTATCTTAGTTTAATGTTATTCCGATGTATTATGGTCCTTTTCTTCATAACAAGCATAAAAAAGCTATAAAAAAATTTCTAGCTAAATTTCCCGTTTCACATTAAATGCTGCAGCAGTTACTTTCTGGCACCTCAGGTGAAATGGGAAAATTCAAACAAAGAATCTGGTGAATATCTGACTTCAGCTTCATATCACTGAAGAATTAGGGATGGGTGATAATAAATAATTGCCCCCCTCTTTGAAGTCATATGATGCCCTAAATGTAACTAAAGCCCAGCAGTGAGGAGCTGAACTTTACCCTCCTCTGCTGTCACTGCAGACTGGCAGGGTCGCCTACAGAGCAGCGCTGGTAGGTGTTAATGAAGTGATGCTCTTTTTATTTGAGGGTCCCATTTCAGAGGGAAGGTTTCAACCACTACCCTGTAACTCAGTTCCAAGGGGTTAGGGTGACACTTGAAAACAAGGGGTAAAAATAAGAAATGGGACTGGGCCCAAAACGGAAGAATCATTGTAAACTGTAGTTAATAACTGCAATCACAAAATCTATAATCACAATTTTCAATGTGATCAAACAGTCCACCTACATAGGGCAGCTTGGTATGGACAAAGAAGTGTATTACCACTCCTCGCTCACACATCAGAGAAACGCTGCTCCATTTCTCCTCCATACGATTCATTTTTTATATTTATTTTAGTCGTAAACGTATGACACACTAAGCTATCCATTTCATGGTTTATGGTCGTATTACAAAAAAAATAGTTAAAAATTCTGTACTACGTGAGCTTTTTCGGTCAGTATGGGCTTAAACAACAGCCCAATCACAAGCCAGCAAACCATCGAGGGTAAACAAATGTGGGCACTTTTAACAAAATCTTCAACGTTCTGCAGCAAAGTGGATGAAACGAGATTGTAAGTAATATCCGTAAAACTCTGTAGTGAAGTCTGTAGTTCTGCTGAACAGCTCCGCAGTGCAGATGCTGTGTCCGGAGCTCTGGCTGCTGCACTGCTGCATCGCTCACGTCACACAGAGGGAGTCGATGTGGAAAAGAGGACTGGCTGAGTGAGGGGAGGATGGAGCAATGAAGGAGTGTTTTCAGACACTCTGACTTTCTAAACACAAACACTGGGCAAAATCAAGCACTTTCTTAAGCTCTGAGGTTCTAGGTATTTACCAGGCAAGTATGAGGTATAAACTCCAAAATACTAGATCATTATTTGGGCTAAATGATGGTAAGTTCCAAGATAGTTTAACTAAATCACACTGAAATGCCAAACAGGTTCTAGATATTAACTGGGTAACCGTGGGGCACAATCTCCAAACAACTGTGTAATTACTTTGGGGCAAACGATGTTAAGTAACAGTACAGTCTAACTAAATGATACCAAGATAAACCATAATGCTGAAAGAGGACATAGTAAAACATCTCGAATATTTACAGTAACAAGTAACAAGGCTGTTAAAAATAATAACACTAAATTTCACTGTAATGTCACACATTTAAGCAGGAAAGTAAAATCAGGAACACCTCCAAGTAGTTATATGTTGAGTTCTATGGCGTAAAATAACGGCACAAAATAAAATGATAGTTTTCTGAAGTAAATCTGATGGAAAGAACAGTGAAAATCACTGCTTTCTTTTGCAGCCAGATTCAGATTTGTTTCCACATAATAAACAGGTAATTACTGTACAAGAATCTATACCTTGTGTACAGTTTCTTCCCCCAAAATAAGCACACAGTACTGTGGAGTTTGTACCACATACTTACCCAATTACTACATAGAAACCGTTAAGCATTTGAGTGTAATTCACTTAGACTGTCTTTAAACTCACCATCCTGTTACAAAGTAATTACCTAGTATTTGGAGTGCCTCGCACTTGCCTGGTTAATAGCTAGAACATGAAGAACCGTAAAAGAAAGCGCAACCGAGTTATTAGCTACATATTGGAACATGTATTGGAATATATCAGAATATATCACAAAAACCTTTGATGTGACATGATTTTAAACTAGGCTGCATCACAGAAATTATTTACACTCGTTTGACTGAGTGAACGCTTTCATTCATCAAAACGCTCACAGAACACCCACCTAGAGCATCTGACACTCACAGAACACCCACCTAGAACATCTGAGACTGGTCAGAACACTTACAGCACATAATAACTGTTAGAGAGCTCATTATGTAGAGGGCAGTATCATGACAATGATTAACAAACGCATAGTGTGCAGCCCTAAAACGATCATCAAAACAATATCATCTATATTGCAGCACTGTACAGTCTTCATTGCATTGTAAGTAAGGCAAGCAAACAGAGCGATGCCTACCAGGTACTGCTGGTCGGGGTCCTCCGAGTGCAGCAAGTGGATGAAACGGCCCACCAGACTCTGCTCCTCTGCAAAGTCCTCTGGGTCTGGATCTTCTGCAGGCTGGTCCGGCTGGTCCTGGATCAGTGTGGATACCAGGTTCAGGATAGCATCCACCTGCAGGGAGACAGAAAGCAGGTTACCCATCAGCCCATTTACTAATGATCTACACCCAATAAAAAGTTCTACTCAGGAATCTGTGATCTTACGCTAACAGGAACAATCAACACAAGGTTTTTGTTTTAGTGTGATGAGTGTTGAGGCCCAGTAACACCTGAGTTCCCCAGCAAATGTTTGTGAGCAAAAGGACATTCATTTCAATGGAATTCGCTGCATTGAGCGATTCTGCATCACAAGATCTCTGGGGCGAATAAATTTCGCGTTGATTAGAAATTCAGTGAACTTTGACTTGCAAATCTGCACCCTCTACCAACAGCATGACCGCTTTGGCTGTGTTGACCTTTCAAGGGGTGAAACTCTAGTCGGTGTGAAAGCACAAACCTTTTAACACACTACACTGCGATACAGCACTGTGATACTACACTGCGATACAGCACTGTAATACTACACTGCGATACAGCACTGTGAGGATACACTGTGATACAGCACTGTGAGGATACACTGTGATACAGCACTGCGATACAGCACTGTGAGGATACACTGCGATACAGCACTGTGAGGATACACTGTGATACAGCACTGTGATACAGCACTGTGAGGATACACTGTGATACTACACTGCGATACAGCACTGTGATACTACACTGCGATACAGCACTGTGATACAGCACTGCGATACAGCACTGTGAGGATACACTGCGATACAGCACTGTGAGGATACACTGCGATACAGCACTGTGATACTACACTGCGATACAGCACTGTGAGGATACACTGCGATACAGCACTGTGAGGATACACTGCGATACAGCACTGTGAGGATACACTGCGATACAGCACTGAGGATACACTGCGATACAGCACTGTGAGGATACACTGCGATACAGCACTGTGATACTACACTGCGATACAGCACTGTAATACTACACTGTGATACAGCACTGTGAGGATACACTGTGATACAGCACTGTGAGGATACACTGCGATACAGCACTGTGATACTACACTGCGATACAGCACTGTGATACTACACTGCGATACAGCACTGTGATACTACACTGCGATACAGCACTGTGATACTACACTGCGATACAGCACTGTGAGGATACACTGCGATACAGCACTGTGATTATTCACTGTGATACTACACTGCGATACAGCACTGTAATACTACACTGTGATACAGCACTGTGAGGATACACTGTGATACAGCACTGTGAGGATACACTGTGATACAGCACTGTGATACTACACTGCGATACAGCACTGTGAGGATACACTGTGATACAGCACTGTGATACTACATCAAAACTCTGGTCAGCTCTAAAAGAGCCAGGCTGCTCATTAATCTAGAAAGAGACTCAGACAGTGAATCAGAGCTGCTGATTTCGGTTTGGTTTTCGCCCTTCAATTCCTAATGAAAGCCATTATATTGTTAACGAGGAGCTGATTGTACATTTGTACTCTACAGAATACAAGATACAGCTTGGCCTACAACGGTGAGCACAGACACATGAAAAAGAACCTCGGTTCTAAATTCATGAACGTTCATCCCCCCTAATTTTGAGTACACTGACAAAAAAATAGCAATTTCAATATCGATTGACTTCTTCTAGAACAAACAACTTTAAATGGTTCTTCCTCGCTGTCGCTCAAGTGGGAGTCCTCAATGTGGCCCCTCGCTAAACGGGTGGCTGAGTGAAAGTCTGTGTGCAGGAGCAGGTATTTGAAAAGGCCACAGCTGTTCCTGCTTTATAGCAATGGAGCAAAATCAATATGTCCTTCTGTCCTAGAAATGGAGGTTCTGGGGGAAACCAAATGCTTCTCATCTGAGTCACTACTGACATTTCTCTACTTAGCAAGTCACACAGCTTTTATACCTAGGACTGAAATATGACTATGCGTTATTGGAAGCAAAATGCAGTAACATTAAATAGACGAAGTTCCATTTGAAAGCCAAAGAAATCACAAATTTGAATTATTTTTGAAACAGTTATTCGCACATTAATGTAAATAAGTATGTCCAGTGAGTACCAACACAAATGTGAACTTAAACCTTTACTTTGTTTCTTTTGAGCCGTTCAGAGGTGGACTTGCTTGTGCGTTTTAGGTCGTTGTCCTGCTGCATAACCCAACTGCACTTGAGCTTTAGGTCACGAACTGACGGGCGGACATTCGCCTTCAGGATTTCTTGATAAGGAGCAGAAATTATGGTTCCATCAATTATAACAAGTTGTCCAGGTCCTGCAGAAGCAAAGCAGCCCCCAACCATCACACTACCACCACCATGCTTCACTGTTGGTTTGATGCTCTTATGCAATGTGCTGTTAGCTTTACGCCAGATATAACGGAACCCATGTCTTCCAAAAGTTCCACCTTCGACTCATTATTCACAGAATATTATCCCAAAAGTCTTGGGGGTCATTTAGATGTTTTTGGCAGATGCAAGACGAGCCTGTGTGTTCTTTTTGGTCAGCAGTGATTCCAGGAGGCATCCATGGGAGAGTGCCTTGCGACTCTCCTATGGATGCCATTTTTGTCCAGTGTCTTTCTTATTGTGGAATCGTGTTAACTGACCTTAACTGAGACGAGTGAGGCCTGCAGTTCTTTAGATGTTCGTCTGGGTTCTTTTGTGACCTCCTGGAAGAGTCAATAACCCAATTTAACCCAATAGTGAACTGAATTTGGTTACTGGCTAATTTAGTAGCTAAGGGGGCAATTACTTTTTCACATAGAGCCAGGTAGGGCTGAACAGCATTTTTCCTTCAATAAATGAAATTATCATTTAAAACAGCATTGTGTTTATGTAGGTTATCTTTGTTGATTATTAACAGCAGTTTGATGATCTGAAACACTCAAGTCTTCTTTTTGTTCTAAAGGGGAACAAATGCTGTAATGAAGTCAACCTGAGCAGTTATTAATTAATTGCTGCCATATCTCACATTTTAAACTGCTGGCTGTAGTGATACTCATATTAGACTGGCTAGTTAATCTGAGTTATAATGCAACTAAAATATGTGTAAGGCCAGTGCTTTAAAATATGCTTCTAAATAATACATTAAAGTTGATAATTAAATATACTTTCTTTAAGTCTGCGTCAGTATGTTAAGATACATACGTACATACAATTATATACAATTAAGTTTATTTCCTTGCGGCTCCTGAGTGGCAACCGTCTAAGCGTTGGCCCTATCATCAGGAGATCGCGAGTTCGAACCCTGGAGATGCTACAGCCATCCGTAGCCGGGAGTCCGAGAGAGCACAATTGGCGTCGCTCTCTCTGGGTGGGTAGGATGGCCCCCCCTTCTCCCCCCATCACTCACTCAGCGCGATGCTAGTCAGCGCAGGCGTCTGTTAGCTGACGTAACAGATCTGGTGGTTGGCGCTTTCCTCCGAGCGCGTTCAGCTGTCCAGTGACGTTGCGTGAGCGGCAGCTCGAAAAGAAAGCGGTGGCTGGCTTCACAGGTCTCGGAGGAAGCCTGTGTTAGCCTTCACCCTCCTAGCGTTCATAGCATTGTGTGATTGGGGGAGTCCTAACTAGCGGGGTGGAATTGGCTACGACTAAATTGGGGAGAAAATCGGGGAAAAAAATATATATATATATTTCCTTGCAGCAAACTGACGTATAATTTAAAATGTGTTACTTTAAAAACACAAACAGCAAACTGAAGTTGTCATACATTGTTCCAAATATAATACATTTAGTATGTATTACAGTTTGTTTACAGTGTAAACAATAAGAATATGTTCTTTTCATATTATATACACTTTTCAAAAATACACTTCAATGCATTTTTCTTTCACAGATGATGTTACACTGCATCCAAAAGTCCGGGAGAAAATATACAGACCAACAATTCAGCGAAGGCTTTAAAGGGTGACAGTCTTTCGTGTTCATGTTTGTGATCAAGTGAGTATAAAATGTGATCTTGCGTTCACTAAATATATGGTGCGCAAGATTAATCAAACCAGTTCTGACCTTCTATAGATTTAGGCCCAGAGACTCCAAACAGAGAGTTTGAGAAAAAAAGAAAAAACGGCAAAATGGCTGAACAAGAGACCAAAGAAACCCACAAATGTGAGAATTTTCTCTGTTAAAAAACTACAATAACCACTGTATTATCTTAGTTTAATGTTGTTTCAGTGTATTTTGGTCCTTTTCTTCATAACAAGCATAAAAATCGCTAATAGCATCCTAACGTCTCAGTAGCTAGCTAGATAACTTTCCCGTTCCACCTTAAATAGTCCAGCAGTTCTGACGGCTGAAGTGCCAGAATGTAACTGCTGCTCCATTTAAGGTGGAACGGGAAAATTCGAACAAGAATCTGGTGAATATCTGACTTCAGCTTCATATCACTAAAGAATTAGGGGTGGGTGATAATAAATAATTGCCCCCCTCTTTGAAGGCATATGATGGCCTAATTGTAACTAAAGCCCAGCAGTGAGGAGCTGAACTTCTGCTATCACTGCAGACTGACAGGGCCGCCTACAGAGCAGCGCTAGTAGCTGTTAATTTTTTTTTTTAGCTGTTAATTTTGTTTTTTGTTTTTTTTTTATTTGAGGGTCCCATTTCGTGGGGCAAGATTTCAACCACTACCCCTTGTAACTCAGTTCAGAGTTGGACTGTACAGCTGTAGATGAGTTTCTCCTCCATTTAGTTGAAACACTGACTCAAACCACCTTCTATTGACTGACACATGAGTACGTCATAATATGCTGTGACAAAAGTTTAAAATGGAGCACAATTTTCACACACAGTCATGCACTGGTGTTCAGTGTCTGTTAATAATCTGTTTTCAATGAAATCAACAGCAAGACACGTGTTTTTCACTGATATTACGATGTCCTTGTGAACACAGCCTGTCTTGCCATTATGAAATGAGCCTAAACGAGCACCTAAAACTGAACGCGCCGCCAAGGACGCTCCGTTAAAGGCTTCATTGAGAAGGCAGACACATTCCTGTGGTTATGACACAAACTACTCTCTATATGTCTCTGTGCTCAGCAACAGCCCGACAAACTGACATGCTTGCATCATCATTCACGGAGGAGTAAAACCTTGTAGTTGAAGCCCCCCGAGTCGTCACCATGTACTGCTGCAGTGGGAGCTCGAGCTCATTCAAAGCATCCTCTGTTACTCAAGGGCAGCAACCTAATCATTTCCCTTGGCTATTTTTGAGAAACATGCTTTCAAACGTTCCCCTCCGTGGTGCTACTGAATCGTCTGCTGGCAGCACCAACTTCTCATGCCTGTGTATTACGATACGTTAGTGTCAGGTGAAAAGCCCTTTCTTTGAGCCGAATATCTTTTCGTTAACTCAACATCAAAATTAGTTCTTTCATCTCTTTCACGTTAAAGGTTTGGGCTCCAGAGCGGTGCAACCGTCTAAGCACTGGCCCCATCATCCAGAGACTGAGAGGCCATGACTCCAAGGCAGAATAACTGGCCTCTGTCTCTGGACGAGTAGGATGTCCTGCCTCTCTTTCTAGATAATAATTGTGATTAAAAACGTCTTTTAAAAAAATCTTTTTTTTTTTTGTTCTTCGCATGCAACTATTAAAATAAAAGTCTAAAGTGTCCAAGTTGGCCAATTAACTATTTTGCTTCCAAGCTGTCGATACCCAGCTGACAACAGACCTGGCTCAAGCTCAAACAAACAATACTCACCATCGCCCTCTAAAGGTGTTACTAAGAAACATCAAATAAACAAACATTACACAATGCTGCCCTCTAGAGGTGTTCAACATCAAATAAACAAACATTACACAATGCTGCCCTCTAGAGGTGTTCAACATCAAATAAACAAACATTACACAATGCTGCCCTCTACAGGCGTTAGAGCACCAAGTCAGAAGTTAGAACTCCTGCTGTGCGTTCGTCTGCTGTACATTCGTCCGCTGAGGTGTATGTCTTTATATGACGTGTTTCAGCCTCAACCCAAAGGATGAAAAGGCATCCGACTAACCTCTTATGCTCGTGGGTATATTTCAGTTTTTCCATCTGAATTAAAATGCCCAAACTGTAAGGCAAATTATTCAGTAACTGCATGAAATAAATGATTTCTTTTTTTGTAAAAGCTCCCCTCAAATTAACAGAAATCTGTTTTATGATCACACACATTGCTATATGCTTACAATTTACTGCTGAAAGCCAAAAATCTCAGACGCTCTTAATTGTTTTATAAAAAATAATTTTTACAGAGCAGATCACTGAAGAGACGCCATCTGAGATCCAGTTTACAGCTCAGATTTGTGGAAAAATGGGTCGACTTTCAATAGAAAAAAAACCCTTTTTGAGTTCAACTTCTTTTTGATAAAGTTTTAAAATTACATTACCGTCTATTAGACTGGAAAGAAGACAGCTACAGCTCTCATATGACCCCCACCTTTTGAATGTAGCTTATGAAATATGAAAGTTATGAAGTAAAGAATATGACGAAGTGCGTTTTGGAACCACCGGTGGTTCCACAGAGTTAAAAAGGTCTTCTGTGATGTAAACATCTGAAAAACAACAACTAAAAACAACTGCAGTCAGCGCAAATAACTGTGATTAGCTCAAGTAATTACAAACAGATAATTATGTAATAACTGTGAGAGGCCAAGTGCTTCACATGTCTCAGAGCAAGTATGTGCTAGTCTTCACTGGTAGATAAACAATAATAATAATAATAATAATAAAAATAATTATTTGTTTAAAAAAACAAATCCCTATATTATCTAAGCTTATGAGAAAGTAAAAGTGGCTGAAAACAAACAAAAAAAATAATCAAACAAATAACCAAGCTAAGGCTGTGTGAATGAGAGGTGAGAGCATTATAAATGATCTATACCTGCTCCTGCGCCACAATTGTGGTGTTGTAGTCCAGGGTGTTGCTGAGGACGTAGCAGCTCATGCTCTTGCGTGACTCGTAATCGAAATACTCGAAGAGCGGTGGGAAATGCTTGAGCTGCAGCACAGTCAGGATGTTATTGTAGGTGTCCACAGGAATTTTCAATAGCCTGGTCAGCTCCTTAGAGACGGCGCTGCTGGTCGCAATGCTGCAGAAAAAGATAAGGATTAAAATCACAGACACATGTAAACAATGTATTTGTGACATCACTGCTGATGGGCACAATTATGGGCAGACAAAAACAATATGCAACAAACAGGAACATTTTAATGTTTTCAGGCGTCTTTACAACGTCCATAAAACTCAACAAGGCACAGGAACCAAAGTGAACAGTGAGACATAATTAATAAAACAAGAATTTAATAAGTTAGATAAGTTATAAAAAATAAATGCTTGCACTCTTTTTCTCTCTTTCTCTCTCTCTCTGCGTTAGTGAGCTGAATCAGTGAATTCAGCAGCTTTAAACAAAGTCTAGTTAATGTTGTGAGTGGTGAAAAACTCTGTTCTAGAGAAACTTACGAGGTCAGACAGCTGTAACAGTGGTGATGATATCAGAAATAAAGAGTTTAGTGACACAAAGCTTCCTCAGATAGTTATGAAGGCGCTGCCTAATGCCCGAGACTTTGTTTTAAAATAGATACTTTATTCATGGATTGAAAAGTACATGCAGTTACATATTACGCTTTGACCAATAGAATGAGACACTCTGGATCACCCACACATGATCCTGAGGTCACCATGCTCAATGCCCAGTGTGGGCTAGAGGGGTATAAAGCCCCCCAGCATTGGGCTGTGGAGCAGTGGAACTGTGTTCTCTGGAGTGATGGAGCTCCATCCAATACTTTTGGGATGAGTTAGTGGTCCAGAACTGACCATCCAACATCAGTACCTGACCTCACTAATGCTCAATCAAATCCTCACAGCAATGTTCAACATCTAGAAGCCTCCCAGAAGAGTAGAGGCTGTTACTGCAGCACAGACTCACTATTAACATCTCCATTCCAGAAGAAATACAATTATTTTTTCAGTGAATATTATTTGGCAGTATTTTAGCTTTACTGCGCTTTTGTTGCGACAGTTTTCAAATAACGCACTTATGTTTACTTAAACTGGCTCTCGAGCACCATTCCTGAATCTGAGAGGGCAGCGATCTGCAGTGTTTTAAAAACCCAGCGTCGAGGTTGTCGCTGCCGCTCTGAAATTGCCGTCACTTAGAGACAGCTTGACAACAACTGTTTACAGTGCATAATCAGGCATTTACATCTCGGCTACAAAACGAAGAAAAAAGAAGAAACATTCAGAAACCATACATTTTACGCATAAGCATCAAAGCACCTCATAATAAAAGTACTTTGGGGTAGGGAAAAAAAAGGCTGTCAAAGGGCATCTCTACCCGGTCATTTAGCTCTACTTATCCACACACCTCCAAGCCTCCGTTCTCTCCTGGACTTTAAAAAGCAAAGTGCTAACAAAATGGCTGATAGCTGAATCAAAAGGAACACAGTTCTGTGTTTTGTGCGGCGCAGTGGCTTTTTAAAAGGAAAGTCTCGAAAAGGAAAAAAAAAAGCTTTTCAAATCTGAGATGACCTACAGCTCATCTGCAAAAGCAGGGGAGTGAACCTCGCTCCCTCTAATCAAAGCCAAGCAAGACTGAGCTGCTTTTCTCCGAGACTGGCTGGGGTGGTGGGGGCGGCTGGGGTGGTGGGGGCGGCGGGGGTGGGTGCTAAGAGGTGTTCTTCCTCTACAATTATGGCAAAGACTTTTTACATGCTAATTTTCTTAGCTTCGAATAATCTACTTGTTGACATATTAGGTGAAAAAACTCCCAGAGCGAGCTTGACAAGAAAGAGGAAAGGGCTTTCGATCAGTAACATTTTCAAGGTGGAAAAAGACAAAGTTGGCCGAGTGGAACTCACGGTTAGCCTGGCGATCGGCGGCATACGGTAAATGTGAATAACTGTATGTCTGCGTTAGACCGAGCCAGGAATCAAGGCTCCAAAGCGGTTTGAGGAATGAAAATGAAGCGTATTTTGTGATGAACCAGGAATGTTGATTTGAAATCGTAGTTAGTGTTTAACACTCGTTATGTTTAATATCTTATTCAACCCATGAAGCCCACAAAATCATTACTTGTATCGATTCATGCAAAAGTTTGAACACCCCTGATCAAATTATGTTTTCTGAGTAAGAATAAATACACACATCACGTACAGAGAGATTTTTCTTCAAATTTTAGTGCACAATTTCTATTTATTTGCTGAGTTTAACATATTGGGAAATAATAAGGGACAACGGGAGGGGGGAAGTCATGGGCTGGAGGTCAGGGAACCAGCCTTGTGATGGTTAAGTCACTGGTTTGATCCCCAGAGCTGACAGAACGTGACTGAAGTGCCCTTATGCAAGGCACCTAACCCCCAACTGCTCCCCGGGTGCCGTGGATAGGGCTGCCCACCACCCTGGGCAAGTGTGCTCACTGCCCCCTAGTGTGTGCATTAACTACAGTGTGTAGGTGTTTCACTGGTCTAAACACGGAGGTCAAATTCCTCTGAGTGCAATTTCTAAATTTTTAATAACATACAATTTTGCATGTTTTATTTTTTTCCAATATGTTACATTCAGCAAATAAACAGCATCTGTGCCTTAAAATGCAGGATGTTTACTTTTCCAGTTAGCAAGTCAACAAAAAACAAGTCATTTGACCAGGGGTGCACAAACTTTTGCATACTAATGACTGTGTCTAAGTAACCTCCGTTTAGAGTTAGACTGAAACACTCCTCATAACTTCAGCCTGAATGAGCGTAGCTAAAATGCTGTATGTAGAACAGGTGGATGTTTATTGGTTATGATGCCACAAAAACAACTTAGCTTTCATACCCAGACCGTTTTAGCAATGTTTACATAGTGTTTCGAAAACAAATGAGAAACACTCCGTTTTACATGATAAGGGCTTTTTATTATGTCATATATGTTATGTTATATCAGAGTTCGGCAACACGTGGCTCTTTTACTGTCCTGTTGTGGCTCCACAGCAGAATCAGATTTGTAGGTAATAATAAAATAATCCTCCTTTACAGTAAAATAAAGCTCTGCTGATCGTTCAACACAGTTTAACAATAAATGGTCTTAAACTCTGGAGTTAATGTAGAACTGCTAATTCACCCTTTAACCCTGAAGATCAGCGCAGACTGCTGGTCACCATAGCAACACAGACAATAATCTCGCCTAGCTAGTAGCTAACAAAACGGCAAAGAGAGAGATTTAAGATGAACATCGATAATTTGGAGATGAATGGACTGATTAGTGTTTATAATCAATCCAGCTGGTTTCCTGATACGTTTAATCTGCAGCGAGAAACTGACACACACTGAGACATATTTATAGCCAAGACGTTTGGGTTGCGACCCCTGAACTATACTATTATTGTCATTATGGTATTTGTGATTCTCGCCTGCTCGGGCTTCAGCATCAGCACTCATACTGTTCCCTGCCTGGCACATTTCTCCTGTTCTGAAAGAATAATGAAGGCTGGATGAGGCAGACGCTTGTGACTGGATGTGATAACTGGGCACATTCTTTAGAAGACAGCTAACAAAAGCACACAGCAGGAAAACCAAACATATCGACAGAGAGTTCAGGTTGCTGAGAGATTCTCAACGTCGGTATTGATACATTTTTGGCTCGCTGTCCAGCTCTGTTACAGAGGCAGGGCAGCAGTTCCTGTCTCTTAAGGGCAAGTCCACTGACTTTTTAAAATGTATGCATAAATAAATCATTAACATGTAAACAGAGTGGTTCAGAGTGGTTTGGTGTGAAATGCTCTGTTCTAGAGAAACTTACTGAGGCAGAATTGTTCACAGTGGTGGTGATAGGAACCAGACGTCTGAAGAGTTTAAAGCCTCTAAATGCTACACAGAAAGTTATTCCATGAAACGGGAAAATGCACTACCTGCTGACGCTGTTTTAGGGTAGTTTTGGTCTACAGCGTAATTTTTATACATATTTATGGTGGAGGGGTAATACAGTATGTTAGACCGTAAAATGGTCCCCAAAAAATTATATATATATTTTTTAAATTTCACACTGTTTTACCATTATCAATATTCCATATAGTAACTTGTGTAGGTTCACTGGTGGTTTTAGTGAATAAAATGGCTGTATTTGTGTTGTAGACATTGTGACGCCTGGGCCCATTTCTTCTTTTTACCCCTTGTTTTCGACTGTTGCCCCTCGGAACTGAGTTACAGGGTAGTGGTTGAAATCTTCCCGCTAAAATGAGACCCTCAAATAAAAAGAGCATCACTTCATTAACAGCTACTAGCGCTGCTCTGTAGGCGACCCTGCCAGTCTGCAGTGACAGCAGAGGAGGGTAAAGTTCAACTCCTCACTGCTGGGCTTTAGTTACATTTAGGGCATCATATGATCTTCAAGAGGGGGGCAATTATTTATTATCACTAACCCTTAATTCTTCAGTGATATGAAGCTGAAGATATTCACCAGCTTCATGCTCGAATTTTCCCGTTCCACTTAAAATGGAGCAGAAGTTACATTCTGGCACTTCAGCCGTCAGAACTGCTGGACTATTTAAGGTGGAACGGGAAAATTAGCTAGCCAGCTACTGGGACATTAGCATGCTATTAGTGATTTTTTTTATGATTGTTATAAATAAAAGGGTCATAATACACTGAAACGACATTAAACTAAGACAATACGATGGTTATTTTGATTTTAACAGAGAAAATTCTCACATTTGTGGGTTTCTTTGGTCTCTTGTTCAGCTATCTTGCCGGTTTTCCTTTTTCTCTCATAGCTCTCTGTTTGGAGTCTCTGAAAATCCTCCGTTTGGAGGGTCATGTAGCCCCAACACTTCACCCCACCCCTCTATCTCAACAAGAATCGGGACACCCTACCACTAGACAAGAACGCGCAAAACAGGGGGTAGGGCTGAGTGGTAGGGGGCGAGGTGTGAAATGGGATTGGGCCCTGGTTCCCATCACCACCACAGTAAAGCAATCTGAACTGGTCTCTACAGTCTGGAGCGTCTCTACAATCAACCATTTCACATCAAACCACTCCGAATCATTTTGTTTACCTCTGAAGTATTGAATTTTTCAGAAATTTAGAAAAATTGGTGGAACTCCCCATTAGATGCAGAACCTGGCTGCAATTTATTAATATCAACAAACTAATAAAACCCAGTTGAGCAGCCATGAAAACATCAATTAAATCCTCAACCAAAAGATTTTATTTAAACATGTAGAGAAACAGCAGACAGATGCATTGCATCGCGCTCAGCTGGTCTCGAGAACAATCCCCCCTACCCCCCCGTTACCCCGAGACAGAGACACAATAAATTAACGATCTCGAGACCGAACTACAGCACTACAACACGAACAATGACGGAGCAAAGGCCAACACAATGAAACTGAGCTTGCAGTTTGTTCACTCAAACGGCCACAAAAGCACCGCCTGGACGCACGTCCAGCAGCAGAAGCTCCTTTAACACATCAGCATCTAAAAGCTGGATAATGTCTGTAGTGAGTGGACAGAGTCACGTGTAGAGCTCGTTTCACCCACTTCACTCAGCGTCTGCATCAGTTTTTTCACACATTATAATTCAAACATTTTTAATATTTTGTGCTCCTGTGACCTGAAAGGGCTAAAACACATTGAGACTAACAGACAAAACATTTTCAAACAAGTAGCGTCTTTTGTGTTGAACTGTCTGAAATAACCCTCAGAGCAGCAGTAACGGCTCTTTAGGCCTGTCAGGATAATTATGAGTGATGACAGAACTATTGTCAGAAGCTCTTCTGGCTGAATGAAACGACCCTTGTCCTGTATGACTAAACGCTGGAGAAGCAGACAAGAAAGATGCAACAAAATACCAAGCGGAGTGGGCCCTTGGGTGGGGTGGGGGGGCTGTTTATGAAGCAGAATTTCTCAGTTAGCTGGATAACTTCACCAAAAATAAATAAATAAATAAATAAATAAATTTGAGTTTCCCTTTCCCAAAACATTACGCAGGAGCTGTGAGACGAGCAGAGGTACAGATTTTGGGTGACCCAGACATTCTGAATGATTAGTCTAGAGTACAAAACCTGCTCGAGTTCAGCTTTTTTTCTCTCCTAGAGAAACTTACTGTACTCTTTTCACTTGGCTGCCACCAAATCAATAGGTGCTTTACAGCTCATACTAGCGCCGAACGATCGGGAAAAACCATCTTCTCCAACCAGCATTGTGACTGAATTAAATTAAGATTATTTTCTATAAATTAAGGTCCAGGCCTGTTATTCTGGAAAGAATACCAACCTTTTCTAGCCTGAATGTTGGACGTAATGTGACAGACTGCCAGTAATGTGTTGCTGTGATGTCAAAACACTTGGATGTTCGGTTGCCTCCGATTGGTCACTCTCATCTCTCTCATCTACATGCTCTTGCTCTTGCCATTCAAAAATTGCAGTTTTAATGTAAAAACAACCTTTCAGCCAAAATGCAGCAGCACGAATCGTAATGAAAACAAAAAGTGAGCTCATATAATCCCAAAAGAGCTGCACTGGCTGCCTCAGGCTTTTAGGACAGATTTCAATGTTTCTTTATTTGTTTTTGAAATGATCTTAAAGCTCCTGCGTTACTTTACTGAACGTTCCAAACTGTGGCGAGACACCTTCAGTAAACACCCTCTCAAATCCACTTTTTAACAGGCAGTTAAGATTGCTGCACACTTTTAAGAAACATCTACAAGCATATCTGTTTAATACATTTTAATAAAAAAAATTCTACCTTTCTTCATGTCATCTATATTGTTTATTTTATTGAATACCCTTTCATTTATTTCATTTTAATTTCTTTTATTGCTGTTATCAAACTTTATCACTTGTCTATGAAGCTGCGACCTGAAAAACGCTCTATAAATAAAGCTTGTTATTATTAGTTATATTAGCCTCATAGGTCCAGTAGACACCAGACATATTGGCCAACTGACTATGTTTAGGGTAATGAGAAAACTACAGAAATTAGACTATTCTGCAAAACGGTCCTTTAAGCCAAGAGTGAAGCCTATTGAACAAGAGAGCCAAGATCAGAAGTGGATTATGAAATGGGTTGATTGTGCCGGCGTCCACACATCAATACAGAGATATCAGAGCCAAACCTGTCCTCTATGAACACCCCACTGAAGACAATGAGCGCATGGTGAACCATCTCTACAATAAAGACCCTGTTGTATGGATAGTTTAACTAGACCCATCAGGACTAGATGCACTCCTGTCACGGGGTTTTTTTTGTTTTTTTTTGGAAATGCAGGATAAGTTCACACTTCGTCTAACAAAGACTGTTAACTCCTTAAATGACCAGGTCCCAAAGTTTTATTACACACTTCTATAATCCGAGAATAGTAGAGTTTGTAATAAGTCTGGGATTTTAAAGGGGTTAAATGAAAGAATTGTAAATAATCTGAATTATTTGATTACATATGATGAATATAGCTTCATATATCTATTGATTACATGTGCAATAAAAGCAAATTTTCATTAGTGGTGTATTTTTATCAAAAAGATAATCACTGAACAGGCATCATTTCCTTTGAAAGGACAGGCCTACAGGCCCTCCGCTAAATTCCATGTTTTGTTGATTTTCCACGTGAAAATAAGTTACACATCCTCTAACACCCGGCACTCCAGGGAGGTGGAGGATAAGATGGTGCTACTCACTGCTCCAGGTTGAGCTTGTTGAAGATCTCCACAGTGCTCTCCAGAACCTTATCCACATAGTCCACACGCTCAGGGTAACACTTCATGGCCAGGTTAATGAGAGACACCTGCAATGAGACTACGTCCTCCGAAGGCATGTCCTGACGGGACTGCAGGAGCAAACAAGAACAGAATGCATTATAACTGAGTGATACGGTGAAAATATTGTAATATTTGAATAATATATTTTAATACAAACATTATTATTAACATTCCAAGTTAAAACACACAAAATGCACCAGAAGTAGAACAAAGTAGAAGTATTAAAAAAACATGAGCACAAAGTTAAAGGAACAACTGGTGAAAATGTAGCTGCATAATTAGGAATGGGCTGTCATCCAATCAGCTACTTGGTACATTTTCTACAATTGCTGTATAACGGCTGCTGTTGGTTATAGACTCTCTAGAATTGGATCTAAACTGGTTTTATGAAACATGCAGCTGTTCTATGTTCTATTACTTACAGATGTACTGACATCCACAGCATAATTAGAAAAATCCAAAAATTTAGCAAAGTACTCCGCAAAAATTAACATTCCTCCTGTTGTGATTGTTGTAAGCATAATTTAAGATTATTTATCTTATTTCTAGACATTATTTACTTGATTTAGGTCATTTTTAATATCACTATATTGGCAGATAATTGTGCTTGTTGTAAGAAACGTGCTCAAAAACAGCAAAACACCTGCCAGTATAGTGAGATCTTAATAAAATTATCTAAAACAAGTAAAAAATGTATAAAAAATAAACTAGATAATCTTATTATAAGTGCACAATCATCTCAAAATGGATAATATTAGATATTTCGACTAGATGTAAGATCATTTCACTTGACAAGACCATTTTTTGCAGTGTAACAATAACATACACATCGTAATTTCACATCTTTTCTGAACAAGATTAAAAGATGTTCAGAGAACCAAGAAAGATAACGAAAGAGAAGAAATTCTCAACAGATGCAGGACTGCACAATTTCAAAAGCACAAAGTTTCTCAAATTAAAACTCAAAATCCCACAGTTCCTGAAAGTGAACTGCGAGTGAACACCCTCCAGCTTATGGTGAAATAGCCAAACCATGCTGTCTTTAAACGTCCTACTTCCCTAGTTCCCCATGCAGAGGCTGAGAGGTAAGAGCTTTAAACGCACCTGAATAACCGTAGCAACCTGCTGTGAGAAAATGTCAAATAGTTTGATTTCAGCAGGGATTCCAGGCCCATCTTCTCTGTGGGCAAACAAGGCCAACCTAGAAAACCCAGAGAGAAACGATAAGTCTTCCTTAGATAAAACACAATAAAAGCCTGTCTGAAACAGCCAGGAAGTGTGTTTATGTGCACTGCAGGCTTTATCAGTGACACTTCATACATTTCACAGAAAAGCAAAAACAAATTTCAGACACGCTTTTGGCCAGTTTGTTTATCGACATTCATCCTCAACACTGAAACTGTATAAATGCTGTTGGCATTTGACAGATTAAATCAAAGGGCTTTGATTTAATTTATAGTCATGCAAAAGTTTGAACACCTCTGCTCAAATTACGTGTTGTTGATTTTCAAAGTGAAAATAATCTAACGCATCCTCTACAGGAACAAAATACGACATTTTTATGCAAATTCTAGACAATTTGAAGTTGAGTTTAACATATTGTTAAAATACAAAACTATAAAATAAAATATTAAAAATGCTGAATTTTTGCACAGGACACATTACATGTTTTATTTTTTCTAATATGTTAAATTTAGTAAATAAACAATGACTGTGCATTAGCTCTCTGTAAAGCAGTGGTCACCAACTCCGGTCCTGGAGATCCACCTTCCTGCAAAGTCTAGTTCCAACCACAATCGGCCACAGCCGTTCCAGCTAATTAACTTGAGAAGTCCCTGATTGGCTGGATAAGATATAAGTGTTAGGTAAAGGGGTGCAGCGTGTTAATATAAATGCTGAAACGACAGCAGGAAAGTAGATGTCCAGGAGGACGGTTGGTGACCACTGCTGTTGAGGATGTGTTAACTAATATTTACCTGGAAAAATCAACAAAACAGAATTTAACTAGGGACACCAAACATTTGCACATGACTTTATATCACTATTTTTGACTAAAATGTCATTTTTGCCCCTCTGTTTCCAAGCCCTCGTTTTAATCTTATTTTATTGCTTTCTATAGTCATCACAGTATCAGTAACCGAATTATTTTCATATTGTAGCAGCTCTACTGTGCAGCTTATTAATTTATTACTTTCTCCATGAAGTTCCACCAAGTAATGAGTTGTGAACGATAGACAGTGAACGACTTCCCATCAAACCACTTTGAATGCTTGAATTTGAATGCAGTGAATTTTTCCAAAATTTTGAAGAAACTGGTGGAATTCCAATGCAAAGCGGCTGAACACGACTATAAAAGTAATAGTATGAATGAGCATTCATAACAAAAATATACTTCATGTTCGATGCACTTCGATTTAATTGACATTGTAAAATTTATCATTTGCATGATTATGCATATTTTAACTTCTACAGGTCTCTCAGTGTTTGCTTCCCTTAGAGTTTTAAAGGCTTGTTTATCTTTATCTATAATATTCTGGAATCTCTGAAACGTTCTACACGGCTTGTTTTTGTCCATTTTGGTCCACTGTTAATAACTAATTACTCAATTAACCGTCATTAATAGTAATTAGTAAATTACTCTGATGCTATAATAAGAGCGACTGGAGAAGGTGTGCGTGTTTGTGAAGGGCACCTGTCAATCAGGGCGATGATGATGTTCTTCACGTTGACGTTCTGGTGCAGCTCGGCACAGGCGCGCAGGAATGGGTTCAGCGTCTGAAGGTGAAACTCATCTGGGAAGACCTACAGAGAAAATGAGCACAACTACACTGCAGCGCAATCACTTCCTCGTGTCCTTTTCCTACAGGCACTTAGGAACAACACAAAAGCCCCTTTTCCTATTTATGCCTCGGAATCTGAAAAGACCGGCACGAGCGCACAACGGCAGGCAAGAGCCTACAGCAATTACAGATGAACAGTGAGGGAAATTAAAGATGGCAGTGAAAGGAGACGGTAGAAAAGCCTGCAGCATTTTACCTGTATGATGCACTCCATGAGGTACTCCTGCGCCAGGGAATCTCTGCAGTTCACCACCTGCTCCAAAACTCCAGGCAGTACAATCTGAGGAGAACCAGTTTATGTTGTCAATCATCTCATTTGTTTAAAACAAGCAACAAATCATTCCAGTTGTATCTGAATTAAAGGGAAATTCCACCAACTTCTAAAAATTGCATAAATAAATGATTTCGATGTAAACAGAGTCACTCAGAGTGGTTTGGTGTGAAACGCTCTTTTCTAGAGAAACTCAGTCACATCTGTTCACAGCAGAGGTGATGGGAACCAGACATCTGAGTTGATAAATCGTCTCTAAAAGCTCCCTCACAGAAAGTTACTACATGAAATGGTTACAAACACGCTGCCTGATGACTGGGACAGTGAGTGCATTTATATGGACTTAATAATCCGAAAACTGCAGAAAATCAGATTTTGTCAGTAATCTGATCAACATGGTTACATGCACTTGAGTAATCAGATAATGGGGAAACTCCAGGTCTACATGACTCAGACAGTAATCAGATTTCTGCTTTTCAACCAGCCAATAAACTCACAGAAGACGACGCGACATAAACATAACGTAAAACTCAAACTTCATGCTGTGGCTTTTTTATACGTCGCGCCGCTTTACCTGAAAATATGAACAAACATCATCTAGAAGATGAAGAATATTTAAATCCTTCTATTGTATTTGGTTTCAGCGTCGTTCCAAAAGTGTTTTGCTGCGTCTCGTGGTGACGCTACTCGCTTATTTCCAGTACCGCCATCTGTTTTCACACATGCTCAGACTGAGAAATCCGAAAGAAATCAGAGTAAGAGTTTACAGCACTGAGAAATGTGATTACTGAGATAAAGTCCAGCCTCTTTATCAGATTTCTCTATGGATGGTGTTTATACGACCATTTGAATAATCAGATAACTGCAGAAATCCAATTATGATCAGATTATTGAGTGCATGTAAACACACTCATTGTTTTACAATAGTTTTGCAACAAGATTTTGGCCTAAAGTGTCTTTTCAGTAACTATTTCCCTCTGGTTCTGTTTTGTTCTCAGCTGAAATTCATGCATGCAAGAAAAAAAACCTCCAAAACATGACCGGTTTTGTATTATTAGCCTTTTAACAGCAGTAGTTTACCCTTTCATTTACATCCATTTAGCTGACTCACTCTGAGAAATGACAGTGTGTAAGGATTTTAAAGGAGATCTATTATCTTCATAATGCCACAGAGTATTAGTTTGAACCTGGATTACACAAAGAACTGCAGTGGCTTCATGAAGAGAGACTGAACTGGTGTAAGACTCACTCAAAACATTTTTTTAAGATTTACCACTATTTCACCACTGTCAGCACTACATTTAATCAGAGGATATGTTCACTGGTGGTTTTGGATAGTAAATAAAATGTCTATATCTTTGTTGTAGTCATGGCGACCCCTGGTTCCTATCACCACCACTGTAAAGACATCTGAGCTGGTAAGCTTCTCTACAACTATCCATTTCACATCAGACCACTCTGAATGACTCTATATCTCGGCAACTGAACTATGCAGAAATTTTGAAAAATTGGTGGAATTCCCCTCTAAAGCAGCTTTACACAAGACTAAGAGTAATGGTACTTCTGCTACAATGAGATGTCACTGCTGTTGCATGCACAGTCTCACCTTCTTATGCACATGCATCACCATTCCACCCTCATACCTGTGCAGCTGCAGGATTCATAGCGAAAATATACCTAATTTTTAACGCGTTTTCATTAATTTCGCATAACAGCTAAATGGGTCAAGACTTCTAAATGAATTTGAATTAATTTAGGCAGAGAAGTCCAAGTTAATTAGCTATTGCCAATCATGTACTGTTTTCAAAATGTTCATGTAGGCTACACTTACAGTAATTATTAAAGATATTACAATTAAATTCTCACATAAGGACTCATTAAAAGGGTCATTTCAAATCAGTTTTTTAAACTTTCTGCATAATTTAAAGGTCAAGATGTGCTCATCATTCAGAGTGGTTTCATGTGAAACGCTCCACTCTAGAGAAACTTTCCAACTTAGCACTGTTCACAGCGGTGGTCATCGGAACCAGACGTCTGAAAAGCCTGAAGTCCGAGACATTTTTTAAGTTTTATGATAGTTATTAGATATATTTTGGCCTAAAATGTATTTTAAGGCAAAACAGTCCCCAAAGAAAACCTCTTTTGTCAGTTTTATTGCTTTTTTACTATAAGCATCACATATAAAAACTCAGAAGACACCCATAAAACGAATCATCAGACCATCAGACTCTGTTTACATCTCAGAGATTGAATTGTGCAGCAGTTTTGAAAAACCTCTACAAACTGCAGCAGAGAACAGGCTGAGGACACTGCGTGTGTGGAATAAAACTCACTAATCAGTGCTGCCCTGCGGTCCTGCCTGAGGGCTTGTTCAGCTCCTGAACAGTTGCACTGGCAAGATCACAGTGACTTTCACCTTTAGCTATTTGTTTAATACTATTATTGAGCAGCTCACAGAAAGGTCTCCGGGAACGGTTCAGTAAAGGTCAGAAACCCCCGCAAGAGCACACTGGAGTCCCCTGGAGTCCAAAGCAAAATGGGCTGAATGACAATAAACCGCTGTTCAGTCAACAAGAGCATTTTTAGCCTCACAGGGTTATTAGCATCTGTAATTCATGCATCCTAATATAAAAACCTCAATCAAGACGTAAAAGCGTCTCTAGCAGGACCATCAAAGGACGCTAAGGGCTCTCGTGTGGGCTCTTTCTCCTTTGAGAGTTCTCTGATGTACAGTGGAGGACAATGCAAAGAGCGCAGCTGAAGAGGCTTCCATAAGAGCAGACACCGCCTTCCACTGCAATCACACCTACAGCCAGTAAAACACGCGTGTTTGGAATATTACGGCTCTGCTGGGTTTAACAATAAGAATAATTCCTACTTCTGCCAAGCATTCAATGCTTTTTAATCTGTTTTTTTAAGACCTCAACAAAGGAAACACTACATTTCCACTGCACAACGCACAATGAATATGGAATATATTAAAGGGTCCATATCATGAAAAAACAAATTTTCCTCTTTTTTTAATAAAATAATTTGATGTAGTATGTAAATAATGTTAAAGCTTCAAAATGTAGCCCAATCCATGAAAACTACATCTTTAAACTGAATTCAAAATGGGCTGTTTTTGTAGTTTAGTGTTTGTGATGTCACAACACATTTACGTACATCTGCCAATTCAGCCTACAGCAGTTTAGTCCCACCCATTCACACTGAAGTGTTTTAGGTCTTACTGCTTTTTGAATGAGGTACAATACAGGACAGCCAGTGAGAACAGAGCTCATTTACATATATCATTAAACAATTTATGTCTTAAAGACACAGTAACAAAAACAGCCTGTCTAATTCAAGGAACAAAGGCTCAGTTCCCGTTTCTTCTTTTTACCCCTTCCTCTTGTTTTCGAGTGTTGCCCCTTGGAACTGAGTCTCAGGGTAGTGGTTGAAATCTCAAATAAAAAAGAGCTTTACTTCATTAACAGCTACTAGCACTGCTCTGTAGGCGACCCTGCCAGTCTGCAGTGACAGCAGAGGAGGGTAAAGTTCATCTCCTCACTGCTGGGCTTTAGTTACATTTAGAGAATCATATGACTTCAAAGAGGGGGGCAGTTATTTATTATCACCCACCACTAATTCTTCAGTGATATGAAGCTGAAGTCAGATATTCACCAGATTCTTGTCTGAATTTTCCGGTTCCACCTTAAATGGTGCAGCAGTTCTGACGTCTGAGGTGCCAGATTATTACTGCTGCACCATTTAAGGTGGAACGGGAAATTTGGCTACTAAGACTTTTTAGCACTACTAGCGACTTTTTCTGCTTGTTATGAAGAAAAGGACCAAAATACACTGAAACGACATTAAACTAAGATAAAACAATCGTTATTGTAATTTTTCTTGTTCAGCCATCTTGCTGGTTTTTCTTTTTTCCTCACAACTCTCTGTTTGGAGTCTCTGAAAATCCTCTGGGGGGGTCATGTAGCCCCAAAACTTCACTTTGTGTTTTCTGTGGATTTATTTAATAATTCGTTTACTATTCAGATATGATGGGTCTACTGCTATATTATGAAGATGCAGTTGAATCGTCACCTTAAGATCCATACATCAGCGCATCCCTGCATCCTAAAGTGAAACCCACCTGTTTGTACTTCTCCACGTTAACGCCCTCCAGCTGGCTGAGGCGAACCAGGTTCGTCCCCACGAGAATACGCAGCTCCTGCCTCTCCTTCTCCCTCTTCTCCCTGTCCCGGCTGTGGCCTTGGTGCTGCATCCGCACCCACAGCTTATTCATCTCAGCAAAGTTCAGCAGGACAAAGTCGATCGAGTCATTGATGTCTCCAGTCATCTCCCCCCTTGAAGAGATTTATAAGCAAATATTCAGCTACACTCTTAAAAACAAGACTGCAAGAAGCAAAGTTACTGACCAGGGGCCTCTGACTGCTGGGGGCCTGTGAGAGTTATTACGTAATTGCTTAATCGCAATTATTTGAGATGATCGCAGTTATTTAATCTGACTGTAATCATTTTCCACAGCCATTAGATTTCACTGTCATACTACACTGCAACCAGCAAAATGTGAATTGGGTCTTTTGAGTTGAGCCAAATAAAAGTAAATAATTTTTATTTTTTTTTAAAGTAGTAAATGGGTTCATAAGGACTTCTAACCTGGGGCTCTAACATGTTAAGAGGGCAATGTTGAGTACTGTTTGGTTATGTAGCTATGCAGCTAATTCTAACGTTTTTAGCATTATACAGGGTGATTAAAAGACAATTTGATTTCACAGGGCCATATTTTGACACCGGGGAGGCGCCAAGGAACCAATCACAATCCAATTGAAAGAGGGGGTCATAGAGTTTGAAATAGAATGTCAGTGAAAGAAACGCTCGGCCTGCGCACTGCAAACGCTCGGTCCTTCTGTACAAACACTCCGTACTGAAGGGGGCTATAGAGTACAAATCAGAGAGGATCTACTGTTATTCAAGCAGCCTCAGCAGCTAAACGTGGACAGTAGAGGCGAGTGAGCAGCTTTACCTTCTGCTGGAATGGAAATGCGATAATTAATCATATTTTTATGCCGTCTTTCGTGAGGCTCCGCTGCTCGTCTGCTGTGGCAGTTGAGAAACACGCTGGCGGTACAAAACCGCTTGGTCAGGCTTGGCTGTTGTTTTAGCGCCCCCTTGCTCTAACACTGAGAATGCAGCTCGCATTTGCGTCTCATTACGAAATGCGTCGTGACACATTTTTGAGCGAAACTACGCGGTAAACCCCATCTGCGTAGCTCGAAGCGTCTGCGTTCGCGTCCTTGCGTGAAGTACATTTCGGGCCTAAAACACAAGCTAGTCCGCAAAGAATGACTGAAGCAGAAGAAATGCAATGTTTTGGAAAGGCTGAGTGAAAATCCAGACCTTAATCCAATAGAAATGCTGTGGAAGGACCTAAGGCTCGGTGTTCCTGCAAGACTACCAACATAACCGTGGAAATGGACCAAGATTCCTCCAAGTCAATCTGCATTTGGTTGAAGATCAAGAGGGTCAGTTACTGAAATTTAATGTGTTTTCAATTCAAATACATTTTTAAACAAATTAATAAATTATATAACTGTTTGTGTAATTTGTGTTATTGGGTTCTCTTCCTCTACTGTCATGACTTAAATGAGGACTGGGTGTATTTAAGGTCAGATTTATATAGAAATTCATAACGTTAAAGCGTTCACAAACTTTCAAACAGCACTGTAAATGTACTCAGTACTACAGAATGGACGCCTCACTCTCCTTTGAATATCCTCACTTTTTTTTTAACACAAATACATACTTGCTAATCAAACAAAGAAGCTCCTGGTGTTCTCTGAGCAATGGACTGACCACCCCAGAGTCCAGTGCTCAACATCACTGAATGTGTTTGGGATTGCTTTGACCATCAGAAGCTCAAATTTAAATAGGATAAATATAACATTTTTCTTCAAAGTTAACACATTGGAAACTAATAAAATGTGCTGTAAGTGGAGCTGGGCGATATGGCCAAAAACGTTATCATGATAAACAAAATTCATATCGTTCGATATCGATACATATCGCGATAAATGTCAAATCATTAATTCTTTCAAGTTTGAAGGCTGATTTTTGCTCATGGGTGGTTAATTGCTGTTTTAAACTATCCTTTATGGTCAGATCATTATAAACACTCACCAAACAGTGGAACATTTCACAAATCTGCTATGGGTGAAAGTTTCTGGTTGGCTGTTTCTATCAGCTGGAAAAGCACGGCCGCAGTTTTTGTAAGAGTCATAATTTAAGAAAGAACAGATTATTTTAGCTGTCTGGTGACGAACGCTCGGCTATCCCATTACAAATACTAGACAAGTGGCCAACAACAGAGCTAAACTGTTGAGTTTCTCAACAACGTCAACATAGTATGAACAGCAAACGTTAGCTGGCTCAGTACGTCAGTGATGGACCACACCGCCTTACTGCTGTCACTCCTACCACATCAGAGCATATCACAGTATTCAGACTCCAGCTAGCGACGACTGGATTTCTCTATTCTGTCATAGTAGTTTGAGGGGTGAACCGCAATATATCAACACCAGACAAACAGAGTCCTCCTTTTAGGTACGTTTAAACTGAAAGTGGTGCTTTTGTGTCTTGTCTGATCTACAGGATTATCAGTTTTCTGTGCTGTGTGAGTGACAGAGTGCTGCTTCAAGTTAGCCATCTGCTAAAACAGCTAGCCTGGAAAGATAGCGCTCTCCCGCTCTCCAATGCCTCACAGCTTCCTCAGTTTACTTTCGTGTAAATCAGGGCTGTAATTTACATGAACCACTTCTGTCTTTAACTTTCGTTGCTTGGGAATGCACTAATACTTAAATATGACTGAGCGCTGTAACAGCGCTGTAGTTGAGACGAGCAGACGTGATTTAACGCTGCTAAAGCTGGTTAGGATGTTAGGAAAGAGGTGAGTTCGCTGTAGGATGGTATAGTTACACCACTGACCTCGTCACTCACGCTCGGTCACAGGAGAGCAGATCGCCAGTCGCTCCACTCAAACAGGGACTGTATAACTCCGCGTTTCAGCTGTTGCTAAAGACTAATTTTACTCCTCGCCCCTCCCTCTCTAATCATGTCGAAAAACTCGAAAGTGCGCCCTCTCCTGGCGACAGCAGAGTAGTGTTGTTTTCCTTGCAGTAGAAAACGCCACCAGGGCTTTCGCTAGAACGTGGAAGTGTGAGAATGGTGTATTATATTGAAAATTATCGAACGTTTCTTATCGCTCTATTGAAGAAAGTTATATCGCGATAATTATCGTTATCGGTTTATCATCCAGCCCTAGTTGTAAGTTATTCACAGCCCAAAGTTTATGTTTTTGTTTTCCTTTACTTTTGCATTAAAATGTGCAGAGGTTTGTCTCTGTAGAGGTTTGTAGATGTTTTAACCTTTTATTTAGAAAATCAACAAAACATGTCATTTGACCAAGAGGCCCCAAACTTTTGCATATGACTGTACGTACACACCGGAAATCTATACGGATGCTATTTTCCCTCAGTAACTCAGATTATGTTGCAGACACACAGTATAAGCGACATTCGCTGTTGTTTGTTTGTTTGTTTTCCTTAACTGTGAGTAATGGCGTTGGTGAAAATGATCAAATACATACCGGTTTACAGAACTGGCCGTCAAAGTTTGCAACAGCTGGTCGTTTCAGGAAATAAAGTTTCCCATATTTAGCTCAGTTCCTACATGCAACAGATTTTCACTCATTTTCTTAAAGGAACAAACAAAATCTATCTTTGCTGCAGTGCTGACTGTTTTCTCTCTCCTTCCAGATCTTGATGACAGTTTTCCATCTGCTGAGCTTAAATTGCTTCACAACATCAACATCTGCTCCCTTAACTCTAGTGTACTGTTGTCTGATGACTGCATGTATATGGTTTCTCAGGAAGGTGCATTCAGTTAGTAATCTCAGCACATACACGGCTCTCTCAAAGAAATTCTGCTCTAACTGTAGAGTGTAAGTGTTCTCTCCATCATCACGGACATCAGTTACCAGGACGTATGAGAGAAGGCTTGTATGTACAGTATTTCTCAGGCCGCTCTATCTAGAGGACGTTTCATTCAAAAGTCATTCAGAAGAGGCTGCAGAAGCTACGAACCTCTCTGAGGTTTTGTCTGTTCTCAGAAGATCACAAATAACACTCCATTAAAAACTGTATTAAAATCAGGATCTCGACTCATTGAAACACACTCCATAACGCCCCAAGAGTAGAAGGTGGGCACGTCACCACCACAACATGACTCTGCTTCTGTGCCGCATGGATTTTGGTATAAAACAAACTTGTGTTGGTCTCATTAGTGCTGTTGGTATTTGTTCAATGACACAAAGTGTGCAGAGGACCCACTTAAGTTTATGCAAGTTTGCCTAATGTCGTTTCTTTATTAATGTAAACAGACTTCATTTGTAGATCAGAGCACAAGGGGCACTGCAGTGATGTTCGGGTTTGGAGGTGGGGCTGAGAGGGAAGCCGGGTGGGCTGGGCTGCTGTGTTTTAGAGCTAGCGTACGTTAGCGACCAGAAAATATGGAGAGGGACAGAATCAAACGGGACTTTTGTAGCTGAGAGTCTTACGAGGCTGATGATTTTTCTCCACTACCGTCTCCATCTTCAACAAGGGAAGGTGTTTCTGATCAGGCACTGCGTCTTGAGCCTCAAGCCCCCAAAGAGTTAACGTAGTGCCAGAAAATGATTGACAGCGAGCGGCAGAGGCGCTGAACGGTAGAACATTCCCTAAACCTGTGACAGCTCGCTTCTAATTATCTGTTCAGCAGGTCCGTATTCAATATAACCCGAGTCCTGATTTCTTAGATGCCCTGAATTCTGAATGAATAAAGTGGATTTCTTTGAACTCTGTCTGGGTTTCATTCAGTTTGACATCGAGCCATGAAAAACATACTTCTATTAGGCCATTAGGTACCATTTCCTTCTATACAGGCGCTCTTGAGAGCACTGTACACATCTCACTTGTTAAGAACATGTGCAGTAGGCTGGAGGCTGAGGTCTGTTAAAAGTTAATGCAGAAAAAAAGCTAACCCAGCCTTTGTAGCCTAAGCTAGTTAACTTACACTAGCCGTTCTCTAGCATTACCAGCATCACAACCAAGCTTTTAGCATGCTGCCTGTCTGACACAGAAGTATAACAGGGAGATCGTACCAGTGTGACAGGTTGGGGTCGTTCACTGCCTCACCGGTCATCCAGGGTTTGCTGCAGTGGCCCTAAATCCTTACGTTCTACTAGCTGTTCATGGCACTGATCAGCAGCTGTTTGGAGATGTGCTAAAAAACACAATCTCTACAGTAACTAAGAATTATCAATAATAACTAACTAGAACACCGAATAACGCGCTAAATGCGATGAGACGATATGTATGGAAAACATCCAGAACGGCGCCAATGTTCTCTCTCGTTCTAGACTCGCATGGTTTCGTATTTATGAGTGGCACAAGCAGAGCCGTCTCTCTACACGGCTCTGGGCACAAGTAGGGCGTCATCAGGGGCAGTAACATTGGTTGACAGATTTGCATACTGTGACATATCATCGTACTTCGGTACGAAGACACGTCATCCTCGCCTATAGCAGAGTTGAACCAGAGGGGGCGCTGCAGAGGCGGAACCGACCATGATGAAAATGATATTTTGATAGTTTGAAAGATTTCTATCAAGATGTCTTATTATTACTACAGAGCAGAACACTTAATGAAAAAAGTTCTTAAAGTTTAGTGACTCTTTAAACACAAAAACCACAACACGCAGCTTGCACTGTGAAGATCTCTACAAGCATCATGACGTAATATTTGTGCCATACTGTCCACCGTTAGGCACAAAGTGTAGCTGTTCTTACTCTGCTTGTTCCCCGTCATCAGGCAGGATGTTCCGGGTGCACTGCAGCAGATAGTTCCTGAGGAACAAGCCTCGGAGTGGGTGCTGCACCCCACGACACATCTCCACGAGGTCCTTCAGGATGTCCTTCCGTGATTGAGGGAAAGAGCGCACATAGACAACTCCCACCGTTATCAACAAGTACCTGAGAGAGAGCGGGAAGAGGGTGAGACAAAGAGGGTATTAATATGGGAAGCACAATTCATTAAATGCCAGCAAGGCAGGTGGACAGAGACTGCAGGTAAATAAAGCGTTTAGGTCATAAGGGACAGAGCGGCACAATGCAAACAACTAAGACATTTATTTTTTTTGGGGCAGTGATAGCTGGGCTTTTAGTCCATGTAGACTAGATGAGTTTTTGATGAGCCAGTCTCTAAATATGCTCTTTTCCTTCTCAATTTAAAATAACCCATTAATTCCACCAATCTGTCTGAGCAGATGTTCCAAACATCTCCAGCTACAAGCACTGACTTATTAAAGACAAGTGGACCAGAAAAACACATACATATCCCCACTGTCAATTAAGAGCTACCTGTCTCTTGTTCTTTCGCTCTAACAAACAAGGACAGCTAACGGCAAAGGAAAAACAATCAGCATTATGGATGAGTCCACGTGGCAGAGACGTTTTATCTTTATTCAACAAAACAACTCTTCAGACATACTGAATCAATTGCCAATCAGCGGTGCTTCTGTTTCAGGTCACAAACCTCTGTCCTTCTCTGCTCTCTGTAGTAGGGCTGAACGATATATCTAATATGATTCAGTGAAAAATGGGAAAATGTAATTATATCAAATGTCTGGTATTGGAATTACAACCAACATGAAAAGTATTAGTGCCTATTATTATCTCACATTCATAACGACACATTTACTGCAGAAACAAGTGCTCGAGATTTCCATTCATTTCAGCTCACTCAAACCAGCAGGTTAGTGGATAACACCACTATCCCACTTACGGAAGACCAGGGAGTGATTCCCATACAGGCAGGAATGACACAATGAGAGTCCCAGAACAAGATTCCTAATGTTACACTTACCTACCACCATGAGTGACTCTGTGAATATGATGCATTTGCATCTAACAATGCAGATTTTTACAGCTCTGTCTGATATAATTAATGTCCACATAAAACTAATCAATGATCCATCATTCAACTGCCTTATAGGATCTCATGGCATACTTACATATAGATTAGTGATTTTGTGTAAAGTTGTTTTAAAATAAAAATACTAATCAGACCTGTCACATGCATTTTTAGCTGATTAATTCCCATATAAATAAATAAAAGCTTGTCTTTCTTGTTCACTGAATGCAAAAGCCTAAAGCAGCTAAATTGGCTCATCAGCTGTTTAGCTTCCTATCTGTTGATAGATATTAGCTTCCAGACAACAGACACAGCTAAAGCTCAAATAAACAAACATAACCCATCATGGGTCATGCCATGATGTAATGATGGTGTCAGGCCTAATAATAATAACAAATCATCTGTTATCAATACTGGTATCAACCACAACAAGGTTAATTACTGATTATTGGCCCATAAACTCTGCAGCAAAGCTGAAGGATATCTGGAGTACTCACAGTCTAGGGATGATGTTCCCAGCATATTGAACAAGCTCATACAAGTCGGCCACCTTGCGCCCTTTGGCAAACTCGTCGGTCAGGTAGACCTCCAGGTAGTGCAGCTCATCCGAAATGGCCATGTCTAAAATGGGAATTAATGCACATAAAACTCAGACACAGGGAAATAATCACACAGAGAAACAGCCCTTTAATGCATAGACAATCCTGTCAATATCCTGTTTGTTAGTTATGGCACTGGGAATATAACATGGTAAATAACATTTTATGATGACCTACCAGAAAAACCAAAGCCACTCCCAGCCTGGTAAAGACTTCTTTACGTTACCCCAGGAACCACAACACTAACGTTTCTTACACACTTTAGAAGTCAACAGTCACTCAAACCTTTTCTGTAAATACATCCCCAAAACTAAATCCCCTAAATAAAGGAGTTTGAAGTAATATGTAAACATTGTTAAAGTTTCAAAACGTAAGATTCACACAGTTCCCAGTTCATACAGAAACCAGTTTTGAACTCATTGTTTGTGATGTCACAACAACTCATTGATATACATGAGCTGTGTCCCAATCCAGGGGCTGCATTTGAAGGCCGAGTGCATCACAGTGGTGCGACTAGGCTGCCCCATTTCGAAGCTCCTTCATATGCAGCCGGGAAATCTTTTCCATGGCAACAAAGGAACCAATGGTGGACCCTTCACCAACCTACATATCCCGAGGTTCACCGTGTGCCGGCGAGGATTCGAGAACATGGCGGCGTCAGCAGAGGAGAGAACGGCGGCTGAGGAGACACTTTAAATGTAAGTATTGGGTTTAAACGAGTCGAATAGCGAACGATACAGATGTTAAAAAAGCTGATGTGGTCTGAAGAGAAACTTACACCAACGTTTCATTTCGTGTTAGGGAGCAAAGAGCCGACAGAGAGCAGCATCTCCAGCTCTAATACGTTAAAAAAATAAAAAACAAGCTAAAGTGTGTGGCTCTGTCTTTAAAGAACTTTAAAAGAACCTGACAGGAGCTGCGTTTCGTGACGCAGCCGTAAAGGCAGGAACAGGAACAGCTGCAACGCAAACAGGAAATCCAGCGTAGGGCAGACTGTCTCATTACGGTTCAGCCTTCGCGAGCCTTTGAAGGATGCAGCCCCTGAATTAGGATACACCTATATATTCACCTATCCAGCTTACAGGAGTTTAGCCCCACCCACTCATACTGAAGTCCTAAAGAGAGTATTCTTAATGAGACACAATACAGGGCAGCCAAGGAGCTCTGTTCCGATTGGCTGCTCCATATTGTACGGTCTTGAAGGCGGAGTAACAAAAACAGCCTTTTCAATTGTAAGGGATAATGAGAGGATGGAAAACAGTCAAAAAAAGATGAGTTACGACCATTTTTAGTACATATAATCGCACAAAAGGGAAAAATTAAAATACAAGAAAAATGTGAGATGTGGGCCATTTATATTACACACGAGCAATATGCATCAATATCGAACAATTCTACTGGAAATACAAGCAATGCTTAAACTCCTTACTGTGGCAGACAACTGATCCTTTTCATGTATATTTGTATATATTTGTACATAGCAGAGAGGATTTTTACTTGTATTTTTGTTTTTCCCTTACATAGGTCCCTCCTGTCTCTATATTTTGTGCATATTTTGTGTATATTGAATTTTTCAGTTTCAGTATTTTCTTTGTATTTTTATTTTTACTTTGTTTTCTTTCTGTAGAGTGATTATCTGAGCCTCACCACGAGCATTTCAATGCATGAATGTCGTGACATGTTGTGCAAATGACAAATAAACTTGAAACTTGAAAGTTGTTTGAAGTTAACCGCTAACATCATCATAACAGAAACTGCACATTTCAAGAAGTATGGTCAAATGTTGTCACTCAGAAGCACAGCCTGGCCTCATTTACGCCAAACTAGACAGAGACAGGAACATGAACTAAGGTGACAGTGCAGATGTTACACTGCAACTCTGGCATCGCAGTATGATAAGGTGGTGAACATTCAACAAGCTGAGGACTAAAGAGGGTTTAGATGTTTCTGTATTGGGTTAATAAGTAAAAAACACACATACAAAGTTCATAGTAGCTCTTAGGAGACAGCATAGAAGTCCTCAGCTCCCCCAACATATTCGAGGCATGTTTCAGTGCATCCATCAGTTTGTTCTTGTCCTGGAAGGAGGAAAAAAGACTTCATTAAGTCTCAAAAAGTCAAAGTCAAGCAGAGGAGTGAGGAACTTTCAGAAGTAATGGGTTATGTTTTCACACACTAACCCATGACTGATACTCATCAGCCGACCTGCTTAAAATTCTAAGTGCTTATCGCTAACGGAATACGAAGGTTACACAATCACAGCAATGCATTCTTTTTACATTCTATTCCATCTGAATTCCTTTCCACTTAAAGGTAATTAAGGTTCCTGAAGTATAAAATGAACTGATTTCCAACCCCATGAAAGCTCCCCGACTGGTGGCCAGTCTTAGCGTGTGACACATTCATCACCTGCTTTTGTGCTAATTGGGGAGTCGTAACTTTTGAAACTCCTTAAAATTCCCCTCGCTTATTGTATTGTCTTTCTTAATCCAGCCAAGTTCATAAGGTTCTGGTCATTTTTTTTGGCATTAGATTACAAAGTGCTGTCTTAGGGTTTCAGTCACGTGATTTTTCTGTTGTGGCCGCCATATTTGGGACCGAATTTCTGGCTTCGCTGCTCCACACGAACGTAACTAGAGGAGAAAGATGACTAAAATTACCCTCCTTACTTTGGAAGAGAAAAAAACCAACAGAGTCGATAAAATAGTCCTTATACAGTTTCCACCCTGAACTCCTGATCCCACTTAAACCGGCGGAAAGATACCAAATTTGTTTCCTGACATTTATATTTATCTCATACTCAGCCCCTCTCCCTATTCTGGAGAGTCTCTCAAAGCATTTAACAGCACAGAAGCCCACCGGCTCTTCACGTCAGGGTGGGTAAAGGATCCCATGGTGCTGCATAAAGAGGAGAAAGGCTCTGTCATCATAGGAGGGTAACGACATCAGCTAATTAACACAGATGTGAACAATGCTGGCCTTTAGATCACTTTCTCTAATGTTAACGGCCGAGACATAAATAGTCGACCCCCTAACGGAGCTGCAGACAGCCGGTCTAACTTTACTCTCTGTTTCTGGAGATTTAAATGAGGTTTGAATGGAGAAACATAAGCGTTAAATATCAGACTGAATGTCGTGGGGTCGGAAAACAACGTTGTGTTTCGACAGACGTGATTCTGTAAGTTTGCTAGTGCAGTTAGTTCAGACTTCAGCTCCAGTCCTGCAACCCCTGCACTGCATAACTGTAGTTTCCTGGTTAAAATACCTGATATTATTAGCTAATTAATCCCTTCTTGAGCTGAACGAGGTGTGAACAGCAGAGAGAAACACTAAACTATACAGTGCAACGGCTCCAAACCTGGAGTGAAAACACTGAATTAAAGATCTGTTTCTCTCGTCTTCTGTCGCATCATGCGGGAGAATCATTCACAAAGCACGTCGCGCAGCGCAGACACTCCCCAATTCGGTCCTCAAAATGGCAGCGACTTCACAGTGTGACGTCACGTGAAACACAAGAATAAATGAGCAGCCCTACAGTCTTATACTTGAAATTCAAGGGTTCAGATCCAGAGAAACCTTGTGTTTAATTAAAAAAGTAGTGCAGTATGTAAACACTGTTGAAGTTCACTCCCCAGCCCAGACATTAAACAGTCCATTTAGAGTCACAATAAAACAATGTAATTCCATCTATCCACCCTTTCAGACTGATGTTATAAGGAGTGTTTCAGCCCAGATTGCTTTTTGAATGAGGGGCAATACGTTCTTAAAGGCACAGTAACAAAAACAGCCTGTCTAACAAGTCAAAGTTAAAAATCATGGCTGTAAAAAACCATTCAAAGACCATCAGTGGACTCATTTGAAAAAATGCAAGAAAGATTAATTATATGGCCACTTTAAATATGGACATGTGGCTTTCTGACAAAACGAATCAGTAAAGTATTGATCATACTTCTAGCTGAAGGTGCAGCGCTGCATAGTACGCTAGCCGACATCACCACAGTAGGGAGGCAGACGCTGGACTTACCAGGCAGCGTTTCATCTGAAATGACTGGACTTTGACTGCCTGAATAGCCTCGTCCAACAGCTTCTCCTGCTCATCTTGGGGTGACTGCTGGGTGGTAGGCTAGGAAAGAGGTCAAAGGATCAGCATCAGTGAAAGTGGAAGCAAACACCTACACTATATGCTTAAAAGTTTCTTTGGAAATCAAGACTATTAACAGGTAGTTTGTTGCAGTGAACTGTTTTTTTTTCCTGAACTGGTATCCAGCGAGTATTCAGTGAGGCTATGGGATACAAAGCAGGCAAAAATCAAGGAAAGCTGGGAGGAAGGGTTTCATTCAACTATTCAGACACAGGCTAGATGTCGAACCTGTGAGGATTTGATTGCATTCAGCTGCAAGAGCGTTACTGATGGTAGATATTGGACGATTAGTACCGTATCATGAACACCACTCTTATGAGGGGCAGTCTGACAGTATTTTATTCTTATTGTGATCAAATGTCATAATACGTGTTTCTTAGCACACTACGCACAATATCAGTGCTTAAAGAACACTGACAAGTCTGGATGAACTGCATGTTTCATCATTTGCTCTGTTAACTCAGATTTAGTTCAGCACAGTATGTGAGACACTGAATTAAAATGATGGAGTGTGTTTTATGTGACACTACCGAGGCGTTTCCCAAATCTAACTTACCGAACTTCTGAAATAATAACCATTGTGACACATGCTGTGTATCATAAAAGTGCCTTCTAGTATTGTGATGTTATATTTTCTCCGTTCTGACCACCACTACTGCGGCTCATCTCAAAGGTACTGAATGGAGCTCCATCACTCCAGAGAACACAGTTCCACTGCTCCACATCCCAGTGCTGGGGGGCTTTAGACCCCCTAGTCCACATTTGATATTGGGCACGATGACCGGAGGCTCCAGAGCCTAATGAATTCACTAGGAACATCTGGACAATTTTGGACATCTATACAGTCTATGTACATATGATTAAACGGCCAAGAGCAACGTCAGCCACCAATCAACAGCTGGTCCAAATCAAGGATGTCAAGTTGTCAAGTAACTGTAAAACACAAACTACATAAACACTATAAGCAATATGGCAAAATGTCACATCACGACACCTCAAGATGTTTTTACGATACATAACATGTCTTAATATTTTTTCTGACATCTGATAAGTTAGAACAGACAAAGAAGCACCACATTTCCAAAAACTATTAATTGAATTATTTGTATTGAACATTTTACACACTGTGCTGCACTAATTCCTATTATACAGAACTAATTTTACTGTCTTTCTAATCAAACATGCACTTGGAAAGTGTTTTTACAGCACTGACGATATGAACCATATGCTCAGAAATGTTCATTGTAACATGTTGGGACGTAATTTATCACAATATCGATAAACATTGTTATATGGCCTAACTCTGATCTGGATCTAGACCAATTAAATAAGTTAATCAATGGAGTTGATCAGTTAAATGAAAACGGTTTTATCGAGTGTGGAGTGGGGGCATTGCACAAACACGTCCCATTTCCTCTACAAATAACCAACCCAATTCCTGACCACCACCACCACCAACCCACAAAACACCTTCCAGAAATCCATATGACCGAACCTGCAGTGCAAACAGTCAGGAAGGCGTTTACCTCTCTACACCTATGTACTCATATATATCGTTAAGAGCTCAGTTTATTTACACCAGTGACAGCTAACCAGCGAGACACCGTCATCTTAGCGCCAGACTGCGGGGTCTGCAGGTCTGTTTCAGCGCGAAACTCATGAAATCAGCGGAGCTGCGCGGAATCTTTTCATTAATTTCAGCGCAATTTAGGTTAAATAAGGACTGAAATTAAGGGCGAGGCTGAAATTAGCTTCCTATTCGCCAGCGTCTTGTTCGAATTTCCCGTTCCACCTTAAATAGTGCAGCAGCTCCATTCTGGCGCCTCGCATCGGGATGGAACTCCTCCGCCATTTAAGGTGGAACGGGAAATTAGACCGAGAAGCTGAGCTCAGCTTCGTGGGCGAACGCTAGTTATCCTTAGCCGGCTGGCCCGAATCCGAGGGCGAGACAAGCGAAGAGCGGCCACTGCGAATAAGTAAATAAGCACAGAACCCGTCTTCGGATCCAGCAACGTCGCTCTAAACGTCGGTAATCAGCGCGGAGTGTAAAAACTGGGGCACCTTTAGCTTTAGCTTAGCTTAGCTTAGCTTAGCTTCCTACAGGCCTCCGCAATGGCACTGATAGCAGGAGAGCTAACGAGCTAACTTCCACGCTAAAAACAGCCGCCTTGGAGCGCTTCGCGCCCCGCTGCCGAAGCTGCTGCTGATACTGTACCAGCGGAGGCTCGGTTCTGAGATCCAGGAGGAGTTTTATTGTGAATTTACTGAGTTTTACTCACCATGATTATTAAATATCAGCAATCACAGGACGCCCCTAATAACGCTCTCTGTCATGTGACGCCCGGCCACGTCCGCGCTGATTGGCTGAGCCGTGTTCCGCCAGGAAGGCGCTGATTGGCTGAAATATGTAAGCTAAAAGTTTGGGTTTCGGACAGGAACTAGGCATATTTCATTTTCATGTCACTCAGTTCTTTCAAAGATTTCAATTCTTGAAGAATCCTAGCAAAAAGTCCAGGACGAAGTACCTTCTAATCTAACTATGCTCTGTTTTCTCCCTCCCTTTTATTCCCTTTCTTATTTTTATATATTCATATTTAAGTCTTCATATTTATCATGTATTTTTAATATAATACAGTAAATACAGTTTGCACTTTAAATTCTACCTCTGCTTCTGACCTTCATTTACTGCTCATGCACATATCTGTGTTTACAGTCTATGCAACTATTTTCTTTGCACTACTTTTTTTTTATTACTGCACCAGGGAAGCAGCCTGACCGTGTTTCATTACACTGTACAGCCCTGTATTGGTAAAATGACAATAAAGTTGAATTGAATTCTATTTTATCTATTTATTAGCTTTTACTGTGTTTTGCATCCTTTCAGTAAGTCTGTTGTCGTGCCGCTCGTGTAGTGTCACATTTTTCATCTTTGTTTTCTTTCACTGATTTTCAATTATTATATAATAGGACTAAAACTGAATGTAAATATGTGTTTTGGTTAATGACGTCGTTATTTTAGCAAAACATTTTCCACACAAAAAGCTTGGTCGCTTTATTTGATGTACCGTTAAACTATTTGAATCTCCCCAGCAATAAATTAAATGTTTTATCTTTAGCATCTTAGATAACTTTAAGGACTTTTATATTTAATCTTTCCTTAAACTAGAAAAAAAATCACACTGAGAAGTTCAACTTACGAATTTTACAAAGTCTGGCAACCTCTCATCTCTCTTCTCATCATGTACCTCATAAGGCATTTTATTTATTTATTTCCCTGTCTTATTAGACCAGTTTTTTTTGTTGTTGTCGTTGAGGGAATGTATGCTATACGTTAATGGGAAAGTTGGGCATCAATGTTGTCATTGTTAATGTGCATGTTGTAATATTAGCCGACAAACGTCCAATAAAAACGTGTACAAAAAAATATTTTTTTAAAAAACTAATTTAAAAACACGCAAAAGTGCTGAATAAATGAAGCGAAATAAACGACGTGTCACCTTTCAACGCAGAGCATGACCTCCAGCTCAACCAATCAGAAGAAGAGAAGCGTCGAGCTCCACCAATCAGAGCTCACTAGGTCTGTCGGGGGGCGTCAAATTTCCCGCGAAAAAGCCGAGGCTGCTGTGGTTGTAGTGGAGCTGCGGAAATGGACAGAGAACTTTTCGGCAGACTTGCGGCCAAAATGGGCCTGACGTCGGTCAGAGTGCTGAGGTTTGTGCGCATTTGGCGCATTAAGACCAAAGATCCGTGACTTTATTGTTGCATTTTGACTTTTAACTCGTGTTTTAGCTTCGCGGCCTCCCCGGCTGCACAGACTGAGACTCCGCGCTGCCGGGGATTCAGTGAGTTCGTGTGATCTGAGTTATCTAGAACATTAACAGCGGTCTCTGTTCTCTGTTTATCCACATCGCAGCCAGGCGGAGGAGTACCTGCGGCTCTCTCAGGTCAAATGTACCGGTCTCGGTGGCGCCACCGCCACCAGCAGAGCGGTTATTTGTCTCGAACTGGCGGCGACCTCGATGAAGTTTCCTCTCGACAAGGTACAGCGCGAGGGGTTTAAAGGGGAACTTCACCAGTTTTTCAAAATTCCTGTATAATTTACTGTTTAAGATGTAAACAAAGGCATTCAGGGTGGTTTTGTGTGAAGTTCTCCGTCCTACACTCTTAAAGATGGTTCTTAAAGGGTTCTTTAGTAAAGGCAGTTATTCTTTCGAGAACCATGAGTTCCATATAAAACCACTTGCATGCTTCAAGGGTTCCATGGTGAAGTCGTTCTCCAGGTTGATGTAGAATGTGTTGCATACGGGTCTGTATGGAAGCTTTTTGAAAATGGTTCTATATAGCACCAAAGAAGGTTCTTCTGTTGTCAAGCTTGCACCAACAGTGGAACCCTTTTTGGTGCTATATAGAACCATATACAACACTTTCTCCATCAATATATAAGAACCATTTCACCATGCAGGCATATAATGGTTCTGTAATGAACTCATGGTCCTCATGGAACCTTTAAAGAACATTGTATATATCGCTGCTGTCGGAACAAAACCTTGCACCTCCATTTTTGTCGTTTTTGAGTTTTGAGTTGTGGGTAAATTTCATGATGAATGGACCAAAAGAAACGGCCCAAAATGACTTGGGGGGGGGAAAAAAATTGTGGTTCCATTGACTTACATTAAAAGTAAAGATGTTAAGTTATAATGTTGGAGATATGAGGTTTTGTTCTGACTGTGTGTGTGTGTGTGTGTGTATATATGTGTGTGTGTGTGTGTGTGTGTGGTGTGTATGTATGTATGTATGTATGTATGTATGTGTATATATATATATATATATCTCTCTGCAATGACCCATTTCATGCCAAACCACTCTGAATTCTCGTCGTCTGAATTCTGAGATATCAAACTCTTGGTCTGATTTTCCCCTTTAAGATCAGGAGTCGAGCTCTGTTTTTCTCCATGTTTTGTAGGATTTTGCCATCAAGCTCTCAGGGTTGAATAAGAAAGTCTACCAAAGCAGCCTAAAGTCATTGGAGTGTATGCTGGGTCTGCAGTCCAGTGTTGGGCTCAGAGAGCTGGCTGTGCAGTACGGGTGTTTGGACGCAGTGAAGGTGGCGTCTCAGATCCTTGAAACGGTAAGCGTGCACAGCTGCTCAGAGGAACGTGATGATTCACTCAGAACTGTAAGTGTCTGTAGTCGCCTCTTCTGCTCGGTGAATTCACTTAATAGGCCTCTCTGGCCTGAAACTGTCACGTTATGTAATGTTCTGTAGGACAGCACTGCATCCTTCAGCTTCACCGGTTTGACAGAATTCATGCTCTCCTTTTCGTCTGTCTGTTTATCAGTGATTTCTCACTACAGTATTTAGCCACACTACCCAAATACTTCCTCCCACCTTTAAATGCATCATTTAGAAGGGGATTTTCTTAGTCTTTAATCTAGAAAATCTCACTATCAAGATTAATGTAGCCCCACTGTAGGAAGTGAGTAGTAATGTTGAAGTAAGGAGGTTAAATTTTTCATTTTTGCTGCAGTGCCCCTTTAAGGTGCAGTCATTACTGATGCATGTTCAATTCCACACATACAGCATGTATGATCTCCATAGCAAAGCACTGACCAATAGAATGAGACACTCTGGATCACCCATGATCCTGAGGTCTCCATGTCCAAAGCCCAGTGTGGGCTAGAGGGGTATAAAGCCCCCCCAGCATTGGGCTGTGGAGCGTGGAGCTGTTCTCTGGAGTGATGGAGCTCCATCCAGGACCTTTGGGATGAGTTGGAGTGACGCAGAACTGACCATCCAACATCAGTACCTGAACTCACTAATGCTCAATCAAATCCTCACAGCAGTGTTCAACATCTAGAAGCCTCCCAGAAGAGTAGAGGCTGTTACTGCAGCACAAACTCACTATTAACACCTTCATTTCAGAAGCAGCTCTGGAGGAGCCGGTCTGTACAAACCTTTAGACGTGGTTTAGTTACCTGACTGTCGGACGCTGTGTTTCAGGTATGAGGCCAGTCTGCCTGCAGCTCAGCAGCAAAACCTCGACCTGTCAAAGCCGCTCTTCACCACTGCGGCTCTGTTCACTGCCTGCAAGTGAGTGTTTTCAATTTTAACTTTTCACTTTGTCGTTTTAATTTTCATGCTGATATAAATGCTGTTCTGTTTCTGACGGAGGTGCCATGTTCAGTATTGGGTCAGAGTTCTGTAAACCGAACTGTTCTTCCCAGGAGTTTGAGATTGACGATGATCAATTGATGGAGCTTTGAGAATAACAGTAGAAACGTATTATGTAATGCAGTAACTGTTATAATTTACTGTGCAGTAAATGTCAGCCTTTTTGTCCCACACTGTCAGTCGGAGGTGCAGAACAAAGCACACCTACAGCTACACTCATCATATAACAGGCGATAATATAAACATTCAGTATAGAGATTTGGCTTTGTAGTCTATTATAATGGCACTAACATAATTTGTCTGATTTGCATGTAATAAATATTTCAGCAAAAAAAGGAAAGACTGTTAACAAATATTATGATATAACAATCATAGTACAGTAGGGTTAATGATTCTGGGCTTTTTCTGACACCCATCTAGCAACCCATCTCCAACATTTATCCATATATTCTTCTGTTCAGCCTACGGCAGTTTAGCCCCACCCACTCACAATCGCAGTGAATTTACAAAGAACGTTTCAGCCCAAGCAGCTTTCTGAATGAGGCACAGTGCAGCATGTTTACACAGATCAGCCTTAAAGGCACAGTAACAAAAACAGCTTAAGGCAGGAATCGGCAACATGCGGCTCTGTTACTGTCCTGTTGTGGCTCCACAGCAGAATCAGATCTGTAGGTAAAAATAAAATAATCCTCCTTTACAGTAAAATAAAGCTCTGCTGATCGTTCAACACAGTTTAACAATAAAAGGTCTTAAACGCTGGAGTTAATGTAGAACTGCTGATTCACCCTTTAACCCTGAAGATCAGCACAGACTGCTGGTCACCGTAGCAACCCAGACAATAGTCTCATCTAGCTAGTAGCTAACAAAACAACAGAGAGATTTAAGACGAGCATCGATAATTTGGAGATGAATGGACTTATTTGTGTTTATAATCACTCCAGCTGGTTGATACGTTTAATCTGCAGCGAGAAACTGAAACACTAAAAAGTCGCGAGGCTGAAGTCAGTTTCTTATTCAAATTTTCCTGTTCCACCTTAAAAGGTGCAGCAGTTACTTTCTGGCCCCTCAGGCACCATTTAAGGTGGAACGGGGAAATTTGAATGAGAAGCGACTTCAGCCTCATAAAAAGTCAAACATTGAGAGACATTTTACAAGAAACTGTTCTACTTTTGAGGACAAGTTTCCTGCTGGAGATGTGAGAAAAGCAGCTATAGCTGAGCTAAAGCTTAAAGCAGAGCAAAGGGAGTCTGTATTTTCATTTATATTATTTTTTTTATCCTATAATAATACATCAGCACATACTGAGACATATTTACAGCCAAGATGGTAAAATGGACATAAGGTGTTGTGGTGCTCAGTGTAGTTTGATCATTGTTGAAAGGACAGAATGGCTCTTCTTAACTTTTGGGTTGCGACCCTTGACTTTAGGGATAAAGGGAGGTTTGACAGTGGTCATGAAAAAGGATTAACTTTTTTTGGTACATAAATCCACATAAATGTCATAACTGCACCTTGAGAAGGAAAAAAATAAGAAAAAAACTCATATCTCCGAAAAAGGTAACTTTACAGGAGATGGAGAAAATATGAACTTGCTTGCGTTGGGACTTTGTGTTACAAGTACGTTTGGACCATTTCACTTCATCAGATCATCTTAAATTTTAATTTTAAGTGTAACTGGAATTTTCAGATTATGCAGAAAGGTGTGTGACAATGTATTATTCATTATGTGTTTCGTAAACGGCTCTGCTGCTCATTTAAAGAAAGAAAATAATGTAAATGCTTTTTATAAGAATACAGAAATCCACAGAGGCCATGAGGTTAGCATTTTCTGGATTGTTATCTTGAAATGAGTTAACTATCTTGTGGTAATGAGTGAAATATATTGTGATTTCAAAATAACAAAGTTGCTAACAGGATATTTAACTTATCTCAAGATAATAATCCAGAAAATGGCAGCAGCTCATGGCCTCTGCGGGTTTCCGTATAAGGAGGAAGTGTTGCTATAAATCAGTTTGTTAGACTGTGTGACGCCCAAATGTACCAAGTCCAGCTCCATCAGATCCGTAAGATCACTGCGGTGATTTTCTGCTCCCTCTGGAGGCTCAGGGTGTTCTGCGTTATATTGAGGCGTTTGCCAGGGTGTTCAGGCCTTTGGCTCGTCTGCTTTGTGGTCTGGAGGAGGGCGAATGAAAGTAACAGCTGCTCTGACATTTACTTTGAAGGTGCATGAAAATCAGAGCAGATAAGAAGCTGGCGTCGTCCTCCGGAGCGAAGAAGGGCATCTTCGACAGGCTCTGCGCTCAGCTGCAGAAGTTTGGGCAGGAGATTTGCAGTAAGTGAGAGAACCTGATTAACTCTCTCCTGTGATGGAGGCAAAGCTTCAGAAGAGCTAATTAGGACCGACCTTCGTTTTGGTTACACGAAACACATTTCAAAGATAACAAAGACTAACAGATGCACTGAATGAACGTGTCTTAAACACAATTATATAGATGAAAAAGTGATCTGCGTCATGCATTATTCTTGGGGTGGTTGCCATGGACACGGAACAATTAGAGTTTTCTTTAACTTGTACATCAAACGCTGTGTTTTTCCAAAGGAGAGTTGCTGAAGGTTGTATTTACGTCAAAGAGGCAGTGAGAGAGAGTTTAGACTCACTGTAGAATTTTAGCTTCTCCTGTTTTTCTGAAATCTGAAGAAATGGATTCTTATCTTACCCTAATGTGGAAAACGTGCTGATACTCGCAAAACAGGTGCATCACAAACGTAGTGTCCTTAACTACAGTCTAAAGTTTGGACACATTCATATTTTTTCTTAATATTTCTGTTTTCCTCATGTTAGAGTAATAATGAAGGCGTCAGGACACATGGACTAATGCAGGGACCAAAAACGTCTAATTTACGTCCTTTTAGAAATCGTCCCTCACTCAGTTTGTCTTGACGTAGCTTCACATAATCTTGGCGTTTACTCAAGCAGCTTCGTGACGAGTCACCTGAGATGTTTTTCCAACAGGACTGAAGACGATATGCCTTGTTATTACTGAAGACCACATGTTGGAGGTGTTTAAAATCAGAGACCAGCCTTTTCTTCTTTAATTCCCAGTCAAATGGCCGTTAAGTACAAGTTAATCATTTGTCAGCATCACAAAAAAAAGCAGAAAACGTATTCGACAGAAAATTACACAGACGCCTCGAGAACTGAATATATATTTTTTCAGTGGTCAGTGAGTCGCTCTTCCCCTTTATTCCAGCTTCCATTCTTTTCAGGAGACTCACTTTCAGTTCCTCAAAGAATCTGCAGACACACCTCCAAAGTTCAGTCTTAGAAGCTGGTTGATCATTTTCTGAAGTAATCAAACACATTCAGTGGTGTTGAGGTCTGGACTCTGGGGTGGTCAGTCCACTGTTCAGCTTCTTTGTTTTATGTCCGTCTCCTTTTCTCAGTGAGGTTCTTCTCGACAGATACACATCCTTTCAGACCCACAGCGCTGAGTCGTCTTCTCACAGTGGAAGGATGGACAGAAACACCTGTGGATGTTTTCAGATCTGAAGCAGCTTGATTTTCTCCTCTCTCTCAGAGATGAAAGCTTTAAGTGCTGTTTATCTGATGGGGGCAGTTTAGGGGTCGACCAGCTCTTCCAGGTGGTTGTTAGGAGCCACATTTTCTCTGGAGCTTTTAACCACTTCTGGAAATTCGTTTTTCCTTTGACTTTCTCCGTCTTTATTGAAGTGGAACATCTTCTATCTAATCTCCTTAAGGATCTCCTGAAAAATGAATAGCTTGTACTTAATGGCCATTTTGAAGTGAACTAAATGGACGGTTGTCTGATTTTTCTCCACACATAAATCTGGTTCAGTCTATCAAGAGCTGCCTTGGAGAGTTCAATTACAAAGACTTTCAAATCCTTGCGGTTGAAGTGCTGCCCTTCCTTGTCATGAAAAGCCTCCTTCCTGATACAAGTGGATTAGATCTTGTATCTGATCTCCTCAGAAACATCAGAAAAATGAGTCATTTGTACTTAATTGCCATTTTGAGTAGTTTTGCATGTGCATCAACCTCTATTTTAGTTTAGTAGACAAATTTGCATTTAGGTGTCTGATGGGATGATGAAAAAGGGCAAAATGTTGCTTTTAACACATATCGAACCCAGTACAGCACACAGTGTTAGAACAGAGACCTGTGCGTTCATTTTTTTAATGTACACACATTTAAAGATGTAACTCTACTGTCTCTCATGCTGTCTCTCTTAGGTGAATCCTCTTCTGTGAAGGGATCAATCAAAACAGCTCAGAAAAGACAGAAGACCCTCACTGAGATGCTGCAAGAGGGAGAGGATGGTAAGAAACCAGCTCAGCTATCCTTAAACAGATTCATTAAACTGCTCCTAATCTGATGAGCAGCGCTAATGAGCTACAAACAGTGATTAACGAAGACAAGGGAAATGATGTTAGAAATGAGTGAGTATCTCTCTGAACTGACTTATGAGGGACTGATTAAGACTGAGGAGGATTTACAGTAGAGACTCCTGTAATATTGGATTGAATTTTTTTGGAAAATTGTTCTTCTGTGGGATCAGCCAGTGGTCAATATTAGCGTTCGGTCAGGGAGTTCAGGATTATAGAGGGTTTGTGCCCAGCAGCTGTGGGGAGTAGATAAAGCTCGTAGCAGCGGTTCATTCAGGCCTTACTGTGAGATAAGTACCAGATCAGAGCGCATGACGTCCGGACGTTGTTGGTCGTTTAATGTGGCATTTTTTTGGGGGTTTTATTTTATTAGGGCTGTTTTAGAAGCTTCCTTTTGTCTGCTCTTCTAATCTGTGAGGGAAGCAGGTTACTTTAAATTTCCCCAAGAAACTCCAAATAGGGGAACCTGACTGATGGTTCTACACTCTTGGTTCTCTTCTACACTCTTTGGTTCTACACAGAGCTATTTATGAGGTTTTATGACGTCGAGTACAGGCCAAGTCAGAACTTAAAGCTCTTCTGTTTCTTATTCCTCTTAATTCTCAGTTCTGTTGTGTGATGGGACACAGGGGCTCGGGGCGGTATGGATAGTTCTGGTTTTCGGGTTGTTGGAAACTGGCTTTACAGGCTGATTTTAAACTTCACATGGTGAAACTTTTATGCAAATAACTGCACATTGTAAGTTGCATGCAACATAATTTCCGTGCATCTTGACAGTTACATGAAGGAGTGCAAAAACGAAGCTGCGCATGTTTGATTACTCCAGATCAGCAGCTTGTAGTTTTGGTATTGTTTGGTATCACGGCTTCGTTCTCTGTGTAAAACCGTGTGTGTGGAGTTTTTGATGTGCTCTGTGTGTGTTAAGCTTTGTGAAAATGAATGAGGCATAACTATTGTAATATCTTGCTCTCGGGCTCCTGAGTGGTGTAGCCGTCTAAGCGTAAGCGTTGGCTGCATGATCAGGAGATTGCAACTTGGAGGAAGCCTTCGCCCTCCTAGCACTGGTGGTATTGTGAGAGTGGTGGAGTCCTAACTAGTGGGTGGGACTGGATACTAAATTGGGGGAAGAATCAAAAAAAATAAAAATTATGTAAAATCTTGCTCACCCTATATAAAAGCCCATATTCATAAATACACTATACTGTAATAGATGCTGAAACTGTCAGAAATCTTAATATCATGATATGAATTTTCATCATTTAATATCAGCCAGGAAGTTGAGCTAAAGAGCAAGAAAGATAGATATTTAGCCAAATTGGACTCTTTAGTTTGGTCCTCATGACTGTTCCAGCTGCCTCAAGTGTGCATTAAAAATGATGGTTCTTCAAGGGTTCTTTCATAAATAAAATGGTTCTATATAGAACAATTAACACTCGAAGAACCATTTATTTGATATACATCATTAAGATTACTGACCGTTTCAGTGTCTGTTACAGTAGAGTGTATTTATGAATATGGGCTTCTAGGATTGGGTGAGCGGGATATTACAGCGATGAAGCTTCTCTCAGATTAACACACAGCAGACAAAAAACCCACCACACAGTTGACTTTATACATATTCATTTTTTCCCCATCCAGGTGAGAAATGCCCTTATTCTGTGTTTGGGGGAAATGGCCCCAGAGATGAAGCAGGGATCTGAATTATAGAGACGAAGGAGATTTTGCCAGTGAAAAATCCTTTTAAGCCCTGAAAGAAAAGCCTTCATACTTTCGGGAGATAAATGTTTTTTTTTGTTTTTTTTTTTCCCTGTAGCACAGTCTGTCTTGTGTTATGTGCCAGAGAGATTGTAGTATGAGGCAGTAAATTGAACTCTGTCTCTCTGTCCTCTCTCAGATGATGGGTTGCCAACATCTCCTAAGCAACAGAGGGAGCAGCAGCGGCCGAGGGAGGACGAGGCTGAGGAGGACGCGAAACAGAATTACGAGGAATGGAAGAGAAAAATCCTAGAGAATGCACTCAGGGCTAAGGCGGCGGATTCATGAGCGCAGACTGGCGGTAGTTTTTATTTATTATGTTCCTGGTTTTCTTTTTTTTTGTTTTATTTTTCCCCCTTTTTCCATCAAGTGGCTTTATTTGCCAGATGAAACACGTCTTCGTCTGTCAGACCAGAGCTGCGTGTGCAGATATATGGTTGCCCACACTTTCGTTTGATTGCATTCAGAGAAATGGTAGTTAGTGAGTTCTGAATGATTCGGTGGCTCATCTTTGCGCCGCTGCGTTATGTTCTGCTCTCGGCCTGAATGGCTTGATTATCGCATTGTTCCTGCAGGACGGTGCTGGATTAATAGTGCAGAGTAAGGTGCTCTTAATCAAGCTCTCCTTACGTTTGACTGTCATTTGCATCAAGTATCTCATGTTGGTGACTATTCAGTCTGGAAATCATCACGAGTTTCACATCTTCTGTAAAAGTGAAGAAAACCTTCCTGCACAATGAGTGGTTTCCATGAACTTCCATGTCATTTTAATAAAAGTAAAAATTACAGGTACTTGTATCTTGACTGGTTTGATTTAAAGACATGCACATGATCTATAGCAATTCGTTCTAGCCGTTACTAAACAAACTCATATATATTGAAACTGAAGCAGCTGAACTTCAGTGCACAGCAACAAATATAAATCTTTGCAAATGAAAAACAGCCAACAGTAATATTTCTCAGTGAGATTACTGTAAGAATCTTAACTCATTTCTAGACTTTTTACTTGTTTCATGTCATTTTATCTAGAGTCATTCTTGTTTTAGGGTAACTTGTTCTATTTGTTTCAACGAGCAAACCTTCAAAAAACTAGTTATAATATTCTTACAGTGATCTGATCCTCCTCGTTTACATTGATGATTTTCACTTGCCAAGGAATCATTTTTCCACAGTACAAATTCAACTTAAGCTGTTTAAATCAGTGTCTATTGTAAATTTACATCTAATAAACAACAAACTGCTAACCTTTTATTTTAAAGGATGCATATTGGGTTTTTTTTTTTATGATTGTTTCCAAATGAGACACTTCTAAATGTGTGATTCACTAAACATTAAACTTTATTCATTATGACCTGGATTAATACATAACTGGAGGTCTGTTATTTGAAAGTCACAAGTAAAACGAATGGGTTATTAGTTGTAATAATACACAAACACTTTGACATTGTTATGGAAATGACAGAGCATGAATTAATCACTGTGCACTCAATAATCCGATCTGATTATTCAAATGGTCATGTAAACACTGTACTCCGATCTAGAAATCTGATAAAGAGGCTGGATTTGAGCTCAGTAATCAGATTTCTCAGTGCTGTAAACTCTTACTCTGATTTCTTTTGCATTTCTCAGTCTGAGCATGTGCGAAAACGAGTCGTGCGAGACGCAGCAAAACACTTTTGGAGCGACGCTGAAACCAAATACATGCTTGAAGAAATGAAGGATTGAAATATTCTTCATCTTCTAGATGATGTTTGTTCATATTTTCAGGTAAAGCGGCACGACGATTTAAAAAAAAAGCCGAGTCATGAAGTTTGAGTTTTACGTTACGTTTACGTCGCGTCGTCTTGTGTGAGTTTATTGGCTGGTTGAAAAGCAGAAATCTGATTACTGTCTGACTCATGTAGACCTGGAGTTTCCCCATTATCTGATCACTCAAGTGCATTTAAACTGATCAGATTACTGACAAAATCTGATTTTCTGCAGTTATCAGATTATTAAGTGCATGTAAACACATTCACACCTTATCAGTGTGTAACTAGCAGTAGGTTCTAGGTAGCATTAAGTGAATTCTGGAGTTTATTACTCAAGAACTTATAAGAATTGAATAAGTCACTAGTGCTTTAAGATGTGTTCTGTATTCTGAAGTGCAGTTTGTTGTCATTAAATAGAGACTAAAAAGTGCTAAACAGGTTTTCAGTAAGTAAATTTGCGTTCTGTTCTACAGTCAAGATTTTTGACAGCTGAAAAACGTGCAAGCTCAGAATATTAAGGTGAACACTTGGACAAATGGCTCTCCTCTGTCCAGGCTCCCAAGTGGTGGAACGAATTTCCACTGGCTGTCCAAACAGCAGACTCCCTCACAGTAAGCTTGCTGAAGACCACCTCTGTGTGAAGCACTTAAACGAGAACCAATCTAAGAACTTATTGAACTGCATTGCACTTGTGCTGTATTTAGCTCTGAGTTGTTCTTTCTAAGTATCTGCAGTGGCTTTTGTTTTCTGCCAGTGTCTGAATCAAGATCAAGTGGAGTATGGACTCGAACCTATTTGTACAAGCTAAGATGCGTCCTCTGAGTGGACAACAAAGCGCTTTGGGTAGTCACTCTGGACAAGAGCGTCTGCTAAGTGTCGTAAATGTAAAAGTTCAATCAACATAGCCTGAATAGAAACTTAATTTGTGATTCAAATGGACCTTTTTGAAAACTTGTTCAGCAATTTTTAGTCCCTGATTAAAATAATCACTTGATGCTTTTAGATCCTATAGGGATACAATGCGAATTCAATTATAAATTCATGCTTGGTAATTTGCATAACAATGTCTTAAAGTGTATTTATTGTGCATTATTGCTACTTATAATGCTGTTGTTAGTGACACACATCAGACTTGGTTACGTACTAATGCAGGTAATAATGAATAAAGACTAATGCAGAGTAAATAAACCATTTAGAAGTGTCTCGTTTTGGTTTTATTGAACCAAAAAAAGACCCCAATAACTGATGTGTTCCCTCAAATAGTGTGAGCAACAAATGATAAACAATCTTAATCACAAATCCAAAGAAGTCCCAGATTCACAAACAGCTTTTTTTTTCCCTGTGATAAAACTGGAGCAGAGTTTTTCTAAAGACTCTGACATTTTGGCAAAAAAAGCTTTTGTTTCTCTTATTAGCCACAAAATGTTCAGACACTTTTGGAGGGTAATGAGATTTTTCTAGCCAGGATTTAAAGCAGAACACTGAATTCCTTTTCCAGAACATTGTTCAGAAATGTCCTAAAATAAAGAGATCTGGAGATAAAACGTCCATATCATGTTGTGTGTAAACACTGTTTCAAACGTACTTCTCAATTCTCCATATATGGAAACTAAGCCACAGAAACAGCCTAATTTGAATTCATTATGTTTGTGATGTCACAAAAAAAGACAACATGTACATATCCAACTGTTCAGCCCACAGCAGTTTAGCCCCGCCCATTTACAATGAAGTTATAAGGAGTGTTAGAACCAGACTGCTTTTTTGAATGAGGTCCAATACAGGGCAGCCAGTCAGAATGAAGCTCATTTACATACAGTCCTTTGCAAATAGACCACCCTTCATTTATTTCATTTCTAGTCAAAACAGCCATGGAAGACCCTGGGAGACCCCAAAACTGCCCCCATCAGACAAACAGCACTTAAAGCTTTCATCTCTGAGAGAGAGGAGAAAATCAAGCTGCTTCAGATCTGAAAACATCCACAGGTGTTTCTGTCCATCCTTCCACTGTGAGAAGACGGCTCAGCGCTGTGGGTCTGAAAGGATGTGTAGCTGTCAACTGTACAGTTTTCTGTGTAATTTTGCATAAAATACGTTTTCAGGGTTTTTCCCTGACAATGAAAAATGAAAACTTCTTAATGGCTGTTTCAACTTCTGACTTCCACAGTACTGAAGTCAGACATGGATCAGACCAAATTTTGGACTAAAGTTTAGTATTTGTGTAGAATTACGACTGGAAACTAATTTCAGTCTAAGACTTAATCTGGGTCTGAAAAACTAGCCATAACAGCAAAATAAAGAAAACCTTGTGTTTAATTCTAAGGGATAAAAGAAGGTTGGAAAATCACTCAATTGTCAAAAGTGGAGCTCAGTGAAAAATCAGATTTGTAGAGAAACGTAGGATACAGGCTCTTCAGCAAGTGTTTTCAAATGACATTGCAAAAGATGATATTCTGACATTTTTGTAGGCTTGGTTTAATTGGATCCTGCTAAAATAATCTGGGGTCAGCCAGTGGTCAAGAGTGGCCTTTGGTCAGGGGATTTAGTTTGGCCTGTATCAGGATTATAGATATTTTATGCAGCAGCTTTAAGGACTAAATGAGCTGTTCAGCAGTCAGTTCAGGTCTTACTCTAAAGTAAGTATAAGGTCTGCAGAGTGTCTTTGGCACATAATGTCATTTGGGGTTTATTAGGGCTGTTTTAGAGGCTCACAGCTGCTTCCCTTGGTTGCTCTTCCAAATTGATGAGAGAAACGATTTGCTTCAGTAAATTTCCCCAAGAAACTCCGAATGCCAGAAGTGTCTACATGCATTTACTACAAAGCAAAACAACTGAACTGTGAGCGGCTGAGCTAAAGGCTTATCTGTATTGCTTTGAGTCAGCCAGTTATTCAGAATGCATTTTAAACAGTCACAGGGAAAAAGGCTGCTTCTGAATACTGGGATGAGGCAATAGAGCCCGAGAATAAAGAATCCTTCACAGAAGGAAGAATAACTTTAAAGCATGACTCACAACTCTCTGCAATATGTACAATAACAATTCCACACACTCCTATGGGGACGGCATCGCAAATCTGGGAATTATTTTTTCAGAGATGGTACATCAGTTACCAAATAAGGTGATAACACTGTAAGAAAGGGAATCTTGGCAGGTGAAACCATCTTAAATCTAGTCAATATATCAAATATTTCTCATTTTGAGAGTTGTGAGAATATTAGGTTTATTAATGATAAGAGTATTAAATGTTTTTGATTTATTTATAGAGATTTTCATTTGTTTTAAGCAATTTTATCTAGAGAAATCGTCTTATTCTAATGGCAGATACTTTTCTTGGGTCTCTATAGATTTAAGATGTTTTCTCTTGCCAGGATATATATGTGTACAGTGGTGTGAAAAAGTGTTTGCCCCCTTCCTGATTTCTTATTCTTTTACATGTTTGTCACACTTAAATGTTTCAGATCACCAAACAAATTTAAATATTAGACAAAGGTAACACAAGTAAACACAAAATGCAGTTTATAAATGAAGATCTTTATTATTAAGGGAGAAAGAAATCCAAACCTACAGGGCCCTGTGTGAAAAAGTGATTGCCCCTAAACTTAATAACTGGTTGGGCCACCCTCAGCAGCAACAACTGCAATCAAGCGTTTGTGCTAACTGGCAATGAGTCTTTTACAGCACTGTGGAGGAATTTTGGCCACTCATCTTTGCAGAATTGTTGTAATTCAGCCACATTGCAGGGTTTCCGAGCATGAACCGCCTTTTTAAGGTCGTGCCACAGCATCTCAATCGGATTCAGGTCAGGACTTTGACTAGTCCACTCCGAAGTCTTAATTTTGTTTTTTTTTAAGCCATTCAGAGGTGGACTTGCTGGTGTGTTTTGGATCATTGTCCTGATGCCGAACCCAAGTGCGCTTCAGCTTGAGGTCACGAACAGATGGATGGACATTCTCCTTCAGGATTTTTTGGTAGACAGCAGAATTCATGGTTCCATTTACCACAGCAAGTCTTCAGCAAGTCTTCACTTTTTCACACAGGGCCCTGTAGGTTTGGATTTCTTTTTCCCTTAATAATAAAGAGCTTCATTTATAAACTGCATTTTGTGTTGACTTGTTATCTTTGTCTAATATTTAAATTTGTTTGGTGATCTGAAACATTTAAGTGTGACAAACATGCAAAAGAATAAGAAATCAGGAAGGGGCAAACACTTTTTCACACCACTGTATATGTGTGTGTGTGTGTGTGTGTATATATATATATATATATATACCATACATACATACATATATATATATATATATACATATATATATATACATACATACATTTTTTCTGGTCATTTATTTATGTAATTGATAAACAGACTTTGAAACATTTCAGTTGAGTCTGCAAATGAATGTCATTTTCTTTCACTCACTAACTACAAAATGAAAACACTCCCTTCACTGCACAGTTTCTAGGGTCATTTTGTGACAGTCCAGTATTCTTCAAAAGCACTTGCCCCCTAAAGGGCAATTGCCCATTGAGGTGGACATCAGAGACAGAGAGAAGGTCCAGCTCTTCACTCAGAAGGTCCAGTTTCCTCAGGCTATGGCGTGCTAACAGACCTGTTCTGCTGGAACCTCTTCAGTCGATTGGCCGCTGCCACTGCATAGAAGTGTTTCTGCAAAAATTATTGGTTATTAGTGACCACATCATCGGAGAAATTGCACACAGTCTATCAACATACTGTATGGATGGAGCTGTTGCCCAAACACACACATTTAGTTGCCACTTTAGTTACGACCTCATATCTACACTAATTGTCTATTTTATCAGAAATAAATACTATACAGGTGCACTTTGTAGGTTACAGTTACAGACAGTAGCCCTGTAGCTGCGCACTTTATGAGCCCCATCACCTCCTGTCCATCAGTGGAAAGAAGTCACCGTAGTTACCCCTGCAGTCCAGATATTATGTGTGTGGGGGACAGTTGTCAGTTCAGCAGTGATACTGATATGGCATAGTGATGCAATGGCATGGTAGTGTGTTGCTGGTACGAGTGGATCAGGCACAACGATGTTTACACTGTACATTTACGGGCCAATTAACTAATCAGCATTTCTTAAGGAAAACCTTGCTGTGAAAACACACCTGGGTTTTGATACATTAGTGTCAGCACAAGGTTGAGAGTCCGCCACCTACAAGTATCGACCACTACCAATTTATCAGTGTACATTAAGAGCTTTCTGAAAATAGATGAATTGGAACATGGCGTCCCACAAGGCTCTGTTCTGGGGCTCTTACAGTTCTCCCTGCATTTACAGCCCCTATGATACATAATATGCTGATGATTTATACTGATGATACTGATGAACACAGTTACATGTTATGGAAGACCTGGATGACCAGGAATTTCCGACTGCTAGACAAAAGCTACATTTAAAGACCTCTGTATAACCTTATAAGATGCTGAGAAACTAGAAAATGCTTTCAAAACTACCAGATTAGACTACAACTGGACTCAGAACTAAATTCAGTCCTAAACTTTTGTCTAGACCAGCCCACTACAACCACAGCCAACTCCCTCCCACGTGCTGTGGCTCATTTTTGCCTGTGGTCTGTAATTGTGCTGTTATTTTTCATGAAGAAACTTCTATTCCAGTGTTTTATTTATATTCAAGTGTAAAAAACTCTTAGAACTAAAATGATCATTGCTATTTAAATAAATATTTGTTAGCATTATAAGAGCGGCTCTGTGTTTAGAAACCTGACACTGATAAAGGGGCCTACAAGGGAGGGATTTTTGTAGAACCCTAACTTCCAAAAAAGTTGGGACGCTGTGCAAAATGGAAATGATGTGCAAATCATTTAAACCCTATATTTATTTGGAAATAGTACAAAGACAACATATGTTGAAATTGAGAAATTTTATTCTTTTAAAAATATTTGCCCATTTTGAATTTGATGCTAACAACACGTAACAAAAAAGTTGGGACGGGGGCAACAAAAGGCTGGTAAAGTTGTGTAATGCTAAAAAAAACACCTGGTGGTTGATTGACAACAGGTCAGTAACATGATTCGGTATAAAAAGAGCATCTCAGAGAGGCGGAGTCTTTCAGAAGTAAAGATGAGGAGGGGTTCACCACTCTGTGAAAGAGTGCACGATCAAATAGTGCAACAATTCAAGAATAACGTTTCTCAACATAAAACAGCAAAGAACTTCTGCTTTTCATCATCTATGGTAAATAATATCATTAAAAGATTCAGAGAATCTGGAGAAATCTCTGTATGTAAGGGACAAGGCCAAAAACCAGTATTTGCTGGCCGTGATCTTTGGGCCCTCAGGCAGCACTGCATTAAAAACAGACATGATTCTGTAGTGGAAATCACTGCATGGGCTCAGAAACACTTCTGAAAACCACTGTCTGAGAAAACAGTTCATCGCTAGAACTTAAAACTCTAAAATGCAAAGAAGAAACCAAATATAAGCAGGATCCAGAAACGCTGCCACATTCTCTGGGTCAGAGCTCATTTAAAATGGACTGAGGGAAAGTGGAAAAGTGTCCTGTGGTCCGACGAATCAACATTTGAAATTCTTTTTGGAAATCATGGAAACTGTGTCCTCCGGGATAAAGACCACTCAGCTTGTTATCAGTGCACAGTTCAAAAGCCAGCATTCATGATGGTATAGGGGGCATTAGTACACTGAATGATATATACATGTTTTGGCAACATATGCTGCCATCCAGACGACGTCTTTTTTTTTAGGGAAGGCCTTGATTATTTCAGCAAGTCAATGTAAAACCACATTCTGCATGTATTACAGCAGCATTGCTCTGTATTAAAAGAGTCCAGGTGCTAAACTGACCTGCCTGCAGTCCAGACCTGTCACTGATAACATTTGTGACATTATTAAATGAAAAATACGACAAAGGAGCCCCTGAACTGATGAGCAGCTGAAATCCTGTATCAAACAAGAACAGGAAAACATTTCACTTTCTAAACTACAGCAGCGTCTCCTCAGTTCCCAAACACTTACAGAGTGTTGTTAAAGAAGAGGTGATGAAACACAGTGGTAAACAGGCCCCCGCCCCAACTTTTTTGGAAGGAGTTGTTGGCATCAAATTCAAAATGTTGTTTTCAAAAAACAATAAAATTTCTCTGTTTCAACATTTGATATGTTTGTAGTATTTTCCTTTAAAAATATGGTTTACATGATTTTCATATCATTGCATCCTATTTTTATTTACATTCTGCACAGTGTCCCAACTTTTTTGGAACTGGGGTTATAATAAAGTGGCCAGTAAGTGTACACTGTGTAAAAACCCCAGCAGCTCCGCTGTGTCTGATACTCTTGTACAAGTGCTACATACAGTACTATGCAAATGCTGTGTCAGTGTCACTGCTATGTTGAAAATGACCCACCACTCAAATAATATCTGGTCAGTAATGGTCCTGTGGTGGTCATTTTCAATCATTAATGGAAGGTGTAGCAACAGCTGAGCTAAAAAAAGAAAGAAAACAAAAAATTGTGCAGAATGAAGCCTGAACCATGTACCTTCCACTGCCGATGAGCTGCTAGGTAGCTCTGAAGTCTCAGCTGGGACTTGAGTCGAACCCTGTGTCTCTTGGCCTTTTCCTCCAGGTTATTCAGCCAGCTGTGCTTCATACAGCCCGACGCACTCAGACGACTGCTGCCATAGATACCAGACAAAAGCACAAAATGACACAAGGTTTTAACAACAAGGCTGGACTAATCTGACATCAAGGGTAAAGCAAAGAGGAATGACAACAGAGCAAAACTAAATAGTGAAGTTTCTGGTCCTCATTAAACACCACGTAAGACATATAAATCAATACCCAACTATAGAGTGTGTCATCCATTCAACTGCCCTGCAGACCTGAGACAAAAATATGATCTGAGCACACAAATGGATGTGGATATATGGAACATAATGCTATAAAGATTGTGCACAAGAAATGTGGGCCTTTCAATACATTAATAGGGAAAACGGAGCAGCAGCACAAACTATTCTACCCTGCCTCCGGTGTGTTTTCTCATGTGGCACCAATTAAGCTATGATAATGAGAGGGGGGTAGTCATTCAAATGGCAGCTCAGTTTAATTAGTGGTGTGACATTTTTGAAGGAGCCCCGAGCTGCTCAATGTGGACATCCCATTAGTGATCATTAGCTAAAAGCATGGATGTCCTGTTAACCTGAAACACATTAGTGTCTGAGAGTGTCTCTGAGTAGAAATGGGAAAATACATTAAAACGTATCAGCTACAAATTACGATTCAGCTTTCAGCAAACATACATAAAAACAACAAATGCACAACAAATGTATTTAATGAAAAAGCCCAGATTTTGTTTTTAAATTGTGCCAAATGCACTTAAAACAGCAAACTCTTCAGAAAGTGGAAAGGCAGCCCTTTAAATATGCAGTAAAATATAAACAGAACAGATTGTGTGTAATGTGTAAAAGGCTCTTTCTGGGTGTGTGTGATATAAGTGACCCCAGAAAGATGATGGTTCAAATGTTGTTCTGAGAAACAAACTGTGTTTTGTCTGGTCCAGTAAGCGACTCCTTTCAAAGTGACTTTTTAGGTGATGTTTTAAGTATTGAGAGAACACTCTTCAGCACTCCAGCTGTGGTATACACATTTGATGGTTATGCTACATCAATTTTCACTGTAACTCTACACCCATTTCCATGGTTACGCTACACCAATTTCCACTGTAACCCTACACCCGTTCCCATGGTTACACTACACCAATTTCCACTGTAACTTTACACACGTTTCCATGGTTATGCTACACCAATTTCCACTGTAACTTTACACACTTTTCCATGGTTACGCTACACCAATTTACACTGTAACTCTACACCCGTTCCCATGGTTACGCTACATCATTTTCTACTGTAACTCTACACCCGTTCCCATGGTTATGCTACACCAATTTCCACTGTAACTCTACACCCATTCCCATGGTTACACTACACCATTTTCCACTGTAACTCTACACCCGTTCCCATGGTTAAGCTACACCAATTTCCATTGTAACTCTACACTCGTTCCCATGGTTACGCTACATCAATTTCCACTGTAACTTTACACACGTTTCCATGGTTACGCTACACCAATTTCCACTGTAACTCTACACCCGTTTCCATGGTTACGCTACACCAATTTCCACTGTAACTCTACACCCTTTTTTATGGTTACGCTACACCAATTTCCACTGTAACTCTACACCCTTTTTCATGGTTACGCTACACCAATTTCCACTGTAACTCTACAACCATTTCCATGGTTATGCTACACCAGTTTCCATCATAATCCTACACCCATTTCCATGGTTACACTACACCAATTTCCAATGTAACCCTACACCCATTTCCATGGTTACATTACTCATATTGCTATGGTTCTGCTACACTCATCATGATGGATACATTACTCCCATTTATACTACACTCATTTCCATGGTTACACTACACTTTTTTATGGTTACGTATGGTTACGTTTATTTTGGAAATAAAGATGCCACCCCCACATTTCTGCATCCAAAACTAGGTCCATGGCACCCAGTAGCATCACTGATCTACAGAGCCCTCCACAAATATTGGCACCCCTGGTAAACATGAGCAAAACAGGCTGTAAAAAATCATTCTTTATTGTTTATCCTTTTGATCTTTCATTCAAAATATTTTTAAAAATATTTTATTAATAACTTTTAAAGTATAATGATTGAAAGAAAACTATCAGGAAATAAATACATTTCTCAAATCTGTGTGTGCCACAATTATTGGCACCCCTTCATTTATTACTTTGTGCAACCTGCTCTGAGTTTTCTTCTATGACACTTAATGAGACTGGAGAACACATGGCGACGGATCTGAGATCATTGCTTCACACAGAACCTCTCCCGATCCTTCAGATTCCAAGGTCCTCACTGTTCCACACTGAGCTCCTCTTAAGCCCATCCCACAGATTTTCAATGGAGTGTAGGTCAGGGGGCTGGGGTACCATGGCAAAAAATTCTGTGGTCAGTGAACCATTTTTGTGTTGATTTTGAGGCTTGGTGTGGATCACTGTCCTGCTGGAAGATCCAAACTAGGCCCGGTTTAAGGGTCCTGGCTGAGGTCGCCAGGTTTTGATTTCATTTCTGTTGGAATTTGATGGATCTGTGATACCATGTATCCACTCGAACCAGCCTCCTCACTGTGCGTGGGGTCAGTTGAGACGTACGTCCTCTTCCCAGCAGACATCATTGCTGTTTTCTTTAGTCTTTCTCACAACAATGGATGACTGAGGCAATTTGGCCTGTGTTTCATCTCATATATATTCTCCAGTGAAACAGGAAGTCATGGCCGCCAGTTTAAGTGTTCCTAATCGCTCAGGAAAACTTGAAACATAAAAAATATGAATTGGGAATACACTTCAGTTAGATTTCACTCTTCTGAATTTCTAGCGATGCTAATAAATGTTGCACACATAGATTTAAGAAACCTATTTTTTTCATGACAATTTAGTTTTTTTCTTTCAATCACTATACCTTAAATAAAGGTTAGATTTTTGCAAATATTTTGAATGAAAGATCAAATAGAATAAGTAATTAAGAATATTTTTACACTTCATTTTGCTCGGGATTCCCAGGGGTGCCTTACAATGTTTGTGGAGGGCACTGTATATGTACCCATAGGTTTTTTGTTATTCTGTGACCTGTAACACACGACGCAGAGTGAAGGCAAAGTGTTCTCTCCGCCTCAGTAAACACTATTCAGAATTCAGCTCACTCAGTCTGGGGTCGTGATCCTCCAGCATCAAGTACAATACACACAGCCGGAAGCGAGGGCTCTCCACGGCTCTGTAACAATCCACACAGTCAAACGCCATCAGCACATCGTCCGTGACAGAGCTGTCACAACACACAAATTAAACTCGGGCCTTCCCCCCGCAATTCAGGCACGCTATCCATGCGGCCCAATCGCTCTGGCACACTTACTCACCAGTTCCTGTGCACAGTGAGAGTTCTTGAGGAAATGACTGTTTTAAACTGAGTGTGTCTAAATCCAATGATTGCAACTGGAAAGTATGAAAACACCACCAGTGTTTTCTGTCAAAGAAACACATTTTTAAGACAAAAATACAAATTGCAGGACACTCTTGTATAACTGATCAGTGTTGCACCCACAAAATGCATTATTTCATAGCTACTGTTGCAAGGTTGGACAAGCTTTACAGAACATTGGCAAATATCCCGAGGGTCAGGGTCCCCCAGAATGAGCTGGAGGACAGGATTATCTGGGATTCTCTGCTTTCCCTACTACTACTGCGCCCCTACCTGGACCAAGCGGTTTAATATGATGATGATGATGATGATGATGAATAGCACACTCTAAATGTATAGTACTTTGCAAAGCTCAGAGACCAGCCTTTATTGTTTTTCCACTCAAAATGGCTATTAGTATTTTCTCAGTTTCAGAAAAAGAACCGGAAACATATTTAACTGAAAACTAAACAGAAGCCTCAACAATTAACTATGATTTAGTATTTACTGTGTCCAGTGAGTCACTCTTCACCTTTATTCCAGCCTCCATTCTTTTTAGGAGACTCACTTTCAGTTCCTCAAAGAATCTGCAGACACACCTCCAAAGTTCAGTCTTAGAAGCTGGTTGATCATTTTCTGAAGTAATCAAACACATTCAGTGGTGTTGAGGTCTGGACTCTGGGGTGGTCAGTCCATCGTTCAGCTTCTTTGTTTGATGTGTCCGTCTCCTTTTCTCAGTGAGGTTCTTCTTGATCAGCTACACATCCTTTCAGACCCATAGCGCTGAGTCGTCTTCTCACAGTGGAAGGATGGACAGAAACACCTGTGGATGTTTTCAGATCTGAAGCAGCTTGATTTTCTCCTCTCTCTCAAAGATGAAAGCTTTAAGTGCTGTTTATCTGATGGGGGCAGTTTTGGGGTCGACCAGCTCTTCCAGGTGGTTGTTAGGAATCTTTTTTTTTCCACTCTCCACTTCTGGAAACTCTTTTTTCTCACTTTGACTTTCTCCTTCCTAATGTCCTCAGAATCTAATCTCCTCAGAAACATCTCCTAAAAATGACTATTTTGACTGGAAGTGAACTAAATGAAAGGCTTTCTCTGACTTTTCCACAGATAAAGCTGGTTCAGTCTATGAAGAGCTGCTATGAAGAAGCACTGAGAGTTCAGTTAAAATGAATTTCAAATCCTTGCTGTTGAAGTGCTGCCCATCTGTATGTGTCACAAAAAGCCATGTTTAGTCAGATAATGATAAGATTATGTCGCCATGGTGAAAGCAGAATTTTTTTAAACGTGAGTATGTGTTGCGTCACTAAGTGCCCCCTGTCACAGATTAGCGGATCATTAACTGGAGAGGTTGCTGTTCAGTGTGGCCCCTCTCTGGCCCCTGCTGTGCCAGCCTTCTATTGTCTTATGCCAGCTGAGTGGTGGGAGCAGGCATGTCCCCCCGGCAGGCTGACGTACTCACAGCTCCAAAAAAACAACCCAGAAAATAAGCCAGATCACAGACAGGCCTCAGCCTGAATACTGCCGATAAATGAGTAAATAAAGAGTTCTGTGAGCTGTGCTCAAGAACATATTCTATATTCTATACGTTCTATACTTATTACATATTCTATACTTACTACAACATGCAGCTTATTATGGCTGCTACTTTAACCATCTCCTTTATTTGTTTATATGATTGTTTGCAAGAGTCAAATTACATGTTCTGCTGATTTTCTAAGTGACAATAAGTCCCAAAATAACACTTAATAATAATAAACAACACATTCTCTACAACAATAAAAAAAATCTGCATATTTTAGTGCACAACTTTTATTTATTTGCTAAGCTTATCATATTGGAAAAAATAAAAACATTAAATATTAAATGTGCTATTATTTTTGCAAAGGCCACATTTTTACATTTTATTCTTTCCCCTATATGTTAAATTCAGCAAACAGTAATTGTGCACTAAAATGTGTGTCTCTGTAGAGGAGGTGTAACTTATTTACACTTATAAAAAACCAACAAAACATGGAATTTGACCAGGGGTGTTCAAACTTTTGCATACAGCTGTATGCTAGCTACAGCTATATCTCTTTGCCTTTTTAAACATGTTTGGTTATTTTACAATAACAACTTTAGCAATGCATAAATTAGACCACAAAAGGTATGTTTTCATAGATGTTTAGTTATTTTAAGTATTTTCCAATTATTACTTCAAGTATTTTTAAGGAACATTTTAATTATTTTGGCAACAACAAGAAGATATTCACTGATAAATAATATAGCTGTAATTATCTGTTTATACACACAAATGATGATTCAATATAGAACCATGAACACTCAAAGAACCCTTTGCAACATTACAGGGTTCTTTGCATCATGAAATGGTTCTTCGGATTGACGGAGAGCGTGCTGTGTAAGGTTCTATATAGCGCTCTAAAAAGCGCTCTTCTATTGTTATGATGTCAAGCTTGTAACAATAGAAGAAATGTTTGTGGTGCCAACAGTCACTATGAACAGGGTTCAGTGTCTGAGACTGGAGTGAAGATATATCAGTCAACAATATCAAGAGCTCAGCACTCAACTGAGCTGTATGAGAGGGTGGCAAGAAAGAAGCCATTACTCACGAAAAATCACATCAAAACACATCTGGAGTTTAACAGAAAGCATCACAGTGACTGATGAGATTTTGTGGTCAGATGACAAAAAAACTGAGCTTCAAAATGCCGTGTGTGGCACAAACCTAACACTGTCCATTCCTCAACAAATGCCAGCCCGACAGTGACGCATGGCGGTGGCAGCATCCTGTTGTGGGGATGCTTTTTTTCAGTGGGAACTGCGCATCTTGTTAAAATGGAGGAACTGATGGAAGGTGCGGAATGCAAGGAGATACTGCAAGACAACCTACGACAGTCTGCTTAAAAGCTACAGCTTAGGAGAAAATTCTCCTTTCAGAAGGACAATGATTCCCCAGCACAATGCCATAGCAACACAACAGCTGAACAACAAAAAGGTGAATGTTCTAAAATGACCAGGTCAAAGTCCAAATCTCAAACCAATTAAGAATCTGTGCCACTGTCTGGAAATTGCAGCCCGCAAGCGCCATCCAACCCACCCGAACAACCTGGAGCGCGTCTGCCAATAAGAACGAGTGTAAACAAATAGAGTGTAAAGCTGGTAGAAAGTTAGTGCAACAGACTAAATTTACTAGTCTGAAAGGGTTGAATCCTTATGCTAGCAGTATTTTTCAGGTTTATTTTTTTTTTTAATCTGCAGACAAATAATAAATTTGACAGGATTTACTTTAATTACTAGCTGGAACAATCTGTGATGATGACTTTTAAGGGCTGGAGCACTTTTGTAAGGCACTGCATGGGCACAATAAGATACTCAGATATCAATGTCAATGGAAGAAAACAACACTGATTAACTACTCATATATTCTCCTATATAACCATATACACTGATCAGCCATAACATTAAAACCACCTCCTTGTTTCTACACTCACTGTCCATTTTATCAGCTCCACTGACCGTATAGTTTCACTCTGTAGTTCTACAGTTACAGACTGTAGTCCATCTGTTTCTCTGCATACTAAGCACTGCAGTGACACTCTCAGCACTGCAGTAACACTGAAACATTGACATGGTGGTGGTGTGTTACTGTGTGTTGTGCTGGTACGAATGGATCAGACACAGCAGTGCTGCTGGAGTTTTTAAACACTGTGTCCACTCACTGTCCACTCTATTAGACACTCCTACCTTGTCGGTCCACCTTGTAGATGTAAAGTCAGAGACGATAGCTCATCTGCTGCTGCACAGTTTGTGTTGGTCATCCTCTAGTCCTTCATCAGTGGTCACAGGACGCTGCCCACAGGACACAGGATGTTTTTGGTTGGTGGACTATTCTCAGACCAGCACAACACACACTAACACACCACCACCACGTCAGTGTTACTGCAGTGCTGAGAATGATCCCACCACCCAAATAGTACCTGCTCTGTGAGGGTCCATGGGGGTCCTGACCACTGAAGAACAGGGTAAAAGGGGGCTAACAAAGTATGCAGAGAAACAGATGGACTACAGTCTGTAACTGTAGAACTACAAAGTGCACCTATATAGTAAGTGGAGCTGATAAAATGGACAGAGTGCAGATCCAAGGGGGATGTTCTTAACGCAGTGGCTGTATATATGTATGTACACAGTGTCCAAAAGTGTCCATATTTTTCAGCAGAATGCAAATAAAGAGCAGAGTTGTTACCACTTGGCTGGTACGAGAAGTCTGGAGATGAAATCTTTGGCTTCCTCTGACACATTTTCAAACGCCTCAGCATCAAAGTCCCAATTAGCATGAAGGATGTTGTTCATGGTCTCTGTGTCACTTTCACCCAGGAATGGGGAAAGGCCACTTAAACTGCAGAAAAAAACATGAAATACACAGAACATTAGAACAAGGTGACAAAGGACTGTTATGTAATATGAAATGTGACAGACTGTGATTTATCCATTTAAAAGGCCCTTTATAACCACGTGGCAAACCTGAACAAACAACTTTGTTCCAACCTTGTGATAAATGCTCCTAATTTAGCTGATATGTTGCTAACACGTTAGCAACCAGTTATCAGCAAATCACCGACAAATTCAATAGTAATTGTACGCAGATCCCAGCATACAGCAAATGATGTTCCAAAAGGTTCCTCTCCAGTAGGAAAAGTAATCGCTTCTCCATTTCACATCATTTTTGTGGAAACCTGCATATTATTAGGTTTGGACAGTAGGTGGTTTTGTGCATGTGCACATAATAAAACTTGTTTCTTTAGTGCACAAAAGAAAATATGTGAAAAAAACAACTAGGTGCAGAAGTTTAATCAAGAAAAGAAGAAAAAAAAGAGAAAGTTTATATATAATTGTCCTCCAAAGGCTAAAAAACAAAATGAACATAATCTGACCTAGATAAGAACAGAACCCTTTTCAAAGGGCTCGGCGTGTGGTTGTGCAACTGAGCATCACCTTTTCAATGGCCCTCTCTCCAAAATCAAGGCTGTGTGCAACAGTAGCCCTATAATACACTTAAAAACGAGGCCATGGGTTATTATACGACAAATATTATTATATTAGCTGTGTGCATTAAAAACACATGCAAGTATAAATTGTACTTCTCTTTAAATAGAAGAGTAGTAATTAAATTATCTCGCCAGAGCACTGAGTGATTTAGGGCCAGGATGTCATGATGTAGGCTGTGTAGGTGCAGGCAAGACCCTCTAAAGCCCCTCAGACAGCTGGCAGGTCATTAGCACTAACTGAATCATTGAGAACTAACTGAGGTCAGCTATAGAAGACTGGATTTTTTGACCTTTTACTCATGTGAGGGTTAGGCATATAGCAACATGACCCGGTTCTGATCATAGACAAACATGTTGTGATCTGAAGCGGGTTTTCCTGCTCTAACACAAAGCTTCTGACAGCCGTCACTGTCGCTAAGGCCGTTTAGTAAGCGCTAATTTTAGGAATGTGTCTTCAGCTGGTTTTGATCGTGTTCAAGTTAGGTTCACAAAGTCTACAGGCAAGTCAGGACAGAGTTCTGTTGGGCTGCAGTCAGATTCAGAAAGAATTTTTTCTGGGTTTTAATCAGATTCAGACATAATTTGTCTGGGTTACAGTCAGATTCAGATAAAATTTTCTCAGGCTGCAGTCAGATTTTGACAGAATTTTGTCAGGCTATAGTTGGGATCAGACAGAATTATTTGGACACAGTCGGGATCAGAATTATCAGGATACAGTTAAGATCGGACAGAATTGTCAGGCTACAATCAGGATCAGACAGAATTATTTGGATACAGTCGGGATCAGACAGAATTATTTGGATACAGTCGGGTTCAGACAGAGTTGTCAGTAAACAGTCGGGATCAGACAGAATTGTCGGAAAACAGTAGGGATCAGACAGAATTGTCAGGATGCAGTCGGGATCAGACAGAATTGTCGGGATACAGTCGGGATCAGACAGAATTGTTCTCAGACTATGTCCAGGTCGGATAAATTTTTCAGGCCCAATTAAGCTCTAATTTAACACACTTAAGTTGAATCAAGTGTGCCAGAGCAGGAAAACAGTGAACTGCAAGTGGATACATGATGACGATTGGGAAATACTGGCTTATAGACCACAGTTTGAGGTCAGATGAGGTGAGGTGAGGTATGTGTGGGTGTGTTTTGGACAAGCAGAGGGCACAGAGACCACAGCTGAGGCTTGCTCTGTTGTTGGCTGTGTGATTGGGGTTGAGTAGATATTGTGCTTTCTGGGCCTCTTAACTTGCTGCGAGAGACTGGTGCCCTTTCATTAGAGAATTACTGAGTGCTCTCAGCTCTCAGTCTCTGATGTCCACCTCTCATGGCCTTGGCATTTGCATTTCCTTTTTGATCTCTTTGACATTAGAAGTCAGAAAGAGCAGGGCAATATCCAATTCAGTGCAGTCAGATCCTCTATTTAGTTCAAGGAGAGAAGGAGAGAGAGATGCTTTTTGCTGCTATCATAAAATTTTCTTTCCTCAGATGCAATAACATTCTCAGATATGGTTCCATCTGAGTCACTGCGTTTTTCACTGTACAGAACATTACTTGGACTGTTTGGAACATGAAATGCATATTTTAAAGTAAAGGTCAGCTTTAAGATCGAAGACATGCATCCATAACATACATTCAGCCAAAGATAAGACGCTGCCAGTTTAATATGACGGTCTAGCCAAACATCATATATACATAATCTTCCCCTCTAACCCAAACATAGTCGATCAGCCAAGACACGTTTGTTTTTGGAAGTTTGCTTCTCTAGTTTTGCACTGGCGATGTGTGGCTAATGTAGCTAGCAAGCAATGAAAGCTTATGCTTGTAGTAACAGCATATATTACATATTCAGGATACAAAAGGTAAATGTGTCTGTTATAATTAGTAACCAGTAAAAGTTTCTACCAGCTAAACTGCAGGATTTGATACTGTCAGATTTTATCTTTTACCACATGAGAAAGATTTAGCTTAACTTGGCATAACAGCCCTCAGCAACTCCTCACTGCTCAATTTCTCTGTGTGCCTCAGCTTTTACCATTACTACGTTACATAAACCCATAATCAGACCACAAAAAGGCCCAGTAGATCACGTGTGGCTTTAATCGACAGACAGTGAAGTCTTTTTGATACACGTACAAATGTTAATATGCTGTTACCTCAGCCAACATTACAGCCTTGTCTTTTTCACCTCATGTCTTTCAACTCCAAAGATCGAAGCCAGCTTGTGAAGAGTTAGTTACCTCATACTGAACATGATAAATGAACTCCATTATGTAATTTATGCAAGTTTTCTTACATTAAATGTATTTAAAAAGAGTGTAAATGTTGAACTCACATTGAACTCGTGCTCTGACTGTGGTGCATTCTATGTGGTATAGCTTTGCTTTGTACTGTACCTGCTACATGACGCTGTGTGGTGGCCTTTAGATGCTGACAACAAGCCACAGCAAGCAGATGTAAAAGCCAGCTTTTTTTATATTCAATCTACTAAAATATGTATTATTTAGGTACCAAAGGTTTGCTGGGTCCCAAAAGAAAGAAAAATTACAATTCATTTTGCCATCTCATGTTCTCAAACAGACTAAAATGAAAACCCTTTTCTAACAAAAACATTTGTTGGCGAGAGTTTCTTGTCGGTTTGAGATACGCTCAAGCTTTACACTTCTCCAGTTTTAAACCAGAGCAACCAGGGGGAAGGAGTGTTGTTGAACACGATTACAATGAAAAGAAGATTTTCACCTCACCTCATGTGAGGGCATTCATTTAAAGAGGTAATTCACATTTTATTCATGGAAATTAGATGCCCCCACAGGACACCCTTTCAGCCCTCCAAATTCAAACCCTGGCATTACTGTTGGCAAAGTTTAAGAAGTTTAAGTTCTTAAGTTCATCCTGTTTAAATAGTTTCTCTCTTTTCTTTATTTAATTATACGACACAAATAAACCAAAATGAATGGAAAGAAATCAGATTATTACATTTTTAAAGTAACCATTACCGACTGATTAGTGTTAGGCACGCCTCATAAACTCATAGTAATATCACATGGATGGATGGATGGATATGCTGTATTGATCCCCAATAGGAGTTTTGGGTGCGAGACAGGCTTGCTAAACTTTCTTATGTGGTTCCTGACACCGCATTGAATCCTGCATTTATGTACTTTTGTCCATTTATAACAGTGTGTCTAACAATTTGACTTGCTTTGATATAAGCATGTGATGATTCAGGTACGCAGTTAGCACCACGTTACCAGACAGTTATAAGCTTTATTTGGTTTCTAGTTCCAGTACAAAAATAAAGAAGTAAACCAAGCATGTCTTGGATGATCAGTTATTTTTTAAGGAAGGGCTGAACTATCACTTTAACGCCGATGTGAACCTACAGCATATATGTGATGACGCCAACACTCCACATGTCTGTAGGGAACGACACAAAGTCGTAATTGACCACTTCCGGCGCCAAGAACTCGGGGGTTCCAAAGTTTACCTTCAGCTTCTCTCTGGGACGATACCTGGTGATGAAGAGAAACAGCCAGACGTTTGCCGTCAAACGAAGGCCAAAAAACAAATTAGATGCCGGTCTTTTAGAAAAGTTATCACATCACATTTTAACAGCAAATCTCCAACCTATTCAAGTACAAAGTGGATGTTAAATACATTATGAAAGGAATTCCGCAAAATCCACAGAGCTCAACTTGTACTGACACTGCTGCTGATGTAAACACTCAGTTATATCTAACATGTTACATAATCTGGAGGCTGATGAGGAGAAACTGAGCATTTGTTGCATTCAGAACATTCATGAAAGGATTCGCAAGAAACGGTTTTGTAACACAGAGCAATCTGGGCCAATGACTCAGAGTTGCAGACAAATACAGACAAATACAGTGTGCACCTTACAGCGTAATTGTTCTCTAAAAGCTCAACAGAAGCCCAAATTGCTCACGTGATCTCCTCATGTCAGTCTTTTTCATGAAAAACGGTGTAGGCGGAGATGTGACGGTGGTCATGGTTACTAAATCGGGTGTGGGGGCAGGATGATAAACCTGTGTTGGTCTGGTGAATCAGAGCGGACGGATTTCTCATGTGGACGAGAGAGAAGTGCAGAGGAGTATAATTACAGACAAACGCAGAGCTTTTTCTGCAGCATCTCAAACAACATCAGAGGTAAACAAACGTGTCTCTTTGTAAGTGAAGCGCCCAGCGGCCGAGCGAAGAACAGCAGAACGGCTTCCACACTTACTTTCTGGCAAGTCCAAAGTCAATGATCTTGATCTGGTTCCCGGTGTTGTTAACACACAGTATGTTCTCAGGCTGTTGTGAAATAATAAATAAATAAAATATGTTACAACAAAAATAAAACAAAATGAAAAGTGATGATTTTAATGTAAAGAATACTTTAACAATAGTAGCTGTCATTTACTTGTACTGACTGTACTGAAAGCTTCATGCTTTATATCACTGTGTAATGTTTTTATTCAGTATCTTCACTTTAATGCTCTACTACACTATTTTTACAGTGATCTTTAGCACACAGTTTCTACTTATCTGCTGAGTTTAACAGATTGGAAAGCATAGAACATAAAATGTGCTATAATGTTTGTCCATGACTTCATTTTATGTTTATATTTTTCTCCAATGTGTCGAAATCAACAAGCAAACAGTAATTGTGCATTAAAATGTACAGTGTTCTCCGTAGAGGATGTGCTAACTTATAATTACTTAGAAAATCACTAAAATGTGTAATTTGACCAGGGGCACAAACTTTTGCATACGACTAGAAGTGTGTAATAAAACTTTGGGCCTGCCGGCGGAACCTGGCCTTTGACTTCATTCACATCTGTTGCACACCTGAATTATACTGCTGTCAATAACCTGTACATTTAGTTATACAGTGCATTTGTGAATGTATGTGTGTGTATATATTATATTTATTTATTGTACTGTATTCTGTATTTCCTACAGGCAAATGGATCAATAAAGTGACCCACATTCATTCAGTGACCTGGGATTAATCTAAGCACTGCAGTAACACTGACATGGTGGTGGTGTGTTAGTGTGTGTTGCGCTGATAGGAGTGGATCAGTCACAGCAGTGCTGTTTAACTGAGCTGAGTTGAGTTAAACTGAATTATGATAATTTGAGTTGATCTGGACTGGGATAGGTTAAGTTTAACTGAACTGAATTTATTTGAGTTGATTTGAGCTGGGCTGGGTTGAGTTGAACCAAATTGAGTTAAATTTAACGGAGTTGAGTTTAACTTAATTATGATAACCAGAGCAAATTATCATAACCAGAGCAAATCTGCTGGTAGAGTTGATCTGGGCTGAACTGAACTGAGTTTAGCTGAGTTGCGTTAACTTGATTTGGGCTGGGTTGAATTGAGCTGAATTAAGTTGAGTTTAACTGAATCGCATTGAGTTGAGTTAACTTGAATCGCATTGAGTTGATTTGGGCAGGGTTGGGTTGAGTTGAACTGAGTTTAACTGAATTGAGTTGAGTTGAACTGAATTATGATAAGTAGAGTTGATCTGGACTGGAATGGATTAAGTTGAACTGAACTGAGTTGAGTTTAGCTGAGTTAAGTTGAATTGCATTGAGCTGATCTGGGCAGGGTTGGGTTGAGTTGAGTTGAACTGAACTGAGTGGAGATTAACTGAGTTGAGTTGACTTGAGCCCAGCTAAGTTGGGTTGGGTTAAATTGAGCTGAACTGAATTGAGTTGAGTTGACCCGAATTGTTAAGCTGGGTTGAGGTGGGTTATGTTTGGCTGGGTTGTCATTTCACCTTCAGGTCCAAATGCAGGATGTATTGCTGGTGGAGATACTGGACGCCCTCACAGATCTGCCGGGTGAAGACGATCGCATCCAGCTCCGTCAGCTGGTAATGCTCGTCAACGATGCGGTCAAACAGCTCGCCCCCCTCCACGCTTCAACACACAACACAGACAGAAGTGACAAATTAATTTGCGGCTTGTTGCGTCTTTTGTTCAGAAGCGACGCCTTCTTTGTTGTGCAGAGACATCAAGCAAGGGCCAAAAAAAACCCCCGCCTCCACTCTGCTGGGTGACGTCCGCAACAGGACGGCTCGGGGCCGAGTGTGTTTTATGGAACAATCCGGCTTATCGTTTGATGCAGCATTCAGAAATAAGCTTACAGTATCATAACCAGAGCAAATCTGCGCTGTCCTGTCTGATTAACTCGGCAGTGAAGATGACACAGCACCACACGGGTGTGAAGTGAAACGTGTGGGTGCGCCTAGTTCCTGTCAGCGAGAAGTGCTGCTGAAAAACATGGTCAGTGAAAGGAAATTTGTCTTGCAAATGAAGCTCTAATGGACGGCGTCAGATCCAGCATCAAAGCACTAATGAGCTAAAGCATTCATTACAGCACCATATGAAGAAAGAGGTTCTAAATGAAGGGTGTTTCTTATTCCTCCAACCTAAAATAAAACGACAGTCATCTTTTCTTCCTTGTCTGTCTCTGTAGAATCGTAACTCATTGTATTCAAGGCTTAGAAATCAGATCTCAATCTTTACTTACTAGACTTCCCAATTTAGATTATTTAGTAACTACTATAAATTGTTCAGTAACTGCTGTGAAACTGATGTGTACATTCTGTAGTTATATGTGGAATTGAAGTGTGGATCCATGGGTCAGAGCATGCGTCAGGCTCCAGTCCTCGCAGGCCAAACCACTGCAGACTTTAGCGCACAGCCTCATTAAACACACCTGATTCAGCCCATCAGCTTATTAGCCAGGCCTTCATGAACTGAATTCAGTGGTAGAGACAGTAAACGGTAATCGCCACAGCATTTTGGCTCGGAGAGCCCCCAGTTTGACATGTCTGGGTTAAAGCGTTAAAAAAAGTGCAAAAAGGGTTTTTGGAGCGACGCCATAGAGGAACCACTGCTGATTCCCTGAAGGATCTTCCAGTGGATGATTCTTTAAAGAACAGTTCTTTTAAATGTGAAGAAACTCCACGAAATGGAAAAGTTCAATACCAGTTAACCTTTTATCCCATAAAATTTCCTTGTTATTACATCCAAAGATGTATTATTCAGTAATTATACTAAAGACAATGCAAACTTAAAGGGGCATTCCAGCCTAAAACTACCATTTCACATGTTATTTGTAATGTTGTATAACATTCTATAGGACAGCATTGTATCCCTCATTCTCATCTGTTTGACTGATTCAAAATTTCTTCCCACCTTCAAGATACGTCATCAGAAGGTGGAATATTCTAGTCTTTAAACCAGAAAATCCCACCCTACTGTGGCACTGCTGTAAGAGGCATGTATGCATGCTTACAACAGATACAAGGCAAGGGGTAAATTTTTCATTTTGGCTGGAGTGCTCCTTTAAGTCATGAGTGACACTGATGTGGTGATGGCATGTTAGTGTGTGCCACTGCTGGACTGAGAATAGTCCACCAACCAGAAATATCCAGCGAACAGTGTCCTGTGGGCAGCGTCCTGATGAAGGACTAGACACAAACTAGCAGTGTGTGCTAGTAGGGCTGGGAGTCGATCCTGAAAAACAATTCATTCCTCGATTTTCAGCCTTTTGAGAAAAATCAAAACCCAGTTTGGTGCATTAACGAGCTAAGTTTATTAAGATAGCGTTAGCTCTCCAAATTTCCTTGCTAAGGTCAAATATAATTAAAAATAATTAAGATTGTATGCTTTATTTTTGCCAGATGTCCTTTGATATGTCTTGGTTTTTGGAATCGAGATTTTTGTGTGGAATCCATACCATCGATTCCCATCGCTTGTACTCAGAATCCATAATTTCTGCAATCAAACAGCCCAAGATGCTGGTAAAAACGAGCTACACATAAAAAAAAATCAGCTTTTTGTTCATGTTGCACTAATTTTGATTTGCCACTACCACTGTTGGCTCATCCTCCTTTTGATCTGATTGGTCAGCACAGAAAAACGCTCATGCCGTTGGCTGCTCGAGCTGATTTTTTTAAAAAGACGGCAAAAGCAGCACACAAAGACCTTTAAGAGTTTAATGAGGAAGGTTTACTTACTATTCCATGATGAGGGTGAGGTTGGTGCGAGATTCAAACGCATCGTACAGCTGGATGAGGTTCACGTGGTTTAGCTGGTTCATGACCCCAATCTCATTCTTCACCTCGTCCTGGAGGGGTGGAAAGATGGATGGAGGAGAAAAAAGAAAGGGAGAGGCATCAAGAGTCAACAAACAACGCCAAAGGAAATGAATCATCACGTTAATTGCCTGTGCATTTGACCCTGAGTGGTGTATTCTTCGAATGCCTAAATCCCATCATCAAGGCCGTCTGATTTGAGCATTGTGTTTTAAGCGGCGACGCGGTGGAAGCGATGAGGTCAGCGGCAATACAAATTCTAATTCACAGAAGGACGGAGGCTATTTAGGTTACTTCAGATTGCCTGCTGAATTGTTGGAAGTGGAGCTGGTGTCATGGGGAGCGGCGAGAGCCGCAATTTAGACACTTTTGGAGAGATAGAGGCTGACAGCCATGCAAGGCCTGTAATTGCCTGGCTCATTTTATTTCTGCCTTTCACACCCTCTATTCTCTCAGATGACCCCGGAAATCCTTTCAGGTATCATATCTGAGGATGATCTGTACGTGTGTGTGGCTGAAGTGGACAGAGGTGGACCTGGGACGGTTTTGCTCATTCTCTGCACGCTCTGTCTCTCTGAAAGTACAATTCAAACGCCTGAAGCAGGAAACAGAACTCAGAGCCTCTTCTAATCTTCTCCCGCCCATTAGGGTACATTCAGAGCCACGTAGACCTTGATTTGATGGCAGGGACGAACAGCAGTGGTGGACTGATGTGTTGCTGTTTGAGCCGCAGTAAAGCAGTAAAACTCTCATTAGACACAATTACAGCCACTCCCGGAAAGTTGAGGATGCCAGAATCAGACAGGACATCAGCCGAGCTGTGCTGGGTAAATGTGGGTGTGAATATGAAGGCTGGCTTTTTGGACATTTCTTCCTGAAAATGTATTCACTATGTAGGAAAATGCCCAGTTTATGTAAAACAACATTTTGCATATTCACCTTATACAAAAGCTTTTTTTAAACAGAAAAAGAAAAATCCTTTTTCTACACTTACGATGGTTCCTCAATGGTTCTATATGGAACTGTGAAAAAAAAACCCCTTGTGTTCCCAAAGTGTTCTTTGCATCATGAAAAAAGCTCCAGGGAAAATGTGGCTCCTAACAACCACCTGGAAGAGCTGGTTGACCCCAAACCTGCCCGCATCAGATAAACAGCACCTAAAGCTTTCATCTTTGAGAGAGAGGAGAAAATCAAGCTGCTTCAGATCTGAAAACATCCACAGGTGTTTCTGTCCATCCTTCCACTGTGAGAAGACGACTCAGCGCTGTGGGTCTGAAAGGATGTGTAGCTGATCAAGAAGAACCTCACTGAGAAAAGGAGATGGACACATCAAACAAAGAAGCTGAACAGTGGACTGACCACCCCAGAGTCCAGACCTCAACACCACTGAATGTGTTTGATTACTTCAGAAAATGATCAACCAGCTTCTAAGACTGAACTTTGGAGGTGTGTCTGCAGATTCTTTGAGAAACTGAAAGTGAGTCTCCTGAAAAGAATGGAAGCTGGAATAAAGGGAAAGAGTGACTCACTGACCACTGAATAAATGATTATATTTAGATGTTGAGGGCTGAAAAATAAATAATTTAATAGCGGTTTTGAATTTAAATTAGAATTTAAATAAATGAACAATGACTTGCACAGTACTGTGTATACACATGTATGTATATGTGTGTGTGTGTGTGTGTGTGTGTATATATATATATATATATATATATATATATATATATATATATATACACACATACACACACACACACACACACATGCATATATATAGTACAATAAAGTGCTTGTGTCTGGATGCAGTGGAGGAAGGTGCATGTATTCTTTTTCATTTTCGTGTGAACAGAATTCATCAGTGACAGAGACAGAAAAGTGGCTGTGTGTTTTGGTGCTTCAGTGTATGAATCTGTCTTTGAACAGGTGTGTATGTGAGGTTGTGTGTCTGTGTGTGTTGTGTGGTTGTGTGTGTCTGTGTGTGTTGTGTTGTGAGGTTGTGTGTCTGTGTGTGTTATGTGGTTGTGTGTCTGTGTGTGTTGTGTTGTGTGTCGTGTGTGTATGTGAGGTTGTGTGTCTGTGCGTGTTGTGTGTTGTGTAGAGCTGCTGGCCAGTATGAGTTTCATCAGCTGTCATAAATCATAAATCTGTTCACAGGAACAGAGCAAGAGACAGACTGGAGCAGAAGGACAGAGAGAGAGCTGAAGAAAGAGAACGAGGGACAGAGAGAGAGAGAGAGAGAGAGAGAGAGAGAGAGAGAGAGAGAGGGAGAGAGAGAGGGGAGAGAGAGAGAGAGGGGGGGAGAGAGAGAGGGGGGGAGAGAGAGAGGGGAGAGGGAGAGAGAGAGGAGGAGAGAGAGGGGGGGAGAGGGGAGAGGAAGAGAGAGAGGGAGCGAGAGGAAGAGAGGAAGAGAGGGAGAGAGAGAGAGAGAGAGAGAGAGGGAGGGAGAGAGAGAGAGCGTGAACGTTAACATAAAAGCTGCTTTTGAAAGTAAGTGAGACGTGCGAGAGCAGAGAGAGGCTGTTATTGTTGTTTGTTGTTGTTTTTGTTGTCTTGGCTGTTCTGTACTCACCCTTTCTTTCATCCCCCTCACTTTTATGATCTTGGCAGCCAAAGTAAGTCCTGAAGAGAGCTCAGCACACTTGTGCACCTGTCCAAAACGCCCCCTGTGGAAACACCAGCACTTACGTCAACTGCACGTTGCCTTAGGTGTGTCAGTCACAGAGTTATTGATGTGTGTAGTTTTGTTTTGCAGAAAGAAAATCACCATGTTTTGTTGTTGTTTGTTGTTTGAGCCTGTATATACAGAAGGTAGACTAAATGCAAATGAAGTTTAGTTTAGATGTAAACAGAGTCATTCAGAGTCATTCAGAGTGGTTTGGTGTGAAACGCTCTGTTGTAGAGAAACTTGGTTTCAGAACTGTTCACAGTGGTGGTGATAGGAACCAGACGTCCACCTCTAAAAGCTCCCTCACAGAAAGTTACTACATGAAATAGTTGTGAATATTGTCTAAGATATTGTTTTATAATAATATTCAATTAATGTTTAAGGCCTTAAACATACTTTTTAAAATGCATTCATGGTGGAGGGGCACACGTAGAGTGTTGTAAAGAAAAAATAGTCCCCAAAGATTTTTTTTTTTTTTCAGATTTACCACTATTTTCCATCATCAACTTTCCATATAAACTCAGAAGACTCGTGTAGGTTCACTGGTGGTTTTGGATAGTAAATAAAATGTCTATATTTGTGTTGTAGCCATGGCGAACCCTGGTTCCTATCACCACCACTGTAAAGGAAGTCTGAGTCACATCAAACCACTCTGATTGACTTTATTTACATCTCAGCAACTGAATTATTTTAGATGAAGAAATTCCCCTTTAACTGAATATTTCTGTAATTACATTTAAACAGCATAGCAAAGCAACAGTAACAACTCTAGACTTCTAAGTGTAACTTTTGCCTCTGAGGTTTTTTCCTCTCCACCGTCTGTGACTCAAAATAAGGCCTACGCACACAGACCTGCTCAACGCCTGCCCAAAATAAACTGTGTCCATGACCAGTCAAAAACAAGCCAGCGCTTATTTGTGGCCCATGCGGGGGGGATTAGACCTTGTTTGTGTGCGCCAGTTGTTCAGCTTCAACAGTACATGTTATCTGCCCCTCCCGCATGCTATCAGCAGCCGATCCCCCCCAAACTCTCCACCCCCGACCCTGCCAATGTCTATATGTTTATCTCTGAACGCCCAGGTCAGTGAGCTTTATCTGCATTGCTATTGTTGGAGGACGCAACTGAGTAAATGCCAAGCTGACAGTGCACCGATAGCGCTAAACTATAATTACCAGCTGGTGAGCTTTTATCACATGTGGAGGGTCTGAGGGGCATTTCAGCTTTCAGCAACTGCACCTTAAGTACCCTAAGACAAATCAGATGTAGTCAGTGCTATGAGTAGTGTGGTGGAGCTGTAGTCAGGCCTGTTTGAACCTAAAACAAATGTATTAAATAAATATATTGTAGTTTAAACAAAGTAGAAGACACAGGAAACACTGCGCTTTAAAGGCGAATGCTCTTTTATTGAACAGGCAGCAAGGAAACCACCACTCAGTGCTGATCAATACAGCACGACAGCAGGGAAGGTCACTCCTCTCTGTGGTACACACTTAATTAACTAACCCCACAGCCCTGAACAATAAAGCGCACATAACAGGTAAACATGTGAAACTAACACCAACAACTTAAACTACGAACATCAACCCCTTACAAGGCCACCATGACCCAGAAGGATAAGTGGTTTAGAAACTGTGTGTATGTGTGTTTATGTACACCAATCAACCATAACATTAAAACTATCTCCTTGTTTCAACACTCATTGTCCATTTTATTAGCTCCACTGACCGTATAGTTTCACTCTGTAGTTCTACAGTTACAGACTGTAGTCCATCTGTTTCTCTGCATACTTTGTTCTTCAGTGGTCAGGACCTCCATGGACCCTCACAGAGCAGGTACTATTTGGGAGGTGGATCATTCTCAGCACTGCAGTAACACTGATGTGGTGGTGGTGTGTTAGTGTGTGTTGTGCCTGAACGAGTGGATCAGACACAGCAGTGCTGCTGGAGTTTTTAAACACCTCAGTGTCACTGCTGGACTGAGAATAGTCCACCAAGCAAAAATATCCAGCCAACAGCGTCCTGTGGGCAGCGTCCTGTGACCACTGATGAAGGACTAGAGGATTACCAACACAAACTGTGCAGCAGCAGATGAGCTATCGTCTCTGACTTTACATCTACAAGGTGGGCTGACAAGGTAGGAGTGTCTAATAGAGTGGACAGTGAGTGGACACAGTGTCTGTAGAACTACAAAGTGCTTCTATATAATAAGTGGAGCTGATAAGATGATAAGACTCTGATTGTGAATATGAGCAGTGCAGCCCGGAATGCGGTGTAAACAATCTGTGGAAGCATCTAATCACAGTAATATGAAACTGATGGATAAAGATCTCCGTGCTGAAGAAGAGAGAGACCCAATCTCACCTGCACAGACCAGACTTGATTTTCATTCAGGACCAGCTTTGTGAGTTTACATTTTTATTCGTAACGATTTTATTTTGAAGTGGCATTTTTCTAGAACCTAGTTTCTGGGTTTCCAAACAGCATCAGACCTAATTTTAATCAGCGTAACTGGCTGTGTCATGTCCAAAGGCAGGGATAGGGACATGTCTTTAGCTGATTGTTTCTCCGATATCTGAAGTACTCAAATGACTGTTGGGTTTTTCCATGTTATTTCCAGCTGGTACAGATTTGTTTGGGTTCTATAGGGCAGTGGTCCTCAAACTGGTCATCAGGGAATCCCAGACAGTCCACATTATTGCTCTATCTAGTGTTGGGAGCTGAGATAGATCAAAAATATGGATTGTCTGGAGACCCTGATGCATTACAGAGTAAAGCAGAAGTAATGAGTAATGAGAAAACAAGAGGTAAATTAATCCCATTACAGTGTGAAAAAAGTAGTGAATAATTTGTAATAGACTCGTAATAGACATTGGTGATAGTTAACTATACCTTAAGCTCTAAATTTGACTAGTTTGATCTTAGTGGCCAGTATCAACTTACAAAACTGATAGTTCCGGTTCTGAAATCTGATTGATCTGAGTCACGTTGGAAGCCATTATAATACATCAAGTCACTAAATAATATGTCGCTGCTGTCAGAACAAAATCTCATATCTCCAAAATGGTAACTTTACAGGAGAAGGAAAAACATACTCTACTTTCAGTGTAGGTCAATGGAACCAGATGTTTCCTCAGGTAATTTTGGGCTGTTTCTTTTGGTTCATTCATCGTGAAATTTACACACAATGTAAAGAGTAACAGACAGATTTTCAAACTATGTCAAAACCTGAAAAATGGACCACCAAGTGTACTAATGGCTGAAGTAATAACCCAGTTGTGTTTAAACTGAGGGGTTGTCTCTTAACAACTAGTCTAAAATTCAGCAGGCTGAACAGGCTAAAAGATGGCTAACATACCGCTCATCCAGTGTTAGGCTTTGAATTTAAGTATTTAATGGCGGGTTCATTCTAAAAGTGCAAAGGAAAAGTAAAGAATATGTGACATGAATGTCTTACACATGTAAAATGTCTGTGTATTTGTTAGATCTGCCTTAAGCAACATTTAAACACAGAGTGGGGAAACAAATGCATGGTACAGACGCTAACATAGCACAGGAAATCCTGTAGAGGAGGAAATTTGCCTTATCACTCTGGTGGTAATTTGGTGAGTAGAAAACACTAATAAGGTGACGGTTTCTGCATTAAAAACTGTTGTATTATCATATTTTTACTATTATGTGTCAAAATAAATTGTACAGTCTTCCCATTTCAAAGTACTGTAAGTAACTTGGCTTCAAATCTTTTGCTGTTGACTGTCTGAAGCTTGAAACCAATGGACATCACCAGCCTCCAGCCAGTAATTGTACAATTGGCTGTTCAGTTTCTGAGTGTTCTGGCCAGCTATGGGTCACTGTATCATTAGATAATGTATAAAAGATCTAACAAAAGGCTGCACTGTGAGTCTGTTGCTGCGATCTCTGAACATGAGGACTGAAGAAGTGTCACTGGCAGCAAAGCAGAAGAAGTAACGAGGCTGTAAAATCAGTACAAACCGATCAGAGCGAGACAAAATCAACTCTTTCGTTAAGAAGTAAGAACACAGTAGGCAGCATAGCAAGAGAAAACAAGCTGGCAGACCATGAAAGACAACAGTCACGGACCAAAACTTTCAATCACAAAGTGCAAAGCAAAACCACTGAAAAGATCAAGAAATCTGTCCAGGATGTAGGAGTCGATGAGTCGAGCACAGCCATGAGGAGAAGGACCAGCTTGATCTCAGAGGATTTAATACAAGCCGTGTGGTGCAGCACAGGAGCATGAAGACCAGAGGACAGTTCACTGAGAAGCACATAAAAGCCTGTAGAGACGTGGGAAATTTGTCAAAAGAGCACGGTATACTGGTTCTCCCTCGGCAGCTTTCTCACTTTTGGTTCTTTTAGATAACAGACAAGCGTTCTTTAGTAAAGTAGATGGTTCTATACTGTGAACATTAAAAAAAAATTTAAATGCTTAAATGGCTTTTTTCATGGTTTAACTGTTCTTCTCTAGGATGGAAAACCTGTTATGTATAGTTTTTTAAAGAATCTTTTTAAAAAAATGACACCAGAAAGGGTTCTGCTTTGGTTCCAAGTCAGAGAACTATCTTTTGAGTTCTGTATAGAATGATTTCTTGCTAAAAAGCAACTAAACCGTTGTATGTATTGCCCAATTTCAGGGCACCATTGTTGGTCAAATGAACAGAATCTTACAGTACTGTGCAAATTTTAGAGACCACCTTTCATTTATTTAATTTACTGACAAAGCAAACTTTCACGACTCCACTTCGGCTCTGAGGTCTCCTTGGACTCCATCTCCGAGAACCCCCTGGGGATCATGTGATTCCTGCCTCACTCTCACACTCCAAACGGTACTGATCAGTTTCACCTGTTCATTGATTAGGTTAGTATAAAGCCTGGGCTTGTAGGACGGGTCCTTTGCGAGGTATTGCTTCTTTTCTAAGAACTTCTGAGTGTTCTCTTCTGTGTTGTGTATATTTCTGGCTATTTTGCCCTGTTTTTTTGACCTGCCTTCTGCCTGACCCCTTTTGGACTGTTCACCTGGTTATGTTTGGGCTTTTTTGTGTGACTTGCCCTTTTTGGATCTGACCTATGCCTGTTTTGTGACTTGCATTGTGGATTACGTTTTCATCAGCGGCTGCGTCATTTTTTCGTCTTACACAAACATTAAGTAGACATTATTCAATTTTAGGTTTAGAAAAAATAGAAAACTTACTTAACAGAAAACAACAACTAAACAACTAACATGATGTTTCGGTATTTAGTGTCTCCACTCTGTACCTTTATTACAGCTGCTATTCTTTTACCAAGAGACTCATTCATTCATCGTCTTTAACCACTTGATCCAGATGGGGTCGCAGTGGCAGTTGGGAGAGCAGAGAATCCCAGGCAACCCTGTTTCCCACAATCTCCTCCAGCTCATGCTGGGGGTCGCTCCCGGGCCAACTTGGAGATATAATCCCTCCAGCAGGTCCTGGGATGACCCCCCCAATGTGGGGGCATCCGGGGGGCATCCTGATCAGATGCCTGAACCGCCTTAACTGGCTCCTCTCAGTGTGGAGGAGTAGTGCCTATACTCCGAGCTCCTCGTCCTGTCAGTAGAGTGTAGCGCCACCCTGCCAAGAAAGCTCATTTCCGCCGCTTGTATTTGTGATCTCATTCTTTCGGTCATTACCCAAAGCTCATAACCACAGGTGAGGGTGGGGATGTAGACTGACCAGTAAACAGAGAAACCTTTGCCTTATGGCTCAGCTCCCTCTTCACCGCTACAGTCCGGTACAGTGACTGCATTACTGCTGCTGCCTGTCCCAGCCTGTGGACGATCTCACCATCCCTCTTCACGTCACTCGTCAACAAGACCCTGAGATACTTAAACTCCTCCTTAGTGCCCTCTGTACCTTTATTACAGCTGCCATTCTTTCATCAGGAGACTCACTTTCAGTTTTTCAAAGAAATCTGCAGGATTTTTTTTCTTACCTCGCATTTCCACAAGTTCAGTTTTAGAAGTTGTTTTTGCGTTTTTTGGTCCAGGTAATAACTTGGATTGTGAATAACTTATAGTTAAAAGTTGTTTAGACTGGAAATTACACAAATGAATTGTCTCTGATTTTGCACAGTACTGTATGCAACGTTTGCATTTATAGAACTATGACACATATATTACTACAACCTGTACAGATTTCTCTGCTCATGACTGAATGTTTTTTTGGCATTGTTGTTTTAGTTGGCTGCCTGTTTGTTTTCTATTGCTAAACTCACCATTGTGTTCTACCTTCTTAATAACGTGTATAAACAGTTGATTTTGGACCATCTAATGTTTTGGCTCTGTCTTTGGTTGGTTTTGTTCCAGTTTTCAGCCTCATTATGTTCACTGGTATTGAAGCTTTAATGGTCCTCCTGTCTGTCACAGATGTAAATGCCACATGTGGAATCAACTCTAGACCTTTTGCTTTCTTGTGCATGAACTAATGATGCAACAACATATAACTGGCCAAGAAACAACCAACTGCAACCAACTGTCCAATTAGCGGTCAGAGTTGGGAGATGTCTGTTGGGTCGTAGACTTGAGGCACTAAATGAAAGGATTTCCAACCAAAGTTCTAAACATGCAAATTTTATGGAGGATTATGTTAATATGTTTAACAACAGTGCTGCAAAATGAGGAGTCTGTATATTAAAACGGTTGGGATTCCTATATGGTTCAGACATTATAGACGTCTTGCAAGCTAAAGCTGAAATTCTGCTTTAGTTACTTTTAGAGTTATTGCAGCATGTCAAACAACAAAGAACCGTCACTGTCACTACCCAAACGCTCATGAACTGTTCAATACAAAAAGAACTGTTGTCGGGTTTTTAAAGGGAATCGGTCATTGAAACTGACCTTTTCTCACTTTATTGAAATAAAAAAGTAGTAAGTAGACATTTTAAAACATACCGATCAGTCCATACAGTCCATTTGTAGAAACTAACCTGCAAATTCTGCTTTTAATGCTTTTATGATGTCACTCAAACTATCACTTTTACACATATCCACCTATTCAACCTTCAGCAGTTTAGCCCCAGCTTCTAGATGGACACACGACTCCACTAGTTCCACACAGTGAGAGGCAGATGACGTGTATCTCAGCCCCTCTTCATAGGCTTATAACTCTGAATGTGAGTCTCGTATGATCTTGTGATAAGATGGAATGGAAAGGGGGCGAAATTTTGAACCACATTTCGGCACTGTGTTATCGCAAAGGGAGATAAATAGATATAGAAACATCAAATTTGACGCACGGGTGAGTTCATGGACCCCAGGGAATTAAAGGAACAGTAACAAAAATAAAGGATAAAGAGAGTAGAATTTTGTAGGATATGGGCCCTTTAAACACCAGACCATGGCCATAGTGTGGGACACACATCTACACTCACCCTCCCAGCAGCTCGTTAGGCTTGACCTCGTAATAGGAGCCCATGGGAACCTGCTTGGCGCTGACGATGCGGTGCTCAAACGGGGCCGGCCGAGGCGGGCAGTCGTCTGGAAAAACAATGGGGATTGTGGTGAGAAACCTGCCTAAACAATCCCCCCCACCCACCCACCCCAGCCGCTGCTACCAAACCCGTCTGGGAGCCCATTTACAGGTATTGACACAAACCAGTTTTCACATTAAAGTCAGGAACTTTGACAGAATGCTGATGGAGTTTCTGTTACACACACTAGCGCTGACTGAGATTCTGTGAAATGATCCGCTGACTGCTCGGAGGGGACAGCTGCTAGCAGGAGGTTGCCAAGCTATTCAGTTCATCTTTGTTACAAGTTTAGCTTCAACGGGTCTCCTGTTAGCTTGAACCTGAACCTGAACCTGTACAATAACCATACTTTGAAATGCATTTGCATTAAAAGGGATTATTTTAGCAGATTAGCCCCTTAAACAGCCGTTAAATCCAACTTATTCTTCAGTAATTAATACTAATTATCCAGTAACTACTATGAAGCTATTAGGCCTATGCAAAGCATGCAGTTATGAGAGAGAGGAACTGAAGTGTGGACCCACTGATGGGTCCTTAGAGTGTAAGCCACTAATTCCTCTGAAGCATTTCTTAATCCTGATCCTAGAGAAGCACTCGGTCTCAGCTGTGCCTTGCCTCAACACACCTGACCCTGCTCATCAACTGATTATCAACTCCTTCACAGGCTGAATCAGGAATGTTGATGCAGGGAATTATAGGCGGTCTGGGAAGTCTGTCCCCAGGAGCAGGATTAAGAAACTCTTTGGAAAGTTCCAATAAGATGAAAGGTTGAAAATGATTCGGTTGAATTGTTTACATTCCTGCAATACGTAAGAGATCCTGTATCAGACTGCAGGGGACAAATGGGCAGAACTACAGATGCATCGACAAGTTTTGTGTTAGACTGCTTATATAAGTGCAGTGGAGCTTGAAAATATGTGAACTCTTTAGAATTTTCTATATTTCTGCATAAATTTGACCTAAAACCTCAGCAGATTTTCAAGTCCTAATAGTAGATAAAGAGAACCAAATTAAACAAATGGGACAAAAATATTAGATTTGGTCATTTGTTTATTGAGGAAGATGATCCAATATTATCTGTGAGTGGCATCAGTATGTTACCCTTTGCTTTCAGTATCTGGTTTGACCCTCTTGTGCTGCAATTACTGCAGCTAAACGTTTCCGGTAGCTGTTGATTAGTCCTGAACATCGGCTTGGTGGAGTTTTAGCCCCTCCGTACAAAACAGCTTCAGCTCTGTTATGTTGGTGGGTTTCCTCCCCTGAACTGCTGCTTCAGGTCCTTCCACAACATTTCTACAGGATTAAGGTCAGAACTTCGACTTTTCCATTCCAGAACATCAACTTTACTCTTCTTTAACCGTTTTTTGGTAGAACGACTTGTGTGCTTATTGTCGTTGCTGCATGACCCACGTTCTCTTGAGTTTCAGCTCAGGAACAGACCTGTTTCCTTTAGAATTTGCTGGTATAATTCAGAGTTCATCATTCCATCAATGATGATACTACCATCAATGATACTACCACCACCATGTTTCACAGATGGGATAAGGTTTCTATGCTGGAATGCAGTGTTTTCCTTTCTCCAAACATAAAGCTTCTCATTTAATTTTGGTCTCATCCGTCCACAAAACATTGTTCCAGTAGTCTTCTAGCTCATCCATGTGATCTTTAGCAAACTGCAGACGGGCAGCAATGGTCTTTCTGGAGAGCAGTGTGTTTCTCCCTGCAACCCTGCCATGCACACCATTGTTGTTCAGTGTTCTCCTGATGGTGGAGTCATGAACATTAACATTGGCTACTGTGATTCAGGCCTTTAGTTGCTGAGGAGTTATCCTGGGTTCCTTTGTGACCTTGCAGACTATTATATGCCGTTGCTCCTGGTATGGGGAGCGTAACAGGGTCTTGAATTTCCTCCATTTGTACACTGTGATTGGTGGAGTCCAAACTCTTTAGAGATGGTTTTGTAACCTTTTCCAGCCTGAAGAGCATCAACAGCTCTTCTTCTGAGGTCCTCAGGAATCTCCTTGGTTGGTGCCATGATACACTTCCACAAACATGTGCTGTGAAGATCAGACTGTGAGAGATCCCTGTTCTTTAAATAAAACAGGGTGGTCACCCACACCTGATTCCATCCCATTGAGTGAAACCACCCGACTCTAATTTCACCTTCAAATTATCTGCTAATCCTAAAGGTTCACACACTTTTTCCACTCACAGATCTGAAATATTGGATCATTTTCCTCAAAAAATAAATGACCAAGTCCAATATTTTTGTCTTATTTGTTTAAATTGGTTCTCCTTGTCTACTTTTAGGACTTTTTTTGTGAAAAGCTCATGAAGTTTTAGGTCAAATTTAGCTGGGGCTGGACTACGCTCTGTATATATGATACATATAAAATAGACACTTATTGGCTGGAACATGCAGCCACTGTTGCTCTCACTGGATGTTGGTGTTGAAATCTGGAAAGTGTGTTCGCTCTGTGGATTTTGATGTTCAGGTTATGTGAACCCTACATTCACACCATGAAAATGATGATATTGAATGAAAGTCTTTTTTCAAGAGTCAAATTTGAGCAAATACGACAAATCAGATTAATCGCAATTAACCACACAAATTAATGTAATTATTAGCGATTAGTTATTTGAATCATTTTAATGACATTGTGTCATATTCCTTAGCCTTACTGTGCTGTAAATTCATCAGCATTGCTAGTGTCTATCCAAATGTCAATCATATTCCAAATGAAAACTTATTCACAAAGGCACATACCAATGATCAGGAGCTGTGGTTCAGATCCTTTACTGAGAATTCCTGATTTTGACTTTGTCCCGCTCTCTGGCGCAGGACTCGTCCCACTCTCTGGCGCAGGACTCGTCCCACTCTCTGGCGCAGGACTCGTCCCACTCTCTGGTGCAGGACTCGTCCCACCCTGCGCTGCAGGACTCGTCCCACTCGGCGCTGCAGGACTCGTCCCACCCTGCGCTGCAGGACTCGTCCCACTCGGCGCTGCAGGACTCGTCCCACTCTGTGCTGCAGAACTCGTCCCACTCTGTGGCACAGAACTTTCTTTGGCAGGCTCAGATTTGTTCTGGTATGTGGCAGGTTTTTCCAGAATCGTGCCAGCTTCCTCTGTACTGGTTTCCTGGGTGACAGGTTCAGATTCTGGCTCACGCTCGGCCCCTTTTGGCCGTGGAGTTGCCAGAGCAACTGTCTCCTTCTGCTGCAAGCCAGGTTCCAAGTTCTCTTTGACAGGCATGTGCTGCTCGGTGAGGAGCCGTGGTTCCCCAGGGACGTCTGCTTTCCTTTGCTCCGCTTCCAGCTCCTGTTTCGGCTCCTCTTGTGCAGAACAGTTCAGAGATGGTCGCTCTCGGGCTTCTGTTCGTCTGTGTTTTGTTTGCCAGAAACACATCATTCAAATCAGTGTTTTAATAGTAGCTTCACTCAACATCCTCCAACACTGTCCTTATCATGTTTCAACTAAACATAGCAAATCTAATTATGTTATAGTGCTAATTAACTCTGCACAGAAGAAAAACGCCAACGACAGCGCTTATCAGAGTTTACTGTGAGTGACAGTTATCACATGATAAAGCATCTCCCAGCTGATTCAAACCCACCACACAGGAAAGCCACACACTTTTAATGATGAGTTCTTCAGAGCGAAAACACATTCGCTTCCCTGAAGAACCTTTTAAACTGATTATTCTTTAAGGAACCAGTTTTGGAAATGAGAAGCGTGAAGAACATTTTTTAAAGTTTAAAGAACCTCCACAGAAAGGTTCTATACCAATTAAGGATTTTCTTAGACTCTTAAAAAAAGGTGCCACAGCCAGTTCTTTAAGCAATGCCTTAGAAGAACCACTTTTGGGTCCCTAAAGCACCATGTATGAAAAAGAGATTTGTGAGTTTGAAGAACTTTTTAAAGATTTAAAGAACCTCCACATGTAAAAGTTTTAGAACAATATAAGGATTCTCCTTAGAACCTTTACACTGTGTGTGTGAAGGTTCTTTAAACAATGGTTCCTCACACATATGCATAGAGAGGTTCTTTAGGTAATGAAAAGTGGTTTTTCTACAGCTTCACACAAAGAACCCTTTTGGAACCTTTATTTTTAGGTGTGTAAAGTGTGTAAAGTTTCTTTGGAATGACACCATAAAAGAACCACTTTTGGTTCCCTAAACAACCATGTTTTTGAGTGTGAAGACACCTTTTAAAAGTTTTTTTTTTAATTCTCACATGGGTTCTTTCCCAATTTCCAGTTCTCCCTAGAATCTTTAAATTATGTGGAGGCTCTTAACTTTAAAAAGGTTCCTCACACCCACAGATCTCACTTACACAAAATGGCTCCCTAAAGAACCATGCACTGAAACGTTCTTTAAGAAAGCAAAAGTGGTTCTTCTATATCTTTGCATAAAGAACTCTTTTAGCACTATTACTCTTGAGGGTGTAGCTTTGTACTCTTAAAAATAAGGGTTCCAAAAAAGCTTCTATGGTGCGAAGCAATAAAGAAACCACTTTTGTTTCCCTGAAGAACATTTTAATTGATTGGTCTTTAAAGAACCATATTTGAGATGTGTGAATGTGAGGAACCATTTTAAAGTTAAAGAGCCTTCACCTAATGAAAACATCCATACTAAACTCAAGGTTTTTCTGTATGTAGAACCATTAAGGAGTCTTTATTGTTGAGAGTGTAAGCCACTGTCCCTCTACACCCCATGTGTCAAACTCAGGGCCTGCTGGCCAACTCAGGCCCGTGGGACCACCCTATTCAGCCAGCAATATCATTTAAATTTATTATTTTTATCAGCCCGTTTCACCCTGAGCTGCACTACAGTCCCCAGCATGCACTGCAACATGTGTGTGTGTGTGCATTCTAATGCCTTTTCTCCAGCAACAATCTGTGGGTCAGCAGTTACACAAAAAGAAAAGATGCCTGTGTCCAGCTGCCCCAGCTGTGCGTAACTTCAGACGTAGACTAGCTGTACTGTAAGTATTTACTGAGTTCAGGTTTATCATCACTAAATCCAAACGAGCTGCACCACAAACCAGCTTTAACATTGAGCTTAGTAGTTACTAAATACTCACAGCCCCCTCAGCAGGAAACCATCAGAAACACACAGAAACACACAGAAACACAAACAGACCAAAAACATGACTTCTTTGGTTTCTAAGCTGAAAAACTCTAAACGCTGTACGCTGTGATTTTCTTCTCAGCCCTGATCATCAGCCTGGTCTAAACTCCAGCTCAGAGACTCAGCAGCTGCACAAATGGCTAAACTGATCTGCTGTTTTGTCGGTTATCTGGAAACCGGCAGTTAAAAAGCTGCATATTCGGTTTTCTCAGTGAAATATTAAAGAATAAACAGACGGTGGCTGCAGATCATCGGTTTAATCAGTTTGTAATATAGTTCGAGTATCCAGTGCCTATTTTGCTGTTGCAGTTTTGGCATATTTTGAATAAACGATGGCCCATTCAGCTCAGGGCAAAATTTTAGGTAAAAATTAAAGAAAAACACAGCTGGCCCACATATTTGTTGAGATTTTTTAATTTGGCCCTTTTAGTGGTTGAGTTTGACGCTGCTGTCTGCGCTGTGTATTCTGGGGCAAACTAGCAATATTACAGCAGCTTATGACAGTTAATCATGAAACCATCTTTGCAGAATTCTACAGTTCTCTGAAAATACAGACCCTTAAATGAGACACTTAGGCCCAGTCCCATTTCACCCCTTGCCCCACCACTGAGCCCTTAGCCCTCTGTTTTGCATGTTGACGTCTAGGAGTAGGGTGTCCTGATTCTTGTTGAGATAGTGGGGAGGGTGAAGTGTTAGAGCTACATGACCCTCCAAACAGAGGTTTTTCAGAGACTCCAAACAGAGAGTTATGAGAAAAAAAGAAAGATGGCTGAACAAGAGACCAAAGAAACACACAAATATGAGAATTTTCTCTGTTAAATTACGATAATCATCATATTATCTTAGTTTAATGTTGTTTTCTTCATAACAAGCATTAAAAAATCGCTAGTTGTCTGCTAACGTCCCGGTAGCTAGCTAGCTAACTTTCCGTTCCACCGTTCCGTTCCACCTTAAATAGCCCAGCAGTTCTGACGCCTGAAGTGCCAGAATGTAACTGCTGCTCCATTTAAGGTGGAACAGGAAAGTTCAAACAAGAATCTGGTGAATATCTGACTTCAGCTTCATATCACTGAAGAATTAGGGGTGGGTGATAATAAATAATTGCCCCCCTCTTTGAAGTCATATGATGCCCTAAATGTAACTAAAGCCCAGCAGTGAGGAGCTGAACTTTACCCTCCTCTGCTGTCACTGCAGACTGGCAAGGTCACCTACAGAGCAGCGCTAGTAGCTGTTAATGAAGTAATGCTCTTTTTATTTGAGGGTCCCATTTCAGAGGGAAGATTTCAACCACTACCCTGTAACTCAATTCCAAGGGGCAACACTCGAAAACAAGGGGTAAAAATAAGGAATGGGACTGGGCCTAAATGTATGTGGGTTAAGCACAAGGTCATGGTTCAGGACACACACAGTAGTGTTCTAGCAGCACGGATGCCCTGACCTTTTGTCTGAGAACCCTTTGTTGTGCTAGAGTGTCCACAAGCTTCAGTATTAGATCAAATGAATGCACGGCTCTTGCGATCACACTGAGGGCACCGCACCTCTTCAAAGCCTTTCATTCCAGACATGAAAAGATCCAGCTTTATGATTCAGACCAAAGAATACATTCACGTTATGACATGGAGTGGTTTTCACATGCCGGGCCTAATAACGCGCTGTTGTGCCTGTGAATTAACGTGTGAGCATTGATGATGTCTTACCCGACGGTCCTCACTCGTAATTTAAAAGAGCATCCTCCACACGCCGCGTCAGAATGAATGGTTCATGTCCAGCGTTTTAATTAGGATTTTCTGAATGAGGGACACTGGAGGTGTTTGTGTACTAGACTACAATTACAACCTACCACTCCAGTGTGTCCTGACAGTAATGTTCTATATGAATGGCCTTGGACGCTGGTGTGGAGGGACGGATACAGCGGATGTGTTACAGTGTGGGTGTTCTGAGCTCATCGGTTGCTATGTTATTACAGTATGTCTTTTAATATGAAAAAAGGGTTTAATAGAGCCAGTGGGAGCGAGCACAGCGAACAGCAGAGACCTTGGTATCATTCTTTGTAAGCTTCGCTGGCCTTTTATCCTGTAATTAGTCTTTAAACCCTCATCCTCCAGGAACTACGGTGGCGGCAAAACTTCAAAGACGCGCAGCACTTCCAAACAATCAGAGCACAATACTGAAGGAAGTGACAGTTGATGGAACCGATCTAAAAGCCACTCACGGAGTCACAAAGGTGTGTCCTGAAGTCATTGATGGTGGGGAGGATGGAAACGTGTCAGAGTTACAGTCTAAGCACTTTGCTGTGTGCACTGGAGGGGCTGTCCACCGTGTGATTTGGAGGAAAGCGACTCTATATGTCAGAAGGCTGCACTGATTGCTGATACAGGTGTTCAATAGCGCATACAGCTTCCTAGAAGAGCACTGAGCATTATGGGATGCCGTGGAGTGTATGAAGTTCAGTCGAATGCAGAAAGGTTTGAACACTGCTGGTCAAATTCCGAGCTTTGCTGGTTTTCTAAGTGAAAATAGGTTAACGCATCTACAGAGACCTGAAACATGTTATTAGTAGACAGATTCTTAGTAGACACTGAACAATTAGTTCTTGAATAATTTATAGTAGATAAAGAATAATTTATAGTCGATACTGAAGGCAAAGTAGTTACTAAATCATTTCTGGCCACTACTGAGGAATTTGTAGCATTTACGAAATAATTTATAGTAGATACAGAACTATTTAAAGTAGTTACTGAATAACTTATAATAATTACGTAATTATTTATGGTAGTTACAGATCATTAGTATCTGTATATCCTTCTATTGATTCTCCAAAACTGTGTTCTTCTGTAGCAACTGTTAGAATTTTAGACAAGCTTTACTGAACACTGGCGAAAATATGATTGAACCTAATGAGGAACTGCAGCACACATGTCAAAATGTGTACAAATGTGTCAGATGATATTTATTTTGTACGTGTATTAAAAGTCACACTGTTTAGACAGACTGGGTGGAGCTTTTTTAGACGTGTAATGGCTTGTGTTAATCTTAATGCTTTTGCCGAAGATGAAATGCATTTCTATGTATTTGCTGAGTTTAGTAAAACTAAAATAAAGTTTTGCTCAGAGGAGACGCTACCCACCAGTTCTGTTATGCCAGCTAACAGACGCCTGCGCTGAGTGATGGGGGGAGGCGGGGGGCCGTCCTGCCCACCCAGAGAGAGCGAGGACAACTGTGCTCTCGTGGACTCCCAGCCAGAGACGGCTGTAGCATCACCGGGGATCAAACTCTCCCGATGACAGAGCCCCAAAGAACCTTTTAAAGATTTAGAGAACCTCCACGTGGAAAAGTTTTAGAACAGTATAAGGATTCTACCTAGAACCTACCTAGAAAGGTTCCTTAAACTTTAAAAAAGGCTCCTCACACTCACATAGCTCGTTTTCAAAAATGGTTCTCTAAAAAACATGCACAGAAAGGTTCTTTAGGGAACAAAATGTGGTTCTTCTACAGCATCGCACAAAGAACCCTAACCCTAACCCTTAGAATCTATATTATGTGGAGGTTTCCTCACACTCACACATCTCATTTACACAAAAAGGCTCCCTAAAGAACCATGAACTGATCGGTTCTCATCATTCACTGTTTAAACAGATTTTAATGCTTGTTTCCTGCTTTACTTCTTTTCTTTGCTTTATTCTTCCCCCTTACTTTCTCTGCCTTCAAACAGTTTTTAGTCCGGTACGCTGGAGTCGCCCAGCCGTGTGGCCAAATTGAGGTCCTGAAGGCCTGAGCTTGTGAAAGAACGGATACGTGGGAAAAAAGCAGTGGCTCGATTCAGGTTCAGAGTTTGGTATATCAGCACTGGGCAGCCTGAGAACCGAACATTGTGGAAAATGTATCCAGACTAAGGAACTTTGAGGCGCTGCTCAAAAGCTTTGCTTGATAAATATATTTATCAGAATTCATCAGAATTTGAACTTGTTTTGGAGCTGTCTGTTTTTTTGGTTGTTGTTTTGTTTTGTTTTGTTTTGTTTTGTTTTGTTTGTGATAACAGTGGCTGTTATATTCACTGTACAGCATCTTCACTGGCCCCTTTATTAGAAATATCAAATTTTATTCTGATCAGTTCAGAATCAGTTTCGGACAAACTCTTGAGGATGGGTCAGTTTTTGACTCAAAACTTGATGATGTGTATTGTTTTAGGTTGAGTTCAGGATGTTGTGGGGCTCATGTTGGGCTCTCATAAAGAGTAACCAGGCTGTATTCAGACTCTAAATAATAAATCCTAAGTTGCACAGTGTCTTTAACAAGTGTTCAGAGTGCTGGAAGCAGTGCTGGTGTGGTAGATTTTGTGGTGCAGCTTTTCTAAATCCCCTCTGGGAGAGATTCCCCCGTTTCAACACTCCTGACTGAAGACATGAAGGGGCTGATTAGTAACTGATGAGCTGAACAGAGAGAGTTAGAGCAGCAGAGGACAGTAAAGCCACTTGGCACAGAGGTTCTGCAGCAGAGGGATTTGGGGAAAGCAGTTCCACACGACTGCTTTCATCCCGACAATTTAGATTCAGCTCCTCACCTCTCCGGCTGGGAAACTGAGGCATCCTGCTCAGTTGTGGGCACGCTCCGAGTCTCTGAAGGCTGAGTTCCTGGAGCTGTTTGAGGCTGAGGCTGCCTCGGAGGAGCGAAGGCCTGAACTCTGCTGGGCTCTCTGCTCTTCACTGTCACCTCCTTCATCCGCCGCTGAGCTTTACCTGCACACATCTCTGCTCCGTCCGGGACACGTGGGGCCTCCTCTGGTCCAGCCGGGAATAGACCAGCCGAGGCTGAAGAAGTCACCTCCTGCCCCTCACACTCATACAGGACTGCAGGGGGAGAGAGGACAAGCCAGAGGGTCAAGATTAAATCTGCATGCATGGAAACATCAAACAGAGAGTTTAACCCCTTCTAAGAAACCCAGTAGCAGATTTCTCTTCCTCACTCTCTTCATTTCATTCATATTAGTTTCATAGTAACTACTGAATCATTTAGAGCACATACTGAATCATTTATAGTAGATACTGAATCATTTATAGTGAATCCTGAATGATTTATAGTAGATACTGAATAATTCATAGCAGTTACTGAATCATTTATAGTAGATACTGAATCATTCATGGCAGTTACTGAATCATTTAGAGTAAATACTGAATAATTTATAGTAGATACGGAATCATTTATAGTAGATACTGAATAAATCAAAGCAGTTACTGAATCATTTATAGCAGATACTGAATAATTCATAGCAGTTACTGAATCATTTATAGTAGATACTGAATCATTAATAGAAATTACTGAATCATTTATAGTAGATACTGAATAAGTCATAGCAGTTACTGAATGATTTGTAGTAGATACTGAATCATTCATAGAAATTACTGAATCATTTATAGTAGACACTGAATAATTCATAGCAGTTACTGAATCATTCGTAGTAGATACCAAATAATTCATATAAGATAACTCAATATTTCATAGTCTATACTGAATAAGTCCTAGTAGTTACTAAATCATTTCTAGTAGTTACAGAACTATTTGTAGTCATTTCCAAATAAGTCATTATAGTAACTTAAAAATGTAAGTATTACATTAATTAACTTATAATAATTAGGGAAGGATTTATAGTAGTTACTGAATTATTTATAGTAGTTACAGATCATGAGTTTCTTTATATCCTCCTATAGATGCTCTAAAACTGCACTGTTTTGGACAAGCTTTACTGAACAGTGGCAAAAATACCACTTTACCTAATGAGGAGCTGTAGCACACGACTCATGTGAAAATGTGTACACTTACAGTGCTTTATTTCAGATGATATTAATTTTATACGTGTATAAAAAGTCACACTGTTTGGACAGACTGGGTGGAGCTTTTTTAGACATGTAATGGCTTTGATATGATGTGGGCATTTAGATTTTCTGTTATAATTTACTATATTGTATGTTATTTTTGTGCAAAAATGTCTGAGTTATGCATATTAGTTAGGTAGAGTTCTGGGTAAAAGTCAGAGACCACCTTTCATTTATTTCAGATCCAGTCAAAACAGACATTATTAACAGCCAGTAATCAGTGAGTCACTCTTTACCTTCAATACAGCGTCCAAACTTTTTGGAAGCCCTAATTTCTGTTTCTGAAAGAAATCTGCTGGGATATTTTTCCACACAGACGTCTCAACAACTAAATATAATATCATATTATTCAGTGGTCAGTGAGTCGCTCTTCACCTTTATTCCAGCTTTCATTCTTTTCAGGAGACTCACTTTCAGTTCCTCAAAGAATCTGCAGACACACCTCCAAAGTTCAGTCTTAGAAGCTGGTTGATCATTTTCTGAAGTAATCAAACACATTCAGTGGTGTTGAGGTCAGGACTCTGGGGTGGTCAGTCCATTGTTCAGTTTCTTTGTTTGAACTCCTGTTTTTTCACTTATTTTCCTTTGACTTTCTCCTTCCTTATGCAAGTGTATTATCATATATCTAATCTAATGTATCCAACGGCTGTTCTGGGATGAAATAAAAGAAAGGGTGGTCTGTTACGTCTGCAAAGATGGTAGAAAGCAAACCAGAGAGATACAAATCGAAATGTGCTATAAAATCTGGAAAAGCGTAACTGAACACGAAGGATTTGCACATTAGTATGTTTTCCATCTCTCAGCATCAGTCAAAGCCGGTTTCCCAGCTCACACAGCAGCTCCAGCCTCAGAGGCTGAAGGCTGACACATGTTTACCCTTTCATCTAAAGGTTTCTAAATCTTTTCTAAATCTTCTAAATCAGCCTCCCACATGGCGTCACAGGGCAGGTCAGTGCGCTTAGAGGACGCCGATAACGGCTCTACTTGACCCAGGAGTGGGTAGCATATCACTCTGTACTGACTTACAGAGAGAAATCTGTAGAGCTCTACCTACACAGCACAGCCAGTACCACACTCTTAAAAAGATGGTTCTTCAAGGGTTCTTTAGTAAAAAAAAAATGGTTCTATATAGAGCTATGGACAGTCAAAGAACACTTTGTGTGATTAAAGGGTTCTTTGCATCATAAATTGGTTCTTCAGATTGATGGTGAGTGTTTTAGATGGTTCTATATAGCACCTTTTTCGAAAAGGGTTCTATATAGCACCAAAAAGGGTTCTTCTATTGTACCAAGCTTGTATCATAGTAACAGTAGAACTGTTACTGCAATACTTGCAGAGTTTAAATAGAACAATCATGAGGATATAATTAAATAATAATGCACTAAAAACTATAGAAAGCATTATTTTTATTTAATTTCTCTGAAGGCCTTAACGGCTCTGAAGGTTCCCGACTGGTAGCTGATGATAAAGCACTGTCTCTCCACACACTGACAGAACAGCAGAGCTCGAGGAGGTACTGAAACACTACCTGCAGCTTCCTCATTAATCTCCTCTGGAGTCTGAGTCCCCTGATGGCTGAGAGGTGCTTTCGCCTTCGCTGTGTTATCGTCTGATATGTTTTTCTGAAAAAACAAAGAAACAGGCAGACTTGTCATGATTTGTTTCTGCAAAAATGAAGCGGCTGTGTTTGTTTTCCTGAACGATGATGACCTTCAGAATTTCTCAGAGTAAACTTTTCTTCCCTTCCTGTCGGGACTTTAAACAAAAAGGGACTCGTATAATGTAAAAAAGTGAGTAATCCTCCTCGCCAGATTCGCCTCATCCAGCCTCAGCGGAGTACAAACGAGACCGAGCACTGAGGTCAAAGCAAAGCAAAGCCATTTCTGACTCAGCGTTCAGGGCTTTCCAGCACATCCCACTTTTCATTTAGGCATAACACACTCATATACAAACAGCAGCAAAATATGGAAAAATACAAACAATAAATATGTTTCATGTGCATCAGCCATACAGTACGGTCAACAAATCTCTTTTCCTACATTAATCTGATACACATTACACTGATTATTAACCATTTTCCAGTTTTATTAATAGATGGCATATTCTTCATTTTTCTTGCATTTATTTTTCCCCCATTTATGACATTTGTGTGGTTTAATGTACCAAAAACAATGTGACCGTTTCCCAGCCTCTCTTTATCCCTTACAATCAAACAGGATGTTTTTGTTACGGTGCGTTTAAGACTGATATATGTAAATGAGCTCTGTTCCGGTCTGAAATACTCCTTATAACCTCAGGGTGAGTGGGCGGGGCTAAACTGCTGTAGGCAGAACAGGTATATGTTGATATATGTAAATGTGTTGGTTTTTGTGACATCACAAAAATAACACATTCAAAATGAGCTGTTTTGTTTCCATATATGAACTGTATGTTTTGAAACTTTAACAATGTTTACATATAACACCAAACTACTGTAACTACTTTAATCTCAGGCTTATTACACACTAAGGCTTATTATCCAGTAATTACAGGGACTTCAATGGAAACAGGTTGAGCTTTTCTTAGATTATAGGCCCGCTGGTGGGACATGGACATTTAAGCGTTTATTAAAAAAAAATAGAAAAAAAAAGAATTCGGAGACATGGGCTCTTTAAAAGACCATTTTTAGCAAAGTGTTCTTCCAAAAGGAGCTGGTGAGTTTCAGATCGAGTGCTTTCTTCACAGAGTGTTACTCAGAGTTCATGATGCTGAACAGTGATCAGTGAACAGCAGCTCAGAGCCACTGCTGTAAGAAAAACAGACCCAGACCCAGACGATTCCACCTCTGTGCTTTACAGTAGCTTCAGTGCAGCCTGGTTAGAGCTCTTCTCCAGGGTTTCTCCACTAAGAGCCCAAAATCAGTTTGATGTGTTTTTCTCAGAAACAGATCATTTAGTTAAATGTAACTTATAGAACTTAAAGTTTACCAATGGTTTAATGATTGTGAGTAAGTGTTGATTGTAAATGAGGTCTAAATGCATTTTGGGGCCACTGTACACTAATTGTGAAATATGAATATATATATATATATATATATATATATATATATATATATATGTATATGCGGCAGTGTGCAAAAGTTTGGTCAAATTACGGATTTTGTCGACATGTTGTTGTTAAGGGAAAATAAAACAGAAAATTTGGCCTTTTGAAATGTATAGCTCATTTTATATTTTATATATTTTCTTCAAACATGTTAAACTCAGCAAATAAATGAAATTGCGCAATAAAATTTGCTGTAAGTATTGCGTTCTCCGTAGAGGATGCGATAAGTAAACATATAATTTGATCGGGGGCTGTTCAAAGTTTTACAGAGTGTGCTTTCAGAACCTGAAAATGTTTTGAATGAATTCAAAATGGGACATTTTTGCATCCTAGTTTCCAGATGTGGGCTCTGTTTTGAAAATTAAGTTTTTATTTACCACGTCACACTTTTTTTAACAAAGTGAGAATTCAGTTGTGCATATGAGCCCTTTAAGTCTTTGCTGTACAGTTACTTGTTTAATAGTGTCTATTATATTAAATATAATTGCAACTTGACTCAAAAACCCCTGAAACTGATCATTTTTGTCTGTGTTATGGTTTCTATGGTTCATAAAAAGATTAAATGTCTCAATCTGCAACTGCATGCATAAAATACACTGAAAAAAGACTTGGTGAGTGTTCTGATGCTGCACGCTCGACTGAGCCAGCATGGCCTGCTGTCTGCAAACATGTAATTGGTGTGCATGACTGGAAAGCTGGTGAGGGGCTGTCAGGCGGGTGGTCACATGTTAAAGTCACAAACGTTCAAATCTGCGGAGAAATGTGGACCAACTGTTGGTTAATTGGTCCCATTAAAGAGGACCAGGATGACCAGGATTTGGCAGTGCAGCTGATGAGGGGCAGGTTTTCTCAACCACAGGCTGCGTAGCACGAATGGCTGTTTTCTTTGTTTCTTTCTTTTTTTTTTAATAAAGATTGGACTCAGTCGACCATTCCAGCAATTTCAAACAGCTGTAAATTATGTGGTGTCACAACTCCCAGCCTCACAACCTCAGAACGGAGTTATTTTCCCCACTGTTTACAGTGCGCAGGTCTGCCTTGTCACACACTCCTCTTAACAGGGTAGTTATGCTGTATGACAACAAATCAGGCAATTAGTGCGAGACCCTGCCTCCCCTTCAGCAGCCTCAGGCCGGGAGTTACTGGAGGATGCCTGCAGTAATTAGATCTGCCCATAGAGACGGACTCGGAATGACTGGAGTAACCAAACAGATGTACGCTTCTGCGCTTCCGTCCTTTCATTCCTGCTGTGTTCAGCTCTGAGCATTGGCTGTAATTGTGCTCATTAAGTTTGAAAGAATGTAGCTATTTGGCACTTAAAGATAAATTTACAAAGGTTTTTCTAAATTTCTGCATAATTAAACGGTTAAGATGTAAACAAAGTCATTCAAAATGGTGGTTTGGTTGACTCAAGATTGTTCACAGTGGTGGTGATGGGAACCAGACATCCACCTCTAAAAGCTCCCTCACAGAAAGTTACTATATGAGATGGTTATGAATTCACTGCCTGATGACTGAGACACTGTAGTTTTTGTAAGGTTTTGGCCTTAAACAATTCGACCTCTTAAACAGCCAGAGCCCAAAATTTTATTACACACTTCTATAACCTAAGAAAGCTCCACCAGTTTGCACTGAAGTCCCTGTACATACTTAGAATAAAGGTAGTAGAATACACTGGGGCAGTTCCCCTCTTATCACAGGGATAGAACCCTCAAGGGTCCATCTCAGTACCTTTAGTCAGGGAACATAACTGAACCATAATCCACTGAAATTATATGTTCTAAGCTGTACTGACTCCACACACCCCGTCTCGCCTCCAGGCTTTTATTTTACTGTTCTGTTTTAAAACATTCGGTTATGAAAAGGTACAAATACGAACTTTTCACCTGGAAAAACTTATTTAAGGTTCACAATCAGACCTTAAAACCACTGTTGTACCTTTGAGAGAACATTTACACTGTTTGTACTTTCATGACTGAAAAATGTACCTGAACAGAACCTTTATTATAAGCTTTAGTATGTAATAAGCATGGGACTTCCAGGGGTTAAAGTCATTCATGGTTTAGGGATGCATGCAGGGTGCTGTGAGGCAAAATAGCCCCCAAAGAAAACTTATTATTTCAGATTTTCCACTATTTTCCATCCTCAACATTCCATATAAACTCAGAAGACTCGTGTAGGTTCACTGGTGGTTTTGGATAGTAAATAAAATGTCTATATTTGTGTTGTAGTCATGGAGACCCCTGGTTTCTCTCACCACCACTGTAAAGAGATCTGAGTCTCTACAATCAACCATTTTCCATTTCACACCAAACCACAAGGCAATCACACACACACACACACACATACATACATATATATATATATATATATATATATATATATATATATATATATATATATATATATATATATAACCATTTTTGGTACTATACAGAACTATTTTCGCTGTAAGTGTAAGTTAATGTGGCACTTTTATTAGCTGAAGTCATTTTGGATCATTTCCATTGATTCTTTCATAAAATGTTCACCCAATGTAAAGGTAATTTATTATTCATATTTTTTATTGTTGTTATTGTTCTCAAAATTGATCCAGGACTGTCTTCCTCTTACCCAAATCTCTATTCCCCATTAAAACATTAAGTGCATTACTGATCTCAGCTCAGTGCTGCTAAATCTGTGCCATTTTTATCTTTTCTACATCTCTGCTTTGGTTTGTCAGGAAACCCTCCAATTAAAGGAATCAGCATCTGTGAGAATGAAGCGCTTTTTTGAGGCACTAAAGACGTCTCGAGAGTCTGGGAGCGTTTAAGAGCAGTTTTCTACACAGGCAGTATTCCTGAAGCATGTGTAACAAAGGCATTCATTTGGATTTGGTTTTGTAAGCAGAACAGCTGGACAAGCCTGCGTACAGTTGGACTCTCAGTCATTCGGGTCAAATGCCTCTGAACGACACGTACGACACAATCGCATATCACCAGATGAAGAATCTGAAACCTGAAACCCGTCCAGCCTCTCTGTGAACGAAATAGCGACCTGGGAATTATGTTCAGGTGACTGGTATATTGGATTTGCTCAGTCTCAGCAGTGGAGGCCGAATCATTTATGGAATGCATCAGAGGCTCTGATAGGATATAAAGAAAAAACATGACCTTTCTGTGCGTCAGTCATTCAATATGGGCAGAAAACTGTTTGCTCTCTGATCTTCTACATCTACATACACTACAGATACACTAGAGATACACTAGAGATACACAATAACATTGACTATTAACTGTTATTTTATAGAGTGTTTGAACAAAGATGTTTCTGTACAACAGCTTAATTTATCATTTATATGAAAAATATAGTTGCAATTGACTCAAATGGCTCCAACAGAGAGGGCTTTAAAAATTCAAATGAGGAATGTGAGGCATGAAGGCCGGTCCAATCATTCTGTGGGCAACATAGTGACCTGGCATACAGTTCAGGTGACCAGTGGACTGAATTTGCACAACCGTGAGAGAGAAGACCCGATCATAATGTAAATATACTACATTCAGGTCAATTAAAAAGAAAACAACTTGTGTTTCAGTCATCCAGTGTGGTCAAGAAACTGTTTGCTTTCTGACCTTTTCTATAAATATGATTTTACATATTAAATTCTCCAATACTACAAAACTACAGATCATTAAAAATGTAGACAAAGTCTTCACAATGTCGTATTTCTAGTTTCAGTAACAGTGGCGGTGGGATGATTGGGCTGAACAGGCCTTTGCCCACCCTCTGATCACTGGCCCAACCAAAAAGACCAAACGTTTAGTTTCAGTATTAAAATCTTATTAATAAATAAGCCAAAATAAAGATCAAAAGCACCCATTAACTATACTAAATTCCATTTTTCACATCGTTCAACCAGAATTCCAGTTTTGTACGTTTAAGATTTTCAACCTCAGAGCAGAAAAAAAGCTCATTATAGAAAGAAATCTAAACTCTTATAAGATCATCATCACCACAGGTGGACTGGAAGCACAAACATGACTTATTCAAAACAAAAGTAACCAAGCAGACCAGCACCACCACAAACACCAGAATAATAGAGAGAAATTAAACATATTAAAGATATGTGGGACATTGTCTCCTTATGCAAAGCAAGAAATGGCCATTAAAAACAGAAGCCTTAACACCACTACTGACAAAAACTGCTATGATTACTGCTTGACTCAAATGGCTCTAACAGAGAGGGGTCTGTGGAGTCATTAAGGCCTGTCCAGTCTGGTAATTATGTTTAAGTGGTCAGCAGACTGGCAGAGGCCAGATCTTAGCATGAACATGTTAGATTCAAGTCAATTATTGTTATTTTTTATACTTCAGTCATTTAATAGATTGAAATAACCATTTTCTCTGACTTTTTCCTACAAATATCTTACATGACTTACAAATATAAATGTACACATTTAATCCTCCATTTTTATAACTGTTTGTATTCAAATTAACTTCTGTAAAACAGCTTTATTTACCATTTTTGTGGGAAAAATACAAAAACTGCTTTTTGCTCATTTTTGAGAGCATTTCTGTCTATGGGCTGTTAGCTCACAAGAAGATGAGACGTTTGAAAGATGAAGCCTGTCCAGCCTCTCTGTGGGCAGCACAGTGACCAGGGAATCATAAAAGAAATTTCACTTGAAAACAGACTTTGTCAAAATGTAAGTTTCTTCTAAAAGATATTGACAGTCACCCCAGCTTAGACACTGAACCCAGCGCTCAACAGCAGTGGCTTAGAGTCTTTCTCCACTCCTTTCTCCATCCAGCACTGAATACTGCATGAGTATTGAGCATAAGCCACACAAAGCCCTCCAGAGCCCAGAAGCTTACTGACCTCCTCCTCTGCCGTGTCCAGAAGGCCTTGCTTCCTCCATGGCACCACGCCATTGAGAATGAACTCCACTATCTTGGAGCTGCGAAAGGCTTCACCCACGTACCCAAGCACTTTATCCAGAGTGGACACAGAACTTTCTATTCCCTCAATCTTCTTTCTCTGCACCTGGCCCTCTTGCTTGAGGTTCTTCAGCAGCGCCACAGTTTCTTCACAAAGACTCCTGACCTCTGCCACTTCGCCGCCCGCTTGTTTTGCATCTTTCTGAGTGGGTTTTACGACAGATCGTCCTAGCATGTCCTGTTTGAACTGGACAAGGTTCTTTTCCAGGGCATCCATTCCTTGAGACACCAAGTCCAGCTTCTGAAGCACCACTGTCTGAGTGTTGGCAATCTTTTCCACCTTACCTTCCAGAAGGCTCAGCTTATCCTCCACGTCGCCCAAAGTGCCCAGGAGGGTCGGGCTGGCCTTCTTCGGCTTTCCAGCCGCAGCCCCAGAACTGTCCAGCTTCCCGCCTTCATACATCTTAGCAATGCAGGTGGCCAGAGTCACCTGTTTATTCATGGCTGGAAGCGAAAGGCAGTCAGGACTGCAGCACAGGAGCAGGACAAAAGGGAAAAGAAGCTCCACTAATCCTTTGGTTCACAACGAACAAGCGGAACAGCTATTTTGGTCCCTCCAATCTTGTTCCACTCTGGGCTCCTGTGAGGTGTCGTCGTGTCCCCCACCAAAACAAGCAGCTCAGCTGGACTGTGGTCAGTATGTGCCAGAGACATGACACCACTTAAATAAACACCTCCATTCTGGTATCTTATCTTGCCACTTCTATTTTTCCTCCCACCCCCTCCTCCTGCCTCGCTCTCTCTGTGGAGCTCACTATGACCCAGGGCTTTTATATGGCCTGGAGGGTCCTGCCAAAGTTCCAGCAGTCCTTTGACGTCACCAAAACATTTAAATTCAACTCGACAGATGCTGTTGACAAGTGGACATGCAAGGAATGACCTTTCCAGTGGCCAGTGAGCTGCCAGAAGCAAGAAAATCTTACACCATAAAAAAATTAAAGTCAGGTCAACTTGGAATTTTGAGTCATCCTTCTGCATTGATGTTTTTACATTTTCTCCAGTTAGTTAGAGTCAAAGGTTTTCCGCACTTAGATTTTTTTTAGTACTGCATCCACGACCCCATTCCCAAAACAGTTGGGACGCTGTGCAAAACGTAAGTAAAAGCAGAATAAAATGATGTGCAAATCATTCAAACCCTCTATTTAATTACAACATCAAATGTTCAAACTGAGAATTTATTGTTTTTTGAAAATTATGTGCCTACTTTGAATTTGATGCCAACAACACATTCCAAAAAAGTTGGGACGGGGAAACAAAAGGCTGGTAAAATTGTGTGATGCTAAAAAAAAACACCTGGTGGTTGATTTGTAACAGGTCAGTAACATTATTGGGTATAAAGAGCATCTCAGAGAGGCGGAGTCTTTCAGAAGTAAAGATGAGGAGGGGTTCACCACTCTGTGAAAGACTGCACGATCAAATAGTGCAACAATTCAAGAATAACTTGAGGGGAAGTGGAAAAATGTCCTGTGGTCTGACGAATCAACGTGACCCGACTTTTAATTTGGTAACACCGTACGCTGTACGTGTCCACTCACTGTCCACTCTATTAGACACTCCTACCTTGTCAGTCCACCTTGTAGATGTAAAGTCAGAGACGATAGCTCATCTGCTGCTGCACAGTTTGTGTTGGTCATCCTCTAGTCTTTCATCAGTGGTCACAGGACGCTGCCCACAGGACGCTGTTGGCTGGATATTTTTGGTTGGTGGACAATTCTCAGTCCAGTAGTGACACTGAGGTGTTTAAAAACACCAGCAGCATTGCTGTGTCTGATCCACTCGCACCAGCGCAACACACACTAAGACACCACCACCACGTCAGTGTTACTGCAGTGCTCAGAATGATCCACCACCCAAATAGTACCTGCTCTGTGAGGGTCCATGGAGGTCCTGACCTCTGAAGCACAGGGTAAAAGGGGGCTAACAAAGTATGCAGAGAAACAGATGGACTACAGTCTGTAACTGTAGAACTACAAAGTGCACCTATATAGTAAGTGGAGCTGATAAAATGGACAATGACCGTAGAAACAGGGAGGTGGTCATAATGTTAAGCCTGATCGGTGTATAAGCTGTACTGACTCCACACACCCGTCTCGTCTCCATCCTTTTAATTTTATCGTTTTGTTTTAAAATATTGTTACTGAAAAGGTTTAAATGCGTATCTTTCTCCTGGAAGAGAAACTGAAGTAAGGTTCACAGTTGGGCCTTAAAACCATTGCTGTACCTCTGAGGGTACATTTACACTGTTTGTACCTTGGTGAATGAAAAATGTACCAACATGGTTCCTTTTGTCTGACAGTGTACAGCAAAGTTCATAAGGCTACTTGAGCTCATCATGACAGCAGACACAAACCTACATAAACGTTCATAAAGGCTTAATCCAGCAGCTGTTATCCGTAACAAAGGTTGCCTTTGTCAACTTTGGCGTCAAGATGACATTAGACCTACACTCTTAAAGGAGATGGTTCTTCAAGGGTTCTTTAGTAAAGAAAATGGTTCTATATAGAACCATGAACACTCAAAGAACCCCTTGCATGATTAAAGGTCCATTGCATCATAAAGGGTTTTTCAGATGGAGAATGTGCTGTAGAGGGTTCTATATAGAACCTTTTTTGAAAAGGGCTCTATATAGCACCAAAAGGGGATCTTCTATTGTAACGATGTCAAGCCTGTAACAAGGGAAGTACATTTGGTGGTGCTATATAGAACCCCTTTCAAAAAGGTTCTATATAGAACCATATGCAGCATATTCTCCATCAATCTACAGAATCCTTTAATGCAACAAACCTTTAATCATGCAAAGGGATCTTTGAGTGTTCATGGTTCTATATAGAACCATTTTCTTTACTACAGAACCCTTGAAGAACCATCTTATTTAAGCGTGTATGACACTGTTTCTGACATTGGGTTGTCATGGCAGCTTTTTGGGTGAAGTGAAAGCACATTATAACAAATGAAGTTGTGGTTCAGTGTATATCACAGTGACGTAATGGTGATGATGTAAAACATCATAATTCTAATTTATTGTAAAATTAACTTTATCAAAGAAACTGTTCACTTTTGCAAAACCAGCCTGACGTGGCAAACTAAGCCATATCACCTCACTGTGCACTGTGACTGTCACTGAAGTCTTCGTCACTACCCAGAACGTGTCATGACAACGTCCTTGACATCTAAGCTGTTGAATGCAACCTTTGTGACAAATGACGCCTGCTGGAATAAGCATTTATAAAGGTTTATATGTCTATGTCAGCTGTCATGAAGGGCTTAGGGAGGTGTCAAGTGCCCAACAGTAAACTGTTACCTTTCATTTCTTACAGTGTACGTTGGGCCGAGGTGAGGATGTTCTTTTGAACGGTCGCCTTTTTTCGGACCGGTACTTTCTGCCTGTGGATCCGCTGCTTCAGATCAGGCACACCAGATGATCCGCAGTGCTTTGTGCTCCGAGGCTGGAACGTGACTTGACTTTGGCTTGACACTTTCAGTAAAAATAAACCTCTGCAGACACTGGCATGAAGATGAATAGTGTGCTGGAATCTCAGACGTGTTCCCTCTCCCAACGAGGAATTCAATCATGCCGTCTATTGCCAGGAAAAGCTGCCTTAGAAGAGGGAAAAAACATGGGTGTCCTGATACTTGACCCAGGGTCTTTCCGAGCCTTTGATTGGACTGCATTGCAAGGAACGATCACCTCTCATAAACATCATTTACGCACAGCTGTTCGGTTAGTTGGAAGGGGATTTACAGCTTGATGGACATCTGTTATATCAGCAGCATGGTACTGTAATGCAATACAGCAGTCCATAAGTATCAGGACAGCGACACTACTTTTGTTGTTTTGGCTATGTACTCCAAAACTGGACTTCTGAAATAATGAAACAATGAGTAGTAATCAAAATGAAACGGTAGCAGTGTTAAAGTGCCACATGCCAGCTGGAGGGTTTTTATATCTACACTGGGGGAACCATGTGGGAAACCTTTCTTATGCTGCCTTCAAATTGTGTCGGAAATATTGTTTTTACAAGATCAGTGCACATGAACGCCACCACGACCTTGTATTCCAACATGTACGTTGTCAAATGTCAATGCTATGTCAGGATCAATACCATGGTTTATTAGAGAAATAATAATAATTTCTCTTTATAATATAAAATAATATCTGTCTCTTTATATCCAAAATTATTACAGCATTTTTTAATGAATCTCAGTATTTACTGACCACAATGGATTGTAGGTTACTCAAGAAGCACTGACGTCAAAAACATGCTTACAGTAAAGAATTTAGACAGTCAATCAACAGCCTAGATCAGGGGTCACAACCCAAATGTTAAGAAGAGCCATTTTGTCCTTTCAGCAAAAATCAAACCACCTTGGGAGCCACAACATTTTATGTCCATTTTATTTTACCATCTTGGCTGTAAATATGTCTCAGTATGTGCTGATGTGCTAAAAATATAAACGAAAATGCAGACTTACTTTACTCTGCTTTAAGCTTTAGCTCAGCTATAGCTGCTTTTCTCGCATCTCCAGCAGGAAACTTTTCCAATTTTCTTGTGAAAAGTCTTCTAATGTTAGATTTTTTATGAGGCTAAAGTCGATTCTCATTCACCAGCTTCTTCTTTGAATTTTTGAAAATGTGAACGAGAAGCTGGTGAATGAAAAACTGACTTCAGGTTTGTGACTTTTTAGTACTTCAGTTTCTCGTTGCAGATTAAACGTATCAGGAAACCAGCTGGAGTGATTATAAACACAAATAAGTCCATTAATCTCCAAATTATCGATGTTCATCTTAAATCTCTTTTTGTCTTTTTGTTACTAGCTGGGCCAGATTATTATCTGCATTGCTATGGTGACCAGCAGTCTGCGCTGATCTTCAGGGTTAAAGGGTGAATTAGCAGTTATACAGTAACTCCAGCGTTTAAGATCATTTATTGTTAAACTGTGTTGAACGATCAGCAGAGCTTTATTTTACTGTAAAGGAGGATTATTTTATTTTTACCTACAGATCTAATTCTGCTGTGGAGCCACAACAGGACAGTAAAAGAGCCGCATGTTGCCGACCCCTGGCCTAGACATTGGAACAAGCATTCTTATTCTTATTGTCAACCCTTTGGTACCTTGTTAAAGGCTTTTCCACAAAGTCTGACACAAAAGACTCTTCTAATCACTAGTTAGCTTCAAAGCTCACCCTCCTCAGGCAACATTACTCCAATAAGCACAACCACCACTAAACCACACAACAGCAACAACAACAGTCCATTTTCAACCAGGAGAGCGCCCCCTTCCGAGAGCCACTTTGCATGGCCACATCCCCTAAGCTCCTCACGAGCCACAATATTAGGAAGGTCTTCCATGTAAATTTTTAAATCTGATCCTATTTGATTTTTCTGCATTGTACAGCTGTGTTTAAAACCAGAAAGACCAATCGTCATGGTGATTATCATGGTTGCAGTCCAAGCACATGCGCATCAAGACGCTACAAGTGTGAGTTAAAGAAAGTGTGAGACCGGCTACAGTTGCGCAACATCCTTGCTCTGCTTCTGTCTATATTTATCTTTCCTGTGTGTCCTCCTGCCACCTTGTTGTCCATCTCACCTGTGTTATCTGTTGCCCCGCCCTCTCATTAATCCCAGGTGTTTCTTGTTTGCTCAGTATGGTTGTCTTGCATTGCCTTTGTGATCCCTTAGGAGATCTACGATCCTGGAGAGTTCAGATCCTG